ACCATAATGAAGGTTGAAGTCAAATTTTGGGAAAATCGGAATGAAACTGCCCGACGAAATGGCCGCTCTTTGTATGCAAATTTTGTAGAAGTGTGTAATACAAAGGTTGTGGACCCTCTAGAGGTCACAATTTTTATCCGATTTGATGAAACTTAAAACATATCTTTACATCCCAAAGATCTCAGTCCCTTTTGATATTTGCACATTTCAGGCCATAACTTTCTGCATTATTGCCTCTGATTGTACAAAAAATTGCGTTTGTTTTTAGCTTGTTCTCTATCCATCTCTTGGAAAATGGGTGTATCCTGCCTGGCAGCGGCTGGTTGAACTATCTAAATCTTAAATAATGTATCTTTATGAGTCCATTTTTATATGCCTACATGGAAATATGGACACATGCACGTGTATATTGCCGTTGATCCGTCCACAATTTCTTGTGAACGCTCTAACGGCAAAAGTTATCATCCGATTGTTTTAAAATTGATGTATGAAGAAGCCTATTTGATTTCAATAATTTTCGTTAATTACTTTTATAGTTATGGCCCTTGTTTCACTCTAAAATCAAAAGTTATCTGCCAATCTGTATGAAATTTATATGCATCAATTAAATTAATAAAAAGAAGAATCCTATTGAATTTCAGCAATTTCTGTTAATTGCATCTAGAGTTATGGCCCTTGCTTTAGTTTGTTGACCCTTGTGTATGCTCTAGTCTAAAGCCAAAAGTTATCATCCGATCTTTGTGAAATTTATATGCATTATTTTAATTAGTAAAACGAAAAGCCTGTCAAAATTCGACAATTACTGTAAATTACTTCCAGAGTTAAGGCCCTTGTTTCAGTTTGTAGAACTTTGTGAAACCTCAAACGACGAAAATTATAATCTGATCTGTATGAAATTGTCTTGTAAATTACCTACAAAAGGATAAATATGCGACAACCCTTGTCGACCGCTTGGATAGTTTAGGTGCTTTGGGCTTATGTTTCGTTGCCTGGCCGCCTATGTTTGACTCTGTGGGGCAACAAGATTGTTTAATTCTGTTCATTATTTATAAAGATATGATTGAAAATTTGTCAGCACATGGCATCTTTTTTATAGATATAAGGAAGATACGTTAAAACGCCAGCGCCACATGTACATTTGTGTACATGTAATGTTTGCAGAAATCACCTAAGGGGCCTCTTTTTGATGTGATTGAATCCAAGTCAGATTATCTACTATTTTTTCTTGATTAATTAAATGTTTAAATATTTGATTTGAGTACATAATTTAGCATGGATTGAACCTCCAAAAATTATACATTTTCTGAAAAATGATGATTAAAATCAACGGCTTTTAAGATGTATCCTTTTAAAGATACCAAATAATCATTGTATGAATAATAACACAAAGTATTTTATATTCTAAAACTTGTATTGACTACCGGTAAACCGCTTTGAAGAAATAAATTGCCTTAAATGAATAGAGTAGTGAACAGTTTAATGGGTTATTCAGCTCTATTCTCTATAGAAAAAAATGTTGAGATCTTTTTAAATGGAGAGGAAGATATAGTTGATAAAGATATCCGCAGCTGTTGATATTGAAAGGCTAACTGTGTAGACCTGCTTTACTGACTTTATGGTGAGAGAGTTGTATTTTTATTGAAGACATGGTGGGTTCACATATGGTTGACCTTGATCTGCATGGCTTGTAAAGGATCACCACAGGAACATAACATCTCAAATTAAAACTAGACAGTATCAATGTGCTGTGTAAATAAATATCAGTTATAAACATTCTTTACAACATCTTGATGAAATGGGTTTTCATGTATCTTAATCTCCTCCTGTTTTCCTGTATTATAATGTTGTGAAACTTGCTGTATTGTTACAAACATAATAATAGTGTACATTACTGTTGAAAGGTCTAAAGCAACCTATGTGTATATATTTATACATTGTAGTTCTCAGGTCAGGTTTTAACATACAAGATGCTGTTTCTAATATACTTATATGTTAAAGGTGCTAATTTGTTTAAGTGACTTAGAGTTTTCTTATTCATTAACCCTGTTGGTTCAGAAAATTAAGACTTTCATTCCTTTGATTTAGGTCAAAATGAGATGATCTGGCGTGTGATTTTGGTTAGTACTGGGGACATGATCAAATCTTTGTCTTGAATGATTAGATAGATGTTGTTGGGGTTTTTTGGGTTTTTTTTTTTTTTTATAAATTTTAGTCTAATTATTTGCTTACTGTGTCAATGCATATAAAATTCAGTTAACACTGGTGATATAAGGATGAAAAATGAATCAACCAATAAAATCCTGTGAAATTGACAATTTTAGTTTTGACCCAGATCAAAGAGGGAGTGTTATTTTCAAATTTTCTGCCACCATTTCATTTAAACTCTTTTTTAAATCTGCTTTATGAAAGATAAAATCACAGATTAAATGAGTTGGAAAAAGTGTTTATTGGTAAAGATTTAAAATGACACTCATTCTTGGATTTTGCTCAAAAATAGAATTGTCAATTTGATGACAATTTATGTATTGGTTTGTTTTTTGAGTGGACATTTTGTCTTGCTTAGTTTAAAATTTTTGTTGTTAATATTGAGATATAACTGTGTTCAACAGTTGTTAGTTTAAAGAAATAAAGTTTTTATACTGACTTTTGAATTTTTCAAATGTAACCATTTACATGTAGAGTTACAGATCAACTCAAATCAATACTTCATTTAGAACATCATGTTGACAGTAATTTTTAATCCTGGACAATATTGGTTATTTATAAGGAGGTTGGTGTGTGTGTGGGGGGGGGGGAATATTATTAAGTAGAAAGCAAGATATCGGTGGCTGGTTGGTGTATATACATATATTTTGTTACCGGGTAGCCCACCTTTCTTAAGAGTACAACAATTGCATATTTATAGAGGATCGTTATCAGTTTACATTATTGTGTAGACATATGAGTTGCATGTATCATTACATCAGTTTATGTACATGAAAGCTTTAAATATTTAAATGTGGGCGGTTGTTGGGTCAAGCTGACAAGTATTGAAATATGTAAACTGTACATGTAAGCAAGGTTGATGTACAAACAATAAAATTTATCATAAAATTGGACCTTTTACAGGTTCTACTTCATGCTGGTCTATTATTATTAACAAATGCACATAACATGGTTGCTTTTCAGATTTCAATTTCAAGAAGTTCATTATGAGATATTTATTTTGGCTTGGCAGTCTTCACTGTTTTAAAATTATGACTTATGAGTGCTAATAAAATATTATTGGTATAGTAGGCCAAATTATTGTTGAAGTGTTAAATTATAAAATCATGTCTTTATACAAGTACTAACTTTTAGGTATTGTACATAATCTAAAATGTTTCCAATAATAAATATACCAACATGTATCTAAAGAATTAAACAAACTTATGAATTTTAAAGCTGTGTCAACGTGTATTTGTGTACCATGTCGTATAACAAATCAACCGATAGTAATGATAGTATATACATGTATATATACTTGACTTGTACATGTAATTTATTATCAAAAAGTATATTGATTTGAAAATGTATCAGTAAATTGAGATATTTTTACTATAATTGACATAAATAATGTTAAATTCATCTGTTTCACAAGTTCATATAAATCTGGTTACATCCAGATGGCTGGCATTTACATGTACATGTATATTGATTTATAGTGGGGGAAATATGATGGTTAAGTTTACATGTATATCATATAGAATTCCATAATTAAATAACATTGATGTAAGTTGAGTAGATGGGGTATGATAGATTTCTTTGTTGCTTAAGACTGAGTCAAATAAACTTCATGTACACATTACATGTATACAATAGCAATTGAAATCAAAGCAAGGTTATAAATAAATCTATTTACAACTAAGAATGCTTTAAGCTTTATGATGGTGAAGAATTTAGTTGGCACTATTCCTAGAGAAAAGTAAAGATGGCCTCACTTAGTTATACAATATATATGATGGTTTCGTGTGGTATTTAATATGAGCTACATGGACTTGTGCGTCAGTTAACTGATTTAACCTACAAATGTTGTATTGATGACTAGTTATCGTGTGTTTAATGCTGGTTCAATCTTGTCATTTATCATTGATCCGTATTTTCTGGTGTTTTATTCTCTCCACATAAATCAATAAGAGAATAATACAAGTTGATGCTTTCTCCTGTCTCTTTCTATTAAATTTCTCCTAAAAAAGATTTATGTATTTAGATTGGGCAGCATTGATCTGGTATAGGTGAAGAAATGATGTCATATTCTTGGTGTTTTATTGATTTATATGAGAACAATCTGTAAGGACGGACTGTATTTGGAAGCCAGTAATTGTATTATACAAGTTTAAATCCAGCTTAGAGAAAACGAATTAGCTTCCTCTTTCTCTCCATTATAATAATATCATGAATTTTATTTGTACTAATAAATCTGGTTAAATGCTTAAAAACTACATTTAGTTAGAAATACAAAGACAGAACATTGTACATTACATGTATATCTTATATTAGACTGAGGACACTGCTCGGTCATGATTATTTATTTCGTTTGATGAATTTTATGAGGCATTTGGAATTTTTTTTTTTAAAGGGGGTCGGAAAGATTCTTGTTATCGCAAATCAGGTATTTAATACATTGATCATTGTACTTCATGGTAAATGATAATTTACCAAGAATTGCTAGCTATAATACTTCAATAATAGAATCTACATGTACATGTACCCATTGTACCATACAACAAGCATGCTGTATGACAGTACACATGCATACAGTACCACAAGAGTGCATAAGATAAAAAAAAATTGGACAAAATATATATCTGTCTTGCATATGCATACATAATAAAATGAAACCTACAATTCTAGATTTCTCTTCATTAACTTTTTTGTCATTTTGAGTTGTATAAATAAAGTTTGCTTGTTTTTGATATACTTCTATGCGAACTTTGATTCTTTTCATCATATTTGATTATATTTCTGTTTATATTTTTCAGCTTCTGTTGACAATGTGTTCACACAATTATCTCCAAGCTACCAGTTCTCCTTACCATCAGCGAAATGGGGCTCATTTGAATTCCAAAATAATAATACTGACAAAAATATACTTCTGTCTCCATCTCCATCCAAACAACCAAAGAAAGATGCCAAATTTCCATTATTGGTAGAAAAATCTGTTTTTAGTATTGTGAACTTATCGTCTGAGATTACTTCTGATAAAGAAGCCAACCTAAGTGTAAAAACTTCAAGTACAGAATCATGTACTAGTTGTCAAGATCTGCAATCTCCCACTAGAATTAAGGCAGCAAAACTCAGTCCTAGTCCAAAATCTCAAATAAAAGAGACCAATCAAATTAAACGTCAGTATGTTCGCAAACAAAAACTTGATTTACATGCTAGTACAAATGATAAAGAACAGACTAGCAGCGAGGACTCTCCGCCAAAATTGAAACACAGGAAAAAGTCCAAATTTCATAATTTAAGTGATGCTAGTGTAAGTGATACAGTTGTCAGTTCTATGAATGTCGACAACGCAAATAAAACGTGCAATAATAATTCCATGTGTGAATCTGTGATATCTGCATCTGTGTGTTCTACTGTGACTAGTTCTAGTTCGACAATTGCGTTGTCATCTGAACGTAAGCGTAAACAAACGACTTGTAAATATAGTGATAAGGACTTGGATAATAATACTAGAGACGTCATCCGACCCATCAGCATTGAAGAACCACAAGAAGAGCCCTCATCAAGGTAATGATTTAATCTTGTTTTGTCTGAGTTTCCACTGACATATTGGATAGATTTAATGTAAATTCAAGCTTTGTTGTAGAATAAATTGATATCAACTTGATTCTGTAGGAAGTGTTTTGCTTTTGGCCAGACATGTGGTATACATTAATCTAATTTCAGCCTTACTTTATTACAGTGGTTTGTAGACTCGTGATAGAAGAAATGTGTTAAACTGTGTGTATCAATAACTGGCTAATACTATAGAAACTGGCAGTTAGTTGGGCATTTAATGTAATCTAACTTATCTTGCCGTGCCAAATCCAGACATTTATTCTCTTCATTATATTGAGTGGATTGCCTTAGCTGGTACAAATATAAATTGCTAGACATTTGTATAGATTGTATTGATGTATAAGTAGATACATATATACTAGTCATGTACTCGGGATATTCAGGATATTTTGCTTAATATATTATCCATTTCAGGATATTTGCTAAATGTATCCATTTCAGGATATATGCTAGATATATCCATTTTAGGATGTACATGTACATGTATGATAAATATATCCATTTCAGGATATTTTGCTACATGTAAATATATTATCAATTTATGGATATTTTGCTAAAAATATCCATTTCCGTCTTACCTACATTATATCAATATATGACTAGAAAAGTATATCAATTTTGATATCAACTTTTCAATCCGTTTTGTCATTTGTTGTATAACGAAAGTTGACTTGATATGTTTTTCAGTTCTCCATCTAAAGAAAGTAAGAATTCGACAAGTAGTAGTAGTACCAATGAAGATAGAAATGAATCAAGAGTACAGCTTAGTAAAAGTCAACCAAGAAAGAAGTACCAGCGTGTTGGATTATTTTCTGACTTTTATAAAGAAGATGAGTAAGTAAATTTGAAGAACTGTCTGGACTACTGACCTCCGATCTTGAGTGACTTAACAGTTCATTGGATTTGTTTTGATACCTTACTAAATTATAATAATTACAAAAGTATCAATCTGATTGAAACACAGAACCTATTTCGTTTCAATTTTTATAGTTCATAATTTCGTTTTACTTGTCTTTACTAGACTAGGATCTGGAAGAGTTGTTACATGTATATTACGGGCGTTCTGGTTCAAGTGAGGGATTAGCCAATGAAACAGTCCGTTACGGCGAGGTTCTTGGTGTGCGATGCACGGAATTGTGGATAAACCTCTAGAAACATCAACGGTGATTGATTAATCAATGTCTGGCGTTGTAGGGTGAAAAGCCGTACAACCCCTGACGCGACCTTCCAGTACAACTGGTCAGATCTTCATGTAGTGTAGGCCATTGAAAGTATAAAAAAACAAAACGAAATATAGATCTGTATTTTAATCAGATTGCAAAAGTATTTTTATTTAGTTAAATTATGATTTAGTCTACCAGCAAATTGAGTCACAAAAATTAATATTTTTGGTTAAATTGTACAAATGTCAACAAGATCTGTAAAAAGTTCAAGAATGATATTAATCATAAGTAAGTACTAAAGCTTAGTTTATAAAATTCTTGAACTGTAGTAAAGTTTGGTTCTCTCTTATTATTTACCACAAATAGGGCTTGTGTTAAACCACATAGATCAACTTCTTTTCACCTGGTTAATAATAGGCCAAGGTGATAAGTAAGTAGGTATACAAGGTCTGTGGTGTCAAGGTTAACAATAGGATCTTGGTAGAAAGGTAAATACATAGTAAGATCTCAACAATGTATAAAATTAACCAATGTGTTATGTTCATGCTTAATTTGATAAAGGACAAATAATGAACCTTTGATAGTCTTCCTATACTATATAATGTAGTACTAGGGGTAAAAAAAAACCAGGATCTCCTTTCTCTGTTACCCTGTTTAACCTAGCATGACGGTGTTTATGTAGGAGTTCTTTATGAAAAAGTCCATTAAATTTTTGTATTCTTTATCAATGCAGATGCTTCACATTATTTAAAGGCACTAAAAGGTAACCAATAGATGCCAAATGAGCAGACATGTTCACTGACGCTTCAAAAAGTAGTTGAGGTTTTTTTCTGGTCTGTAGGAGCTTGTTGAGATATGAATTCTTTGTTGACCAGTAGATCGATTTCACATGTATTCATTTGCAGCCATGTGTGACTTCAAGTGCTGTGAAGTAATTAAACATGGCTGAAGCAACAATACCTTTTTAAAACTTTTAACAGTATGATGTTAGTTATTTTATGAGAGATCTGTCTGGGTAACATGAATTAAATATGTTAACTGAACACTAATTGAGGGTGATCAGACATTAATCATTTCTTGTTCTAATTAACATCAGACAATTAAAACATTGAGAAGACAGAAGTTGAACACTAACCAGTAGCAAAATGACAGAGATTGAGACACCCTTTTGCATGTACTTTCTTGAACAGACTTATGTTGATGTCTATTTTAAAACTGTGTAATATGCCTAAATCACAATAGGTACGATATACAGAAACAGGAAACGTTTTACTCAACTAGAAAATAAAACTATTTACATGTAAACTTTGATTACATAATAAAGAGAAATAATTTAACTAAAACTAAACAATATATCTTTGTTTTAAGATTGAAAATTGAAACATGTATTCATCGTTTTATGGATATTCAGCAGTGCACAAAATCGAGAGAGAGAAAAGTCAAGTAACTTTTTGGAAATTTAAATTCACTTACCGTTCGAAACGGATAGATACATGTATATGTATACATGTATAACTATATACATGTAACTATGAATTATAAAGATTGAATCCAGTGAAATTGATGACACTGTGACATTAGCAATTAGGATATTGTATGAACCGATGAATATGATATTTGCTGTGAAAGATAAGATCATGTCATATGATTATAATGTAATATAATTTATTCAGATTTCGGCATACCATCACATTAAAGCCATTAGTGGGAGATCATGTTTTCAGTCACACTCATTTAAAGTTTTAGATTGATATCTCCCTCGGGACCTAGCTGTCTCAGCAATAATGGTAGAAGTACAATGAAGCGATAAATGCATTGATTGACAAACATGTTCACAGTATTTTTGAATTAACAGCTACACAATAGGCAATGTTAGTTATTGTGTTGGGTAATGAATTCCACTCGACAAAGCTGTGTCAACCAACACCAGTCGATAAACCATTGTTGTACTTATTGAAGAAGTTTTGTGTGCAACATATGACAAACGCTCTACTAAGATTGATTTAAAGTGAGACATATCGGTGTACACACGTTGTTTAATCACAGTTGTATGCCGTGCTCAATGATTGATGCTTATACCGAAATGATTGTCAGAAAATAGAGAGAGGTTGACAGACTTAATGGAGCAAAAAAATAATTTGATTGCGATAGGAAGTGAGTTAATTGAAAGAAATTAGCATCAGCATCCATGAGATATTGATCAATACGAGTCGATGTAGGTTTGAAGCTTAGCAGACTATTATAGTGTATACAATACAATATTATAATATGACAACAAGGATATCTTACCAACTAAATAGAGAACATTTATATAAATAATTGATTATCTTTTCTGAAAATCAGGCTCTATTAACTGTACATGTAGCATGGAACATATGTTGTAGTTGTATACTTTTAGTTTTAGTTTAATGCAATTTGAAATTGTTTTTACTTTAAATAAAAATAGCATTTCCATCAGTTAGTGATCAGGATCTTCAAATACCCCTGAAACCCTTCATCTGTTTATTCTTTGAGAATAAAAAAACCCCACATGAATACATGTACATGTATATCCATTATCCATACTGGTTTATTAAAATCACTAGTTTTCTTTTAAATTAGATTTTGAAATATATTGCTGTACTATCATAATAAACTTGGTTGTATGGTAATACGATTTTCAGTAATTTATTTTTGTTAACAACTCAATATTCTGAAATTAATTACCTGATGGCCGAATGGTTAGCACGTGCGCCCTTTATCATACGCTCATTCAGTCAACTTGCGGGGTTTTGATTCCCCGGTTGTACGTGACAAGGAGTAGGGTCTCCTGTCCAACCTCTTGGGTTTTCTCCGTGTCCTCTGTTTTCATCCCACTGCTAAAGACCCATACCCACTAGTGAATTATTGAAAAAAACTGAACCATGTGTTAGTCTCAAAATGACCCAGTTTGTGTCTATAAAATCAAACTAAAATTATTACTTCATGTATTTGTACTATTTAAGATATTTAATCAGATTCTGACAGCTAATGGCCCATTTAAAGAAAGGAAAAACAATATCAGAATCTGGATGTAAAGAAATTAAATGAAATTTTTGTTTAATGTGATTTACGATCAATTGTCCCAGTTTTCAGAGCTGTTATTTTATTGATTTATTAATCAAGGCTGGTTGTAAAATTTATATGTACACATATTCTCTACGTAAAACATCTGACTTATTGACATAATTTAAATCAATATCCAGCCAAGTTTCAGCCTCACACAGTCTGACCTTAGATCTTTATAGCATTGTACTTTTCGAACAATTATTAGGCCAGTGTATAGAATTAGCATTTTTTTTAAATCTAGAAATAAACAGATCAAATAGCGTAAAAAGTAAGCACATAATTTTATACACCAAAAGAAATTTCATTTAAAATCCATTCTTAATGAGATGCATTCTATTAGTATTATACAAACTAGCAGGTTATAACATGTTGAGAGCTGACTGGTTATCAATCCATATATGTACTAACATTTAAGCAGACTATGGTATTATTTGGGGGGTTTTGGAGGGTACAAGTAGTATTTAGTATTAGTAATTCATGCAGTATTTTGAACAATCCATTCATGTACACATGTACATGTAATGACTAGAAATTGGGGAGCTGCTAATAAAGTTCATATTGATATGAATATGATCTGTTTAAATACATGTACATATACTGGTAGTCAGAAATTTCAATAGAATTATGTGGTAGACATGAAAACACTTTAAACATTGCAAAATGTTCAGTGTACATCACTGTTGGAATTGTATATGTAGATTGGCATTCACGATTTAAATAACATGTATTTACAAACCCAATTCATCTATTGAATCTTTCAGAAATATATGAAATTACATGCACTGGTCACTGGATGTTTATTCTAGATGTGTACATAGGACATTTTAAAATTTCTAATCACAGGGTTATAATTTGTCAGCTATGTGTACACACGCATCAGTAACCTGCTATTTTTCTGTTTACAATTTTACACATACATATTCCATATGTTTAGTCTAACTGTGAGAATAATTTCTTTTCTGTAAATTTGAACAATTGATAATAAATTAATTAGCACCTGAATGGTCATAGAATTTAGATCATTGTTGGGTAATTGTTTTATTGGGTAATCAAGTTCAGTAGATCATCAAAGAAGCTGCTAATTACTGTTTTTGGACATATCATACCTAATAATTAAGCTGCTATCTCAGATAAATTCAGTCAGATTTGTGTCGATTTTCCATAAGCGCATATTGATCTGGGCTTCATGCAGATATGGAAACAAGGTGGCTAAATGGATAAGACGCTGGCTCGCTATCTTGGAGGTCGCGGGTTCGCTCCCGGTGTTGGCGGAGAAAGTTCATCAGGATTTTCCGACATGATTTCCCCTTGTCAGTGGTGCAGGACGGAGGGCTTGACTAGGACAGCCATCTAGCAAAATTTCCCTTATACACATAGCGCACTGTATGGCATATGCCTGTCTTCATTAACCCAGTCGGAGTAGGACGAAAAACCGATTCTGCTAAACGGCTTGGCAGAAGCCATTGAAATCTGAATATAGGGTAATGCACAAATTTACGTAACTTGGCCATATATGACGAAACAAAATTTAATTAAGGGGAGGGGGGTGTTCATTGGAATCTTTGAAAAGTTGAGACTTGTCAGTCATTTATTTCCTACAAATAATTTTTTTCAAAAAAAAAGGGTATCAATCAGCTAAAGTAGAGATACTGTACATTACCATAATCCTACTCATTTTATCATTGAGTTGAATCATTTTCAATTGAGTTTAAGAATTTCATTGCTAACTGTTTTTGTGACAACTCTGCCAATGATAGTGGGCGGTTTGCCACAAGAGACGCTGATGTATGGGATAATTTCCTTAAATAAATATTTATATGTCTGTTAGATTTAAATTCTTAAACGTCGAAATATCATTTTCTCTGAATTATAGAAAAAGCGTTAATAAAACTGAAACATTATGATTAAATTACTACTGTTTGTTTACATGTAAGTCTGTGCTTCTGTTCAGGGGTGTCTATTGACAGTATAATAGGCTAAATGTACTTTTGTATTGACAGTATAGGCTAAGTGTACTTTTGTATTAACAATATACTTTTATTTTTCAGACCAAGAAAACGACTAGAAGCAGTGAGTCGATGTCGAGAGAAAACAGTGTATAATAGACATGACTATGATCATGATCTTTTACCAGAACCCGTCCATATTAGGGAGTTATTTCAAGATAAAATCTTTGACTTTCAACTACCCTATGATATCTGGTGGTTGTATCATAATGATATGGTAAGTTCATAATTGTCTCAACTACTTCACTGACTGGAATTAGTGGAATCACAGATGGGATTATTAAAATAGATTTGAAAAAATGTCCCTCGATTATTTTTGTTTATTTTCTTTTTTGTTGTTAATGTTTATGGCACTCCCTAGTGGGACTGGGTCAAAAATAAAATGTAGTCAGTTCTATTGGATTTATTTTGTGGGATGACAATATGCCTTTGTTCATAGAAGAAGCCAATGTTAAGATATTACTGATCTTGTCTTCATCTGTCGTCACGGTAAGCTATACTAATGTCCAAAATAAAGTATACACTGTGCATTTCGTGCTGCATCAATCAAAGTCGTTTTCCATTGTATGCAGCATTTGGGTACAATGTCAATTTGTTTCGCTTTTTTATTTTGCTTAGAAATGTTGAGTTTTGACGCAAGAGACAAACTCAACAAATTTTTATCAAATGTTTTTAATCTAAATAAAACTTAGTCATATTTTTAGTGTGTATACTTTCTTTTGGACATTAGTATATATGAAAGATTAATAAACAATCCAACTCTGGTTTAATCTAAGTTCATAACCGAAATTAATTAGATCAGAACCAAAATTAATTGGAAAGAGCTTATCCCACAAATTAAATGTTCTATTTTGACCTAAATCCTGGAAATTTAGCCTATTTAAATAGTTTGTTACTATATTTGTAAGCCTTGTTATTGAACATTGATGATTTTATATGATCAACAAGTATTTATAAATGTTTAATAATAATAGAGAACTTGTATGTACATGTATACAAAATATTATTACCACATATTATTTCATTTGAAAAAAAAATAAGCATAACAAAGATTTGTCTGTAGCCAGATGTTAAATGTCAGTGAGGTTTTGTACATGATTTCTTATCGATTTAGTTATCTTTGATTTAATATAAGCCTACACGACGCCCATCAGACAATAAGTTAAGAAGAATAATGACATATTACAAGTCTTCAGCTATTTCTAATCAATACAAGTAGAAGACAGTGGTGATTACTTCTACTGTATATAAGCTAGTGTTTTTATTACTACTTGTTATTATAAATAATTCATGTCCCTACAGACTAGAAATTACTAGAGTCTATTATTCTGTCCATACTGTTTTCTACTTTAGTAACAAATCACTTTTGTCAGACTCTTATATTAAATCATTATACATGTTTATCATAAGTTAAAGGGAACATATTACTTTTAGTTAAAATGGGGTTAAATGCAATTTCTAATGAATTTTGGAATGTAAGTGAATTATCAAATCTGGTCTGTAGTTGCAAAGAAAATGGTGTCGTATTGTTTTGGTAGATTTTTTGAAAGTACAAGACATTTGACATCATGTGTAAATTTACCAAAGAACTTACTGCATACTCACTGACAGATAGTTTAAAAATGTGCAAAGATTGGCCTCTACTTTTGTTAATTCATGACATTTATTTTGTCTGGGAAGCAACAGTGACTAAGTGGGTGAGACGCTGGCTCGCTAGTTTGGAGGTTGCTGGTTGACTCCTAGTGTTGGCCGCAAATGTTCATCAAATATGTTTTGTGGAGTTAACAGTTGGGTTTCTTAAAACTTTATCAGCTTGATTTGTTGACATTGAATTTTAAAGCTAGCGCAGATGATCTTGATGCTGGTGGGCAAATTGATGGGCCTGAGAATCCACATACCGAAGTATGATAAAACATAATAAAACATTTGTATATAATTTTTTTCAGTTACCGAAAAAGGAAGATACAAGACCCAAATATAAAAAGATTAGGAATAGTAAGAAAGATTATTGTATAAAAATTTATATCTTAGTCATAAAAATTGTAACATAATTTGAAGGAACCTTAAACTTCAGTTAATTAGAAAAACTATGAGATTTATTTCAGAGAGAGAGAGAGAGAAGGGGTTTAACATCCACTCGACACAAACTAGGTCATTTCGGGACTAACATATGGTTTAATTTTATTTCAATAATTCGCTTGCGCGTAGGGGTCTTTAGCAGTGGGAGAAAACCGGAGGACCCGGAGGACCCGGAGAAAACCCATGAGGTTGGACAGGCGACCCTACTCCTTGCCACGTACAACCGGGGATTCGAAACCACGCCAGTTGACTCAATGACAGACTTTATGATACAGCGCGCGCACGCTAACCAATCAGCCATCCAACCCCCCAGATTTATTTCAATAAATTGTGATTATGAATTATCTCATAAATACCGTCATGACATAATATTTATACTAAAATGATAAGATTCAACTTTGCATTTAAGAAACCTTTTCTTTTCTAGTTAACCTAAGTCTGGATGAACCATGATACATACATTAAAATAATTATATAATTTGATGTAATATGTTATAATAATTTGTTAATGTTTGTAGATGTTTATGTAGATATAAAGCCTACAGTATCAGGGAAAAAACATGAACCTAATCCTTGTAACTGTAGAAGACCACGCGACAATGAAATTGGCTGTTTAGAAGACTGTCTGAATAGGTAAGGCAAAAAATCTGTCAGTGTTGATACTGCAGGGATGGTTATCCAGAATGTTGCACTTTTTTTTTTTTACCTGAACATTCACAATGCAACATTGAATTATGTGAATGACTTGTTGTGGACTTATGTTCTCTAGTGTCATTGCCTGACAACCTATCCTTAAGAGTTTTGATACCTTGTTGAGGCACAGTCAGCAATCATATAGAATGTATGATATGTACCTGTTTGAAAGTTAATTAGAACAGAATAGATTTTTGCACAATGGAAGATACATGGATTTGTCTTCTAGCAATCAAAGTAATAGAAGATAGTTGATTATATATTTTAAAAATATGTATTTTTACAGGATGATATATACTGAATGTAGTCCCAACAACTGTCCATGTGAAGATAAGTGTTCTAATCAGAGAATCAGTAAACATGAATGGTCTAAAGGTTTAGAAGAATTTCTTACAGAAGAACGAGGCTATGGTGTTCTTACAACAAAACCTATCAAAAATGGTAAACATTTATGAACGGGTGAATTCTATGATATGTGGTTACTGTGTCTTTACTAGAATCCTTGTTTAAACATCACTAAGTAATAAACAGTAAATGAATTCCATAATATTGTCCTGTGACAAGTGATATTTCAGATGTATATATTCTTCATCTTGTTACAAGTTGTCTTGGCCATTATTGTTATCTTGATTTAACGATAGAAATTTAGTTTGGTTCCCCTTTGTATCTGTATAAAATCAAGGGGGGTAAAATTCTTGACCTCGCTTTTTGCTGTATCAACATTTTTTCTTTTGATATTCTTGTACAAGACGTCTAGTTTTACAATAAAAATGATCGAAGTAAATTATAAATCGTAGAACTTGATATTCATAAGATGAAAAGATGAACCATGATAATTGAAAAAAAAAAAAAAAAAAAAAAAATACTGGTCTAACACTCTATATTTAGCCTAAGCATGGACATTAGCCATTTCTATTTCTTTTATTATAGTGTGATTTAATGTAATTTTTTCTTATTTTTTAGGTGATTTTATCTTGGAATATTTAGGAGAAGTTGTTAGTGAACAGGAGTTCAGACGACGTATGACTGAAGATTATTCATTAGACTGTCACCATTATTGTCTTAGTTTAGATAGTGGTATGGTTATAGATGGTTATAGAATGGCTAATGTAGGACGCTTTGTTAATCATTCTTGTCAACCTAACTGTGAGATGCAAAAATGGTAAATCTCTTTCTTGAAGGGCTTAATATTTCCTGTTATATGTTCTTGGTAGCATTTGTTGTATCCTCAACAGCAGATTTTCATTTTTAGTTGATCTGGCAGTTCAGTTTCTCCTCCAGTCAAGATTCACCAACTAAAATCAAAGCCAAATTGTTCTGTCCTCTGAGGTTATCTTTTATGTTAGTTGCCCAGTGCAAATTGACCACTACTTATTAACTAGATAAGGACTGATCATGATTTTGAGTTTTTAAACTGTTACTGGAATCATCCCCCTCCTCTTCATTTTACATTCATTAAAACAGTATTTACTATACCAATCCTTGGGAATTCGAGCTTACAATTATTATGAAGAATTCAATATACCAATTTTAATTCCTAATTCTAATAATCTTTTTTATTTTCAGGACTGTAAATGGACTGAACAGAATGGTGTTATTTGCATTAAGAGATATCCAGCCAATGGAAGAATTAACATATGATTATAACTTTGATTCTTTCAATATGGAGACACAGGTATGGCTTTATTTAGATATTTTAGAAATGAAAGTGGATGGATTTAGCTTTAGCTGTGTCATTAGAAAGTCCTTGTAAGGGGAAGATAGGGCTAACCCAGAAAGTAGAGTTATTTCAAATTGAGATTTAGGACTGGATAATCCTTTATTGATGGGGTCTACTCTCAGGCAAGTCACTAAATAACATGTGTTTATGTATGCATATAAAGTGTACTAATGAATTTTTAGTCCAAATATTCTGTGGAGTGTCAGATTCAGGTGATGGGTTGTTGCCAGCTAACACAAGGGAGATAAGCCAGTTATATGTATTTTATTTACAGCAAGTATGTAAATGTGGTAGTGATATATGTCGTGGTGTTATTGGTGGTAAAACACAGAGAAATAACCAGGTCCGTGATAAAACAACACCCTCTAGACCAGTTGGTAGACCACCTAAAGATAAACGCAAATCAAAGTTAAAGTTAAAAAAGTTCAAAGAAAAGGTAAATACTTTTAAGATACTTTTCCTTATCAAAAAAAATCTGAGCTGCACGTATATATTTTTTCGTTTTGAGTCTCAGAGTCAACAAATGTTAGTCTCTTAATGATCAATTCGGTATTAGTTGATAGTCAGTTTTGTAGATTGTATTTCTATCAACAATAGTCAATAGATGTTTTGTTTTGTGATATTCATACTTTTATGTTTCAGTTTGTTTATTTACTGATAACATTTGTTTGTTTGTAGATCAAGTCACAAGAGAATAATAGTGCTAGTAAACTGTGTACTCAAACTGTGATAAAACCTATGTCTAACAGAGAGCGGACATATGCTATTAAACATGGTGTATTTCTTGTGAGGAATATAGATAAAAATAAACAAAGGAAATCAAAACGTAAATCAGTAACACCCGAATCATCAAACGTCCAACCAACTGAAAATACTGTGATACAACCAGGTACTTTATACTTCCTTCTTTTCTACTAATATTCATCATTTGAGACAAAATAATTCTTTTGTTTTGCTTTGACTCCAAATAAAATGGAGTTTAACATCCTACTGACTTGACAGCAAGCTAAATCTGTTGACAAAAGTTAAAGAATGGAAGCATTCAGACTTTTTTATTATTTTCACACAACGTATTGGAAATTAAATTGATTATTATTTTTTTTATAAGATTTCCAAACATAATTGTTTGCTGATTTAATTACAGAATTAATCAGAACCCAGCTAGACGACAGATCTGTTAAAACCAGGTAAGTGTTAAATAACTAGACAGTAATATTGTGGATAGCAGTCAGATGTAGGTCACCACTCAATGATAAACGTCATTGTACATCTAACTGTAATAAGTCAACAGTAGTCAGAACACAGATTTTTTTTTTACCTTTTTACAAGTATGGGGTTAGGGTTTTAAACATGTGGTGTGTATCATAGAGTGCCCACCACAGATGTACAGTTTGTGAAATACCAAAATAGAAGACTGTTGTTTTGAATTTCGATTTGAGATTGAAGTATCATTGGCTTGTGAAATTTTAACTTGATGTCACCATTTGTTCTTTATAGACTTGTTGCACGAGCTGCTGAAAATCCTGAATTACAGAAACGATGTCGCCTGATACAGTTATTTAATAAAGTTTACACTACTATAGCTACGTATAAAGGTAAGCTCACACACCATGCAATCCAAACACTTTTTATGCCTACATATCTTTGAATTCTAAGTGCCATTGGATATTTTACATGCTTTACCATTTTCGTAATACTACCCAATTGCATACATTTGAGAACCAGAATTTAAATTTCTTGAACTTTGTTCACCTTCCACACCAGGACTCAAACTAGACCGGAGCCCAGAGGGTCGAACCTAGACGAACGAGGTACCAATATCTACATACTAACCTGGAATGTACAGAAATGGGCATCTGCCAGAGTCCAGTCCCTGGGTGTAGCCCTGGTGAACCCCAGAATGACCCCCAATATGGGTTATACTCATACATTTGAGGTGGCTAAGAGGGTAAGACGTTGGCTCACTAGCCTGGAGGTTGGGTGTTCGATCCCTGCATTGGCCGAGAAAGTGCATCCCGATTTTCCGGCATAGTTCCCCCTTGGCACTGATGCAGGACGTAGTGCCTGACAAGGACAGCTATCTAGTCGTTTGGATGGGACGAAAAACCAAGGTCCTGTGTTGGCACGTATCTGTGTTGGGGTTAGTCCTTTCAGTTGCAGGTACTTGACTGGCCTATAGCCAGTTTTGTCCATTTCTTGTTATTTCACTGGGTAGGTTCACGAGATGGTCTTGTACGAAGACAATAATAAAACTACAGGTGCAGTTCTTATTTCTATGATACATTCAACTTATTATGCTTGTTGGTGGCAAAAGTTTGTTTCAATCTGGCCTCACAAGACCATTTTGAGGATCATTCTAGGGGTCACACCCAGGGACTGGACCCCGGTAGATGCCAACGTCTGTGAATCCTAGGTTAGTATATATATATGTATATGGTCAGATATTGGTACCTCGTCCATCTAGATTCGACCCTCTGGCCTCTGGTCTAAACGCCTGACTTTCCTATTGTGAGTTCAGTTTGTTTGCCACAGCTACACATCAATTTAGTTGATATGAGGCATTAGCAATTACAGACTCGTTATAACTTCATCTTATTTTGTATATTGAATTAGATTATTCTCCAAATACTATCTTCTGTTTCTATTTTCAAGTTTAAATGATATTGGGCATTAGGCAATTGCTGTGGGCTTTTATGATGTGATTCATTAACCAATTTATTGTAACTATGTTACTATTTTAGATGAAGATGACAATATCTTAGCTACACCATTGATGAGTTTACCATCTAAGAAGAAATATGCTGATTATTATAAGATGATAGAAGAACCTATAGATCTTACAATGATTAAACAGAGGATACAGAAAGGAGATTATGATTCTTTAGATGCCTTAGATAAAGATATTCTTCAACTCTTCCGTAATGTTGAGGTAAATATAACTTAATTCATCTTTAAGTTTAAGATAGAATTAAAATTTGTCATTACAAAATTCATGCTGACATAACATAAATATTTTATAACATAAAAAGACGAATAATTATTTTAAAATCTTAATAATTGTGTTCGATTTGAATAGAAGTTTCCGAAAGAAAGAAACCATGAATAGCTATATCAAGTTTCTGTGGACCAACCCTCAGTAAAATTAAACATGTATCTGAATTTTCTTTGGTAATATTTTTTTTATAATTCTCTTCTAAAGCTATGGGCAGACAAGCATATTTTTTCGTCTGACTGTGACGATTTTTTACAGCCAATCACAAACGGGCACACTTGGTGATCGTCTCGAAAATGTACAACACTCGGCGAGTAAATTAGGTCTATCACGTGACTTGTACAAAAATGCTAATCGCTGTAAACGTAAGATTGCTGAAGTAGCTGCTATTTATTGGTCAAGCAGAAGCCTATTCGCCATAAACGGACACACAGGCGAATTTAAAAATCGGCGCAATTGGACGAATAAATACACTCGTCTGCCCTAGGTATAACTGCCATATTCTCCTTGTTGAATTACAAATTGTATATTTATTTTTTTAACAGCGATATTGTGGTAGAAAGTCTGATATGGGTAGATTAGTATTGAAGTTGAGAAAAGTTTATTGTGCAGCTAAAAATGAAGTAATACCTCAAATAGATGATATTATGGTGGATGGTCGTTGTATATCTAATACACCACCTATAGCACCACCAGAAATTGATACAGAAAGTATACAAAATAGAGCTGTTAGAGGTAAATACAAACATTTTATATATTATAACTTATAAGACCACATATTTGAATTGAAACATCTGGCTTCTGTCCATCATCAGCTTCTCCTTACAATATGTTCTCTCAGATACACAAACATTTTAATTGGTCAACAGTTGCAAAGCAGTTTTAGGTTTGTCTTTATAAAGGAATCTGATGATTAAATAATCCCAGATAGACACATTGGATAATCAATGATATGGTGGGGTTTTGCTGACCATATATTAGCTTGGTCATGTAGAATAGTTGGCAGCAGTGATTAACTAGTGTGGTTTAAAATGATACAATGATAATTATTTGTTTGTACATATGATATTATAGATCCACCAGATGAAGAAGAAGAGATAATAAGATGCGTATGTAATGTATTTAGAGATGAAGGTTTAATGATCATGTGTGAGAAGTGTTATGTAAGTATTAATACAGTCATACTTTCGTAATATAGTATATTATATACGGTACTGGGAAATAAATTATTGTGTGCACAATTTAGAATGTGGAACAAACACAGCAGCATTTTAGGGATAATTTTTATTGTCAAATTTTATATACAGGTTTCCAAAATAATAAGTTCTAAGCCTGAAAAGGATAGATCAATTGGGTTGAAACAAACTTTTTCCACCATTGAATGAATCATAGACTTAAAGAACTACAACCGTAGTGTTATTATTGTTTCAAACCAGACCATCTTGTGAACCTACCCAGTTATCAAGTACCTACAAGTGAAAGGACTAACCCCACCACAGATACATGCCTACATGCTCTCCACTTTAAGGGATGATGCCCCTTCCTTTTCTGCAATAAAGAAGTGGGCTGCGGAATTTAAGCGTGCCATCAACAGCAAACATTCAAGAAAACATTACCCGTGTGCATGGTGATGGTGTTTGACGATATTGCCAGTGTTGTGGGCATATCTCATGAGAGGATTGAGCACATTATCGCCAATGAGTTAGGAATGACAAAAGTCTCTGCAAGATGGGTGCTAAAGCTCTTGATTGTGGATCAGAAACACGTCAATTTCCTGGCATCCTGTGACAACCATGGGCCGTTTGAAAGCAGATCCTGATAATTTTTTGGCCAGATTTGTAACCATGGAGACCTTGATAGTTGATTCATCACTTTTCAACCAGAATCCATAATTCAGCATCCAGAGTTGCCAGCCCCCAAAAAAGCCAAGTCGGTTTCTTCGGCTGGAAAGGTGATGGCTTCAATCTTTTGGAATTATAAGGGTATTCTGCTGATTGACTATCAATGGAACATATGCTGACCTACTAAGACAGCTGCATGACGCTATCAAAGCAAAGGTACAGGAAATACTCACTAAAGACGTCCTGTTCCACCTAGACATCCATGATTGTGGCTTCAAACTCATTGACCATCCACCTCACTGTTTCTAAAAATGGAAAAGGAACTAGCCGTTTTTCATTTTCCTAGTAATGATGATGTCATCTCAGCTGCGAACGACCTTTTTTAGGGTGGCTGAAGAAAATTTCTTCCTGACGGGCACCCAGACCTGGCAATATCATTGGCAACAGTGTATACGCCTCGAAGGGGACTGTGTAGAAAAATAAATGGAAACCATCGACTTTGTACAGGTCTTTCACAGATAGGCTTAGAACTTTTCAGCCCTCGTATATTAGGAGAATTGTATTAATATTTTAATTATTATTATAGATATGACAACATATAGGTGTGGTTTAATGGTCGAGAGCAAGACATTAAATAACATATTGATTGAATGATACTGCACTAGAACATTAGTCTGAAGTGTTGTATCAATATATTACACATATCTTGCTTGAAACCATTGACCAAATTAAAATACAGATACTATACCACACATTTCTAATATTTGAAAAAGTGGTAATGCCAAAATCCAAGGATGACGTCACATCTGTATTTGAATTATTATTATTATAGATATGGCAACATTGTGATTGTGTAGGAGCATCAGGTGATGAAGAACATTATTTATGTGAACAGTGTGATGGTAGAACATACGACAGGGTAAATGGAATTTTTTTTTTTTTTTTTTTAAAGCTCACATAGGTAACTTTGCAGTCACCCCTGTGATTATTAATTTATCATGAGTTTGGTTGTGCATACAGACATTCGAAGGGGGCTTTCCAGGTACTCTTTGTAACCTGCCATGATAATGAGCTTTGTTAGCGAACAAAGCATTGAAATACAAGCGAGGAATTACTATTTTGAAATCAAATAATTTTTTTCAACCCCTATAAAGCTCCTTTCTCCAGATGACTTAAAATGTTTGATGTATGTATATAATTATATTGCAGGAAATAAAACTGATACCTCAACCTACAGATGGTGAACCAGAGAATGATTATTATATGACATTATTACGTGATGAAGATTTACAGATAGCTATAGGAGAATGTGTTTATATTTTACGTGATTATAAACGTAATAGTGATGGCACATTAGATAAACGATCTCACCACCATTATGCTGATGTTAGTCCCGATCAATTAGATATATTTCGTGTTGAAAGATTATGGAAAAATAAAGCGTAAGTAGCCTATTTGTATTGAAGCATGATGTTTGTAGTAATGATATAACTATTACTTGATAAATGATAGATAATGGAGTTTTAATAGTTCTCTTAGGTTTAATTTTTAGCCAAACTTTTGATTTATGTCCAACTTGCACAACCTTACAGACTTTTCCTTTGGGTTTTTTCATTCAACCTGCTTTCATTAGCCCAGTCGGTGCTGAAAAGTAGGATGTTAAACCCCATTTCATCTGTTTCAGTCAATCACATAAAAGCAATTGATACTTTGAACAGGACAGCCGGAGTATGTCTCAACTAATTTGCTTCTTTTGTTTTAAATGTTTCAATTGGTATAACTAGCTGTGAATATTGGTCAAATATAATGGTAGTGGAATTAGTATTTACTGTATTTACTTTTATTTTGATTATAGAGGTGAGAAGTTTGCTGATGGTCATCCATTTGTTAGACCACATGAAACATTTCATGAACCAACCCGAAAATTCTTCCCTAATGAGGTAAATCTTGTTTTACATATCACTTTCGGTATTTTTTTGAGGGGGCTGATATATTTTCATACTAATAGTGAGTCTGTTGATTATTGTTAAGCCTATAGACACTTCTAAATTCAACTGGAAAAATTGAATATAGTTAACTCATTTTATCACAAGAAATATGAACACATTGTAATCCATGAGTTTTTTTGGGCTTCTTTTATATAAAAACAGGCCATATGGCCATTTTTAATTCACATGGCGGTATCAGTGAATCGGACGTTTTTTAAGATATGGCTTTAATTTGTTATTTATTTTCCTGAAGGAATGAACTTGTTTACGCCCTGCTGTTAAATATAAATTATATTCACCAAGTATATATATTTGATTGTATTATGTGTTTGTGAAACAGGTATTCCGTTTACCAACATTAGAGATAGTACCTATAGAAACTATGATAGGAACTTGTTGTGTTATGGATCTCTATACATATTGTAAAGGCCGTCCTAAAGGTGTTAAAGAGAAAGATATCTATATCTGTGAATATAGAGTAGATAAAACGGCTCATCTCTTCTATAAAATAGTCAAAAATTGGTAAGTGTAATGTCATTTATAGATATTTGTAAATATACAAAATTACCGTAATGTGGAGAATCGGAATCTAGAACACCTGATACCCCTTTTCATTTGAAAAGTTCACATAAAAAACATTTTGTAGTACTGTTGTAAATTGTATGCAGGGATCTTAATTGTTTATTCACAACAGGTCCAGTAAGTTGCATTTGTGAAAATAAGCCACATGGCAAATGAAGGTGACCTCAGGATGGATTGGGAATCGCGCCGTCTTTGACACTCCATACAAATTTCACGTAGATATTAGAATAATAATTGGACCATGCATGGTTTATTGATTACATTATTATAGAAAGGGCAGTTTAATTATGTATCATACCATCTTTAATTTACTAAACTGTATAATTTTGTGAGCTGCATATTATAGTAGAACTTAAACGGTTGTCGAAAGTAAAGCATATAGAGTCCTTGGGCGGTTAACAAACTTTGCTATGGATAAATGTTATTAAGACTATATAGCTTTTGTAATACTAATAAGGCAACAATCAACAGATTTGTGTAAAATATTCCACCATTCTATTTACAGGTATCCAATTAATACAAAATCTTACTGTTTTAACACCTTTAAAGAAAAGCTCAATGCTAAAAGAACTTATTCTGTAAGTATAATATATTTGTATTAATAATCGTTTAATATATTGTAATGGTTGATTTGTTTGAACACCTGTGCTTCATATTTTGACAGCCACGCTAATGAGAGCATCCCTTGTATTTGACCTGAAAAATACATCACAGTTGTGTTCATAAAATAGCATAAACCCTCAAAAAGATATGAGTAGTTTTGTCTAATTTAAAACTGCAAAATAGATTGTTAATTTATATTTTTTAGCCTCATCAGGTACCTGAAGAATATCTGCGTCGTACTGATAAACAGAACGTTACTACCTCTAAAAATGACAACTCAAACAAGAAAGATGACAAAAAGAAATCAGACTCTGAATATACAAAATCTTCCACTTCAAAAACCAAAACAATATCAGTAAGTTATAATACCCCTTATCAGGTCAGCCTTTATTTCTTTTGCAAGATTTGCATATCAAGTGAATGTATTATGATTTCTTAACACATGTTTAAGTAAAAATAACAAAAAGACTACCTACCCTAAATTTTGTTTGGTTTTACAAACAGAAACCCCCAGTTTGTGTTCTTCCTTCTCTGTTGTACATGACCAAAAGTAACCATTAATTAGAATCAAAACCTTTTATTATGTTTTCTTTACCTGACTTTTTTTTATGTGGATGTATTATGCCTTCACCCATCCATCCATGAATCTGTTCATATTTGTTTGTAGACCCTCTACTAGTGCTCCTACGGCTAGTTGAATAGCCATAAACAGTTAGAATTGGACGGTTAAACGGTTCTAATTGAACGCTACGGTTATTCAGAGATGTCCCCCATTACATAGAGTTGTGTCCCATTATATTCCTCTTTATAACAAAAGTTGTCCATTGTCCTTTTATATTTAAAAATCGTAGAATGTAACTTTTGTCCTACGATGTCGACTGCTAAAAAATAATACAATTAATAGCACACGTCGTGGTCTTACGGCAAAGTCAACGGACCTTGTTCTGACTTTTGCTGTTGTTAATCCAATTCAAATATTTCTAACTATGTTCTATCTTGTTTAATATTTATTTAAAAACGTAACCACCATTCAAAATATAATCATAGAGGCTTGAAAATGACATTATAGTAGATTCGTTATGATATTCTACTACACGTTTCATATGTTGTAATTTCTTGCGAGAATTCTACTTTGGATTTTAGTTAAATTAACCAATCATAAAAATTCTACTTGCAAGCCAAAAATTATTTCTTTATTGTCCAGTCAATAGACACCTTCCAATTTACTTTATTCTATTCTTAGTAACATTGTGTAATTCTGTAAATTACTTCACAAGTTTAAATTAGTGAAACGAAGAAGCCTGTTGAATTTCTGAATTTCCGTTGATTACAGCTAGAGTTATGACCCTTGTTTTACTTGTTGAACTTGTGAACGTTCAAATCAAATGTCAAAAGTTATAATCCAATCTGTATGAAATTAATATGCATTATTTAAATTAGCAAAATGAAAAATGTAAATTACTTCTAGAGTTAAGGCCCTTGTTTCAGTTTGTAGAACCTTGTGAACCCTCAAACGACGAAAATTATAATGTGATCGGTATGAAATTGTCTTGTAAATAAATGCCCCCAATTATTTACAAAAGAATAAATGTGCAACAACCTTTGTCGACCGCTCAGATGATTTAGCTGCTGTGGCTGTATGTTTCATTGCTTGGCAACCTATATTTGGGATTGGGATAATTCAATTCTGGAACTTTCAGTCGAGTATCCCCCTGTACTCTATAGAGACCATTTTTAACAGATTTTTTTTCTAATGCGATGTGAAGCATTGGGACAATGAGAAAATAGCCCTATTTGTTTTCCATGTTCTCCGTCTATCTATTCCAAAATGTGGGCATATCTAGCATGGCAACTGTTTGGTTAAAGGAGTTTCAGAAATAGAGAGGAGCTGTAAATACTGTGCATATATTTCGTTCAAATAATGATTGTGTACTCTGTGATATCAAATCAAGTTTTGTGATCCGAAAGTATAAAAATATCTTTTTATGATTTCAGATAATGGAGAGAAAAGAGAAGATAAGTAAGATAGTTAGAGATCTGTCTATAGCTGTGAATATGCCAGCTGGTTATAATGACATTACATATTTACTTACTGACGACAAGAAAACTAGTGACGACACACCAAGGTCATCTTCTTGATGACATTAATTATATCATTATTTATTAAAAACAGTCATTTTGATATGATAAACTTGTATCAAAAACAGGGTGCTATTACATAATATATTATTTAAGATTTATGTGACTTAGATTCTACATATTATTGCTAATGTTTTAGTATTGCGTGTACTGTTTCTCTGTTTGCTAATGATCTTCTTAAATTATATTATTTCTCTTTATAAAACCACATCCATTATTTATCACCAAAGCTTCATATGCAATGATCACTGTATCAGCATTTAACTTACCATTATAAATTGGTGCTAAATCTGATTAAATGGCATTCTTACTACAGATTGAATTATTACCTATAAATCATGCTTTAATTCAGTTCATATTTCAGGTTTTTACTCCACTTCATCTAAATTAAGTGGCAAGACCCCCCCCCCCTCCCAAATCTAGTTTTAATCAGATAGGGGTTTATTTACTATAAAATAAAAAAAAATTTGAAGTGTTTTATAAAAGGAACATGACATGTGTAACTATTACCCTCTCCATTTAGAATTTATCTAAATGTATTAAATATATAAAATAATGCATTTTTAAAATTTAAAGATACATTATGGGAGATTAGATAAAGAGCTGGTGGTTCTCACTATAATAGTTAAAAACTAGATAATGTAAAGGGAATTTGCTGAAAATTTAAGTCAAATTGATCCACCCTGAACCAAGAATTTAGCGATTGAATTTTGGGCTTAGCCTCAATCATTACTAAAGTCGGTACGATAAAAAAACATAGTCTCGATTATCCATTTTCTGATTTAATCATGAATTAGTGTTGAGCAGCAGATCAGATCCTAATCCAGTAAATATCGCAGGCTAGCGATGACATCGAGAGTTGATTATGGTCTGGATATGTTGATTACTGTCTAATTAATAATTTAGATAACATTTCAGGCCTAAATAAAGACCTGCAATAGGCAGGCTTAGCTCTTGCATAATGTATGTTTAGTTGAGCTGATTCACTTTACTAATTACCAAGAAAATGGATATTTAGAAATAAACAAGTAGTGCAATGGAGATAGTTTATGCACATGTAATACTGATTTATGCTCCCATCTTAAAACCCTTTATATGTATTAATGATTTGTTTGCTGTCAGACAATACATGGAAACATTGTCAAGAAAACTTCCAGCTTTTTAACAATGCAAATATTGTGTTTAGAAGTATTTCCCTTTAACAAGAAAGTATAACTTGATGTGAGTTAAATTGTTTAAGCGACATTTAGTAACTGGATTAGAATAACACAACACAATTATATGGAATACAAGTTACTTAAAGGATTTATTTCAGCGACATTTTGAAAAGGGTTCTCACGCTTTATCATTCTTCGCTAGAAACATCACCAGAAATAAATCTTTAAAATATCTTGTATTCCATATAATTGTGCCATGTGTTATTGATGTGAGTTATTATCAAGTAAAGAATAGTTATAGAGATATACAATATCTATCTTTGAATCAGTTCAATAGTATGGTACGTTTTGGTTTGGTTAAAAGTTGTTATAGATCTGCCATAAGTTAACTTACATCTGCTTTTGTTAAAGAATATTTATGGTTGTTATTGCATAGTTGTTAGTTTTTATTTTAGGATAAACATATAATAAGTGAACTTCAACAGTGTTATAGTACAAATTTTATGCACACATCAGTAACATAAAATTTTATTTTAAATGTTTTTTCGAAGTGTAGTTTACTAAGTAAACATAGTAACACCATGCAGATTTGAAAATTTTATTTATTTGATCTAATTTTTAATACCCAAATCAAGCACAAATATATTGATCCGACTTGGTTGCCTTCTTTGCTTTTCAGTGCTTAACCCTTAACAGCTACAGTACATAATATAGGCATCCTTAAATATGTTATGCGAACAGTACATAATATTGCATACCAAAGATACTCAAATGAATATCCCACTTCAACCTTGAGCTTTGGCAATGTTTTGATATGAGTTACTTATTTTCAAAAGCAACTGAAATTCCACCTATTCCTGTTTTCTGATAAAAGATGCCTTTTCATTTAACTGTTATTAACAGCCATTACATGAATTCTTGATACAAGTATGGCACAATTGGGTGGTAGGATGACTTGATAGGCATTAAAATATTAATTTATTTTTATTTTCCTATTGATTTAAAAACAAAGAAAATATGTTATCATATTGAAATCTTAGAAAAATTATCATAATAAAATATATGTTTTTCCAAACAATTTATGATTTTACCACGATATATTTGAAATGTGCGGTTTTCATGTTTGAACGGTCGATACCAATACCAGAAAAGAGACGACAATTTATGTTCACATGGTAAATGTGACAGGAAATTGTTTCTGAAAGATAACATTTATGAACTTATCTTGGTAATGTTTTTATCCCAAAATTTTTTTGTCTCTGATATTGTCTCAGATTTGCAAACCAGACATTTTATTCATTATCAGAACTATGACCTGTTGTTACCTAATATTCCAAAAATTATGAAAGTTAAGCTTTTTGTGTATTTTAACATATAAGCTTTCAAAAAATATATAGTATTTTTCAATGCGAATATTGACATTAGTTCTGTATAAAAAGAGTGCATTTTAAGTTGGAAAACTGTAGTGTTAAAGGTTAAACTACCATGATACAAATATTTAATTGTCCTATCTTGATAATGCAACTATTTGTTCTACAGAATGTATGAAGTCTATTTCTACAAGATAATGCAATAAAAACTACTAAATGAAGGACAATACATGGAAACATTGTCAAGAAAACTTCCAGCATTTATGTCTGATACAGGTTAAATATCTGCTATAATTTACAGCTTTTCTTCATTTAAAACAAAAATTGTTTATGATGTGAATGATAGAATAAATGATTCAAATGTATTGTGAGATTGAGTGAATATCTGAAGCAATATTTTTATATCTCTATGCAATATAAAATGATTTAGAAACTCCAAAGAGGATTGTAGGGCATTAACTGAGCCCTTAAATACTGTATATCTCCTCACCAAAAACCCATTGTTGTGATTCCATGGCTTGGATTGCCATTGTCATCTTGTTGTGTATATCTTAATTAATCCTTATACTATTATTAATTATTATATATAATAGATTACTTAATGTATACTTTCCCTATAAATGTATATATATTTGAATATAAATAAGTATACTCATGTATTTGTACATAAGGAGCCAAGAAGCTTAATTTAATATTTTAGATTGGTAAATATAGAATCAAATTCACAGAACCAGTTTTAGTCTATGAGTATCAAATACTCTAGTGCTTATTGTAAATAATATGTTCAGTTGTTTTAAATATTGTACATGTTCAGTATTTTCTTCCAATTTAAATGGCATCCACATCATGCTTTATTACTATCTTTCATTTATTTTAATAAATCAACCATTTTATAGATCTGTATTATTATTTTAATATGTTTATTGCAATATTTTTAGCTCTTTCTCCTTCTCTCTCAGTTATAATTTATAATTATGTTCACCCATAGAATATATTGTATTTTATATCATGTGAACCATTATTACGCATAAATTTATTAAGGTTGTAAATGAATGTTTTGTATATATGTGTAGATAAACCACCTAATTAAATCAACCAATTATTATTATTATTAATTACATAATTAATAGTAAAAACCTCTGTGTTCATATTTTAAAGAACAAGTCTTTTTATAATTTATTTGGAATCGCAACAAATTGTATATTTATTATCCTCAAAATGACTGCTTTATACTTCTGTTTAGATCTTTTATATCTACTGTAACTTCCTTTATTTTTTCAAACATGAACAAATTTGTATGCCTTCAGCTTTTTTTTTTCTTGTCATATTTTTCTGTTTTGTTTTGTTTGTTATTCTGTTTGTAATTGCTTTTTTATGCAATTGACATGTACAGAACTTGACCCCAACCCCTTCAACCATATCATTAAAATAACATTTAAACACATTAAACCAGCTGAAGGCTGTTTATTATTGTTATGCTTGGTAATAACTCAGTTTAAAAGAGCTGTTACTGAAATAAAATCGTAGACTTTTAATCATTTGTGTTCTGTTGTTTACTTCATTTTATGGTATGGCACCTTCCAGTTTCTGATCACCATCTTCCCAAGATATTTGGTTGCGATACAACAAAAAAAAAAAAATCAATTTGTTCCTCCTTGTGACTAGCCAAACAATAACAGCAACTTTGTTTTAGAAAATATTTAAAGCATTTTGTGTGGAAGGCAATTAGAAAAGTTTATCCTATCCTTCTGCAACTATCTAAAGCTTTAAGATAGCTCTGAATAATACAAATCATTGTTATTGAGTTTCTAAACCCATACCATCAGCAGTGTCCAGATAACCAGGTCTATAAATATCGAGACAACAGCAATTTATTTTCCATTATCAAGAAATTCTGTCCCCACCAATGGTCAATACACTGACATGTTAGAATTATAGCAATGGCAAAGATTTTCCATACATGTTCTTGTCTTTTCAAATTTCTTCTGGTACATTGTACAGGCAACTAATTAACATAAATAAGCGGACAGTGGGTTGGGTTGGGGGGGGGGGCATGGTGGCTAAGTGGGTAAGACGCTGGCTTGCTAGCCTGGAGGTCGGGTGTTCGATCTCTGCATTGGCTGAGAAAGTTCATTCAGATATTCCGGTGTGGTTCCCCTTTGTCAGGAGGGCCTGACAAGGACAGCTGTCTAGTCGCACGTAAAAGATCCCTTGACAGTTGGAATTTGACCCAAAGCTGTATACAGTAAGGTTCCTGCTTAGACAAACTTGACTCGGAACTGCCTCACCTAGTGTGCATTCATGGATGGGGTTTGACACCAGGAGACATACCCTTGTAAGCTAGTGAAAAGAGATAACTTGTAAAATGACCCTTCCTTTAATCTCTTGAAGCAGTGAGAAATTTTAATACAAATTGAATTTCAACTTTTTTTTTATTATATTTTTCATTTAAAAAAAAAACAAAAAAGATTTTTCAAAATATATTGAAGCATAGCAAAACCTAATATCTATGTAATAAAACATAATACTTTTAAACAAAAGGGACTTCTTCTGGCAAAAAAAAACCCTTGCAGAAAAAATATTGCATTTTAAATAAGAACAAGAAAACATATAAAAGTTATGACTAGATATTCAAAAAATATATACATGTATTAAAGATTTATGATGATATAATATAATAAATGTAAGTCTGGTAATATTCAATTTCAAATGGATTTTTTAAAATGCATGGTGAAACAAAACCATATTCCCCATAATTATGCTTTACCATTTGTAAGTGTGACAAGTTTTGACTCCTAATAAATCTACTGTAACAACCCATACATGAACTTTACATCATACAGTTTTTGATCTTCTCTGTTCACTGGCATGCTTACATAAACAAGTCCTATCCACAGATTTCTAAATTTTCTCTTTTGCTAATTAACAATTTCTTGACGAACTGATAAGTTTTGGTCATCCTTTATGTACCAGTTTTGATATGTTACGATGAAAGAAATTGTCGACAAGAGCCTTTAAGTACATTACTATTTCTAGTTACAAAAAATCAGAAGCATGCTTATTAATGTACCAAAATGCCTCTGGGAGGCAACACTTTGTAGCAAAAAGGATCGTCTTTTTCCACAAAAAAACACTGTTTTATTGTTTACCACGTTTCATGTCTATATCCTGTTGTATTTTTTTGCACAATTAAGGGAGGCAATGAACCTAATAATTCACATACTTTATTTACAGCAATGTAATAAAAAATACTTAACTTTCAATTTATATTTCATATAACATTATTCATAAACATGAACAATAACAAATATAGATGAATGATTTTTATAATGAATAACAATAGACTATTATTTACACAAATAAATTAGTATGTACAAAACTAATATAATATTATGCTTATAATAATAATAAATGGTAACAAATCACGGAAAAAAAAAAATCACATAAAAACAAGAATGATACTATGTGCACAAATAGTACTGAAATGTGGAATTTGTTTCATCTTTAACACAATTTATAAATGAGTGTCAGCAATATTAATTCTTTTTGTTTCAAAGTTGTCCAATTTGACAGACAAGTCAGAGGAATTGTCATCGGGAATACTGCGAGAGATCTCACTGGGTGTGATACTACCTCCTGTCTTCAGAGCATAAAGCAGATCTTCAAAGTCTTTATCATCTGAATCTTGATGATGATGGTGAGATGGAGGACTGATGATGGCGACAGGTGGATTTATATAAACCTGTGTTGGTAAAGCTCTCTTCACAGTCATCTGACTCTTGTGACCAATTGATTCCTTTTCCCAACTCTGAAACAATTGGATTAAAAATGATAACAGTACTTCAACATTTCATTCATCCTCCCTTCAATTTTTAAATGTTATTCAAAACTAATAATTTATCTATTCATATTTCAATCAAAGCCTTTTTGTTGAGGTGTGATTTTTAGCTTCACATTTAACCAAAATCTGAATTAAAAATCATGCTAACACATTGTTTCAATAACAGTAAAGTATGTCAAAATTAAACGGAGAGAGAGAAATGGGGTTTAACGTCCACTCATCACTCCACTCGACACAAACTAGGTCATTTCGGGACTAACATATGGTTCAATTTTATTTCCATAATTTGCTTGCGCGTAGGGGTCTTTAGCAGTGGGAGGAAACTGGAGGACCCGGAGAAAACCCACGAGGTTGGACAGACGACCCTACTCCTTGTCACGTACAACCGGGGAATCGAAACCACGCCAGTTGACTCAATGACAGACTTTATGATACAGCGCACACATGCTAACCATTCAGCCATCCAACCCCCCACAATTAAATGGACAATAATATGAAATTATTTAAAGAAATGTCAAATTTTATGCATTAGAATAAACAAACCTGATTCAAGAGTGAAGCTCTGGAACCTCTAACAGGTGGAGTCGAATAATGGTTTCTACGGAAACTATAATCAACCTTTGGAGGTGGCAGAGTGTCAAAATGTGATGAAGTTGCATAACCTGATGACTTTCGGCGATTCCAACATGATATACATGGATTTCTTAATATGGCATACAACACTAAAGCCATCAAACCCTGTTAAAATGTACAAAGAAAAAACAAAATGATCTGCAGCACAATTATTTCTTGCAAATATCATATCAAGTAGGTACATATACTCATATCATACAGTTAATGTACTAGGTATAAGACAGGTGTCACATGTCTGCCAACAGCATTAAAATGTCTTAATAGAATATGGTTTCAAGTGTTGTCAACACAATACTTCAGTCATTTTGAGACTAACATATGGCAATTTTTATGCCTATGGTTATGTGTACAGAGAGGACAATGACTTTTTTGTTCTGAGTGAACACCCAAATGTACAGAGGTTTTTCATCCTATCTGAATAAACAGGCACATTTTCCTTGTCACACCTGCAGGCACCACCCCTGACAAATGAAGACCTGACTTTAAACACTATGATATTTCTTCTTGACCCATGCTGAAGTATGTGTAACCCTTTATCAGCAAGGCCTTCCTGAATATAAATATAAATAGTTCTAAACATTGTTACTGAATAAATATCGTTATGTAGTTGTGTTTGTAAGATAATTACCTGTATTATGTTAAATATACAAAAGAGTATTAACATCCATAGTTGACCATAAACCATATGTAAGCCTCCCCATAACCATGTTAATACTATTACTATATAGAATCCCAATATTATCTGTATCTCTACAAACAAAACAATGTATAAACATACAGAGACATGGAATATAAAAAAATTGTTCAATACTGTAAGTAACAGGAATGAATACGTCATGAAATAATACAATCTCAACGGAGTCGATCATAACTGAAAATGAGAATTAATGTGACCCTGCTCCTGTTCTAAATGAGCTTAAGATGCCATTTAACAGAAAATGACATCATTTTTATGTTATTAATAGTATTAATAACTTTATGTTGCCTTAATTTAATTGATTTCCATTGATTATTGTTTTGAGTGTGTTATGTTTCACAATACTACATATTTCTGGGATAATAACAATGCATATCAAAATTAATGTGACACTGGTAGATTGATAGAGTATTAAGATCTGTTTAAACTATTCACCTGTTATGTTATATCTACCACGATAAATATCATCATATGACTGCCATTGTGGTCGAAGTTGAAAGGCTCGTAAAAATACCACTAGAACTATTATCAACATAATTAATATAGGTAGTATGGCACCTCCTACAGCAGCATACCCATTCTTTATAAAACACCTGTAAATATACATCAAATATATGATATTTAACAACATGATTCCTTATTATATATACACATCGAGGAGTGGATGAAATATAACACCCTTTTTCCTACATCACTGACAAGGAGAAACCATCACAGCAAACTTTCTCTGCCAACTCCAGGATCGAACCTGGAACTCGAGGTTAGCAAGTTAGCACCTTACTAACGGATCCACCACGGACCCCTCAATCTGAACTACAAACATTAATTTTTAACAACGAACAACGAACATATCAGATTTCTACAGAACTCTATTAAATTTTCTAACTTACATTTCTCCATTGTTATTGACATCACCATATATAAAATCAACAGGTAAGTAATAAACATATTTATATAAGACATATGTTATAGTATAAAACACTGGAATCATAACCATTGGTACACCTGTAAATATAAGCATATTTGTATAAAACATATGTTATAGTATAAAAGACTGATATCAAAAGCATTGTTTTCAGTTTTCAATGAGGATTCACTAGATATAAAATTTCAATATTTTCACATTATTGATGATGACTGGGAATTAACACTCGCTTTCACCTAAGGTGATATATTGCAGAGAAGAATATTTTCATTGTACGAGATTCAGATATTCTTAGAATTAAATGAAATGAAATGGGGTTTACCATTCTAACTAATGTTCTGCACAGCTTGGAATTAAGATAAGTTGCCAGTCATCGAAACATACGCCCACAGCAGCTAAATTTGTAATTGGGGGCATTTACAAGACAATTTCATACAGATCAGATTATAATTTTCGTCGTTTGCGGGTTCACAAGGTTATACAAACTGAAACAGGGCCTTAACTCTGGATGTAATTTACAGAAATTGTTGAAATTTGACAGGCTTTTTCGTTTTACTAATTTAAATAATGCATATAAATTTCATACAGATTGCATGTTGTTTTTTGTCATTTGAACGTTCACAAGGTTCACAAAGTAAAACAAGTGTCATAAATCTAGAAGTAATTGACAGAAATTGCTGAAATTAATTAGACTTATTCGTTTCACACTAATCTAAATGATGCATATAAATTTCATACAGATCGATAGATAAGATTTGTAAGTCGAGCAATGACAAGGTTGAACAAAGTAAAACAAGGGCCATATTGGATCAATTTTAAAACAATCGGATGATAACTTTTGGCCTTAAAGCGGTCAAAAGAAATTGTGGACGAAGGACGGATCGACAGACGGACGGATGGGGGTGACAGCAATATATGTCCACATTTCGATGTGGGCGTATAAAAATGGTTGTGAAGATAATATATGTTGGCTGCTACATCTTGATGGAAAAAAAAACGTTTATAAAATAAAACACAATATAGATAACTTACCCCATCCTGAGATAAAGTATAAAATATAGTTCCTTTCTGTATGTTCATCATTTTGAATCAATATCTTCCAGAAATTAAAAGCCTGAAATTCAAATTGATAAGCATACTAAATAAACAGATATATCATAAATAGTATATATATCTAAAACAACATTAAATAATCTCACTGACAGCTTTAGTTTGTTGTGAAATAGTAATAGTTCTAGTAATTATACAACAAAACATTGTTTAGAAAAAAATTTAAAGCAGGCATTAATTATATTTGTGTAATGTACAAACCTGTGTCATTATCCAAGTGAACTGACATAGAAAGAAGTAATGCATGAACAATCCCATCACAATACATCTATAGTTATTATCTTGTAATGATGGTACAAGAATATTAGTAGGACTTAAATAAGCAGCTACAACAATACAAATCTGTAAATAAAGTTTAAATAGAAATACAGGTATTGATATCGTCTGAGTAAGGTCTAATTTAGTTTTTCTTCATTCAAAGATACAAATTTCGAAATATATGTCCAATGGGTCAAAATTTGTTTAAGAAGTCTATTCATTTTACAATTCTACGGTCTTTAAATTTGTATATTTGCCGTAAATAGGTCACCCAGACCAATTTAAAATAGGCTAGAGTCCAAGTCAGCTATGTAATACTGGGACAGGAACGCACTGCAGCACGCCAACATCTTATAGTGCAGTTTTATAATAAAAATCAAGCATGGTTGAATGTTTATGTTGCAGTAAAGTGAATAATATAGATCTATGTGTATTCTATACTGACAGCATTTTACTTTGAGCAACAAATACTAATCATACAAGAAGAATTGGAATAAACATATTCAAATGAAAACCAACCTGAGTTGCCATGGCAGCAAAACACATGTGCATTAATAGACTAGCAGCAAACATTGGATGTACAGAACACAGATGATGAGATAAGATAACAATAGCCAAACATGTCTACAAAAACAAATATATAAACATTATTATTATTATTATTATTAACACCATTCACAAACCCATATTGAATACTTGTCTTGATCTGTGTGAGATCTTTAATTTCTCTTTATTCAAAGACACAAATTTCGAAATGATAATAAGTCCTACTGGTCAAAATTTGTTTGAAGAGTCCCAATCCTGTATCTTTTGATGAAAGTGTGTTTGAGATTGTAGCCCTAAACAATGGAATAGATGTCCATATATCTTATTTGCAGCAGCCATATATGTACATTAAGTTTTAAAATAAGCCTTAAAGATATACATTGTCCTGAAAGTATTTATCACTAACTGGCAACCTGATTGTTGTCTGCCAGCTTATTGTGTGCTAGCTTGCTTGACTGAGGGAGCTGTTGTTATTTCTTGATCAAATGGTTAGGCAGTTTTGGGATCATTGCGGAGTTAAAATACAAAAGACTCTGCAATTAAACAGTGGAAAAAGTAGTTGACAGAAAATAATTCAGAATTTACTTAGGCCTCAATATGTATGATAAATGGACAGTAAGTAATGAAAAATACATTCTGAAAACTGGACCCTCCTTCAATGAATTCAGCTAACAGGCATGGCGTCTAACAACAGTTTATTTATAGCCTGCGGTATCTCCCGACGAATACAAAGTTTTGACAGGGATTTGAAGCAAATTTTTGATAGATTAATCAGTTTGAATATGTTTTTAGTCCAAATATATCATCAAATCACACAGTTTGTACCCAGGAAAGTATCTTTAATTCTCATTTATTCAAAAGAAATTATGATTAATTATCTGTTTCATTTTATAACTGTAGGCCCCTATTCTATTGTTAACACCCACATTTCAATTTATGCTTTATTACCAGGCCTTGAGATTTGACGGGCGTGCTCGCAAATTGTAACTTTTGAACACGATTTATCGCACAAGCAAATTATTCAATTTTATCAACATCGATATTTGGGCTCAAAATAGTAGGCGACATCCTCCCCAAAACCATGGATGAATTCTCCCCACAAAGCCCTGGTCGATTTTAGATCACATCGCTGTTCATTTATTCGGGTGCAAACTTATCTCCCGAGATATGAAATTGTAAATTCAACGAGCAATTCCGAAGTGAAGAAACACATGCGAGGCTGGAAGGGAAACATGAAATTTAGATCAGTTGTAAAAAATACACAGATGTGCATTTCTGCTTATTTATTTCAGGATTTTGCTAACACTATTTAAAAACAATGACAATTGTTTAAAATGTAATTTGAGATTGTCCCACCTTTCTAAAGCAAAATAATAAATTTGTGGACTTGTCAAAATGAATTCCTTGCCTGTTGATATGTAATTGGACATATATCAAAAGAAATGGAATTCTTGCAAATGTTTTTTTTATTTATGAACAGTTACTTACTAGTACTACATGTATTAAGCAGTGTATATTTATAATTAAATTCATGCACTTTAAATTTATACACTTTAGTTATAATAAACATTGTCTTGGATAGAAATTTGGCGGTGTTATATAGCTCCCGCAAAATATATGGCCAACACATTTTATCACTCCAGCGTGATTTTCAGATCTCAAGGCTTGTATTACACTTATTTTCAGTTATTAAAACATGTTTTATGTTAAATGCGTGTATTTGAAACCATTCTGTTACAGTTGTTTCCCTGTTTTTAAACTTTGCTGGAGCACCTTCCTGTCACATATAATAATAGTAGTTGGTGTAAATAAAATAGGACTTACCATACATATAAAACAAGCTATATAAAACCATATTATATAACCTACTATACCATCAGCATTAGTTCGTCCTATTACAGTATAACTAGTCATATGGTTACATGAACAATCTACAAAACTATCAACAGCTAGTTGTAAATCATTAGTTACTTTACATATACCATTATCTCCTCCAGTCCAACGATTAGTACTTTCATCAAAATATACACATCTGTAAAACAGATTCAAATAAAATCATATTAATTATTATATTGTCAATGTAGATGTCTATTACTTCATTTAAGTTTTGTACATGAGTGGGTGGGAATTCAACTCTTTATACCCCCTGCCCCCCTTAACTCTCTCTCTCTCTCTCTCTCTATTATGTTGATGACGAAAGAACAATAATATGAATGATTTGTTAAAATTAAAACCCCTAACATAGTTTTGATTTTTAGTTAAGAAGGTAAGGGCCTGAAAAGAATGGTGATGTGTAGTAATATCGGCCTTCTTTGTTGTGTTTCCTTTGTGAATAAAACTACAGGTCAATATTGTTCCTACAAATTTATTTTTAAATTGGTTGGCTTCGAAGGTCCCTTGTTCTCAATAAGGCATAGATGATGGCTGCTCGGAATATCTGGGTGAGCTCTGATCAATTTTGCTCAACACTCTTTTTTATAACCCCTTATTTCTGCACGTTATAGACTGACCTTGGCGTTAATTTCCTTCCCAAATATGGAATAAACAACCCAATTCTCCCAAAACCAGGGGGAAGAACATTACCTTATTTGGTCTACCAGACACATGTCATAAACAGATAGAATTTGATGGATATTTTGACAATGGTAAGGATTTTACCAAAATATCACTGTTTTTTTATATATAACCATGGCATTAACTTTCATTAGTACGTGGGATTTGACTCTATAGAAAGTGTTAACCAATAATAAGTTAAAGATACACTATGGTACTACAGTTGTTCTAGGATTTCTTTTATGTTGAAATATTACTCCTCATAATATCTATAATAATGCGACAAATCAACTGGAAATTTATATGCTCAACTGGTTGGTTTCTATATCGAACAAAATAAACAAATGTTCTCTTTTATACATATAAATTACTAATTGAAAAAACTTACTGGGCTGTTTTAGCAGCAATACGTCTGTCTTTAGTATGAATACGGAAGGTAACAGGAGTGTTAGTAGTTTGTGATGGTTGACCTTTTATTCCAAAGGCTATAATCTACAAATATAGTTATACCATATAGTAAACTAAACCAACATGTTATATAACTTTTAATATCATGAATTTAGCTGTTCAAGTCATAAAAATTCATTGAAAATCAATATACTTGTTCGTCTCAAGACCTTAAACTCTGTGTATCAATCTGAAGTCAATCGGATTGACTCTAGAGCATCACAAGATTTTTCAAAGTGATAAAGGTCCATAACTCTGGCAGTAATTATCGTAAATCGCTGAAAATCAATAGGATACTTCGTCTCATGACCTTAAACACTGTGTATAAATTAAAAAGTCAATCGGATATTAACTTTAGCCTCTAGAGCGTCCACAAGATTTTTTTAAAGTGATCAAGGGCCATAACTCTGGCAGTAATTATCGGAAATCGCTGAAAATCAATAGGCGTCTTTGTCTCATGACCTTAAACACTGTGTATAAATTTAAAGTCAACCGGATATTAACTTTAGCCTCTAGAGCGTTCACAAGATTTTTCAAAGTGATCAAGGACCATAACTCTGGCTGTAATTATCGGAAATCGCTGAAAAATCAATAGGCTTCTTCAACTCATGACCTTAAACACTGTGTATAAATTTAAAGTCAACCGGATATTAACTTTAGCCTGTAGAGCGTCCACAATTGCAAGCCAGCCGGACGGGGGCGACGAAAATATACGACCACATTTCAATATGGGCGTATAAAAATCAAAATTATCCTGAGCATTGCGAAACATTATAATAAATTATGATTACCTTTTCATTTAGTAACTGCACATTTGCTTCAGTTTTAAACCATTGCGCACTATTATATTCTATTAAATGAAAATCTGTACACTGGAAAAAAACAAATGAAATCTTGAACTTAAACATTTTCATTTCTTACATTATTAAATAATTCTTTATTTTCACCTAAATTCAAATACATTTACTGAGTAAATATATTTTATATTAAACAGTAGGGGAAAAGTAGGAGAAAACAAGATAATTAATTCTGAAAAATGATTGACAAACCAAGGCAATATCTTTTTTAAAAATCTGATTCACAGATATAGGCATATAAACTAAAATTGTACATACCTGTGATGTGTCATCTATTCCTGATAGTGTATCTGGTATTCTAAATTCATCTTCTCTTCTATAAAATAAATATTCAAATGTATCAATTTGCTCAACAGTTTTTATATGAAAATAATACATGTTTTTGTGATATATTTGAACAAAAAATATATTAATATATTCTAATTAAATACATACTGAGCTTGATATTTATAATTCTTTAACTGATCTTCTGTCCATCTACCAGCTGAAATCTTCACTAAACTACATTCATAACTAATCCTGTAAAAAAAATATACACGTTTAATCTGATCCACTATTTCAATATTCTATAAATATACACATAACGAACAATTAACTTTTAAAATATTTCTAAATGCCTCTGTTCAAATCTATCTTTTGTTAGAAACAGATGAACCATTATGCTTACTCTTTCCTTGGTGACAGGGCAGCAGTTGTTTTTCCCACAATAACCAAGTATATTAAGTCTGTATCAATACATTTTTAAGATGCCATTAAAGTTTGTCAATATCTACTTCTACTTACAAGTTGGAAGTCAGTGTTGTTGAGCATTCTGTATCTGTAACTAAGGTATAAGCAAACTCTTCTAGACGTTTAATCAATGAGTGACGCCCAGAGCGGGCATCATTCTTGCTCGGATCCAGTAATAAACAGAACAAATCCTTCATATTTTTTTGAACATTTTGTGATAATCTAGAAAACAGTAAAAATAAATATACAAATTTTATATAGATATAGAAGCAAATAATTGTGTTGAAGTCTTGATGTAAGTACCAGAAAAAACACATAGACTAAATTTTCAGGATACTTGTATAATTTGTCTGAATCTGTCCTTTTTGAAATTGTAAATCAAACATTTATTCATGGAAATGTTCAAGTGGTATTTTTCTTTATAATAATAATAATAATAATATAATAATTTAATACATTTATAAAGCGCACACGTTCCAGCTAGTATAGCTGCTCAGTGGCGCTGGTTTTACATCAAGATAAATACTTTAAAAATACATTTTAAATTTGAGATATATTAAATTTATAATTATTATAGAGGGCTAAGTAAGAAATTAAGGACTTTTTATAAAAAATCTCTTGTGTAATTTTGCTGAACTTACTTTCTTTTTGCACCTTCTTTTATAATATTATCAAGCGAGTTTTCAATTAACTTCATTTCATTTGTAGAAATATCATCGTTTGCTACAATATCAAGACTATCTAATAAACTGAAAGAACAATTACAAATATCTCTATTTACTACAATATACTATAAACAAGGGATAAATGCATTATGAAATTAATGTAGCCAAAGTTATCAACATAAAATATATTATACTCGTTCTTTAAAATCTCCATGGTTGGCCAAGTATTAACTTCATTCAATTTTAACACTAAATTTTACAGAACATTATCAGATATCATAACATCCATGTTCATGATGCAGATAATTACTATCTTAAATTAATCACCTTTAACGGATAATGGATAATTTATGGGTTTAAACTTTAGAGTATCTACCTTAGAAATCAAATTTATTACTAATTATGTACTTCCTTATGGGTGATGCACTTGAAAATGTTAAAACCATTGCAATAATAATAATATCATTATAAGAAAAAACCTACTTGTTTATATTTTCATCAGTTAGTTCTGTTGATTGTTCACTAGTTACTGCTCTCCATATTAATAATTCTTCTTCACTCACAATTCTTATGGTAACTGTAGAATAATTCTGATGTAAACTGCAAAACATCAAATCATACAATTCTAGTAGAGGTCTTTTTTCATAATAAGTTGTTATGTGGTCATATTAGTTTTACCAATATCATAGTATAACTCCTGCAAAGTAATACAATAGGACCTTTGTTATTACACATCTTACCTTGCGCCATTGCTTGGTGCTTTCAGGTTAACAAGGAATTGTTTAGGTAGTAGATTAGTTGATGCAGATAATGGTGTCAATTCTATTTTAATCTTATTATTCTAAAATATAAAATAAACAAATATATATATATATATATATATAAAATAAAGTTTGTAAATTTCTCTCAATTATTAGGTAAAAATCTAAAATTCAATTATTCTGAAACGAGACAAGATGAAACTGTCAATCATTTGAAGTGAAACCAGGGTCATTGTGAATTCGAATAACTATTGTCCTGATATCGCTTTCCTCCTATATGTATTTCTTGTACTTCATTAACTCAATTAGGAGTAGATTTAAAAGCTGGTCATGGGAATGATCTGGTTTCTAAGTGACAAGAATAAGGGTCACATGTCTAACCTTGTGGGTTTTCTCCGGCTAATGCGGGTTCTTCACACTTCTAAAAATCCCTTGGAACAAGATATAGAAATAAAAATATACCACATATATGTGTCAGTCTTATTGGTTATTGTTTAGTGGACTGATGGAATCTCTACTGTAATGGTAAGGATAATGTCATTAAATCTGTATCTTGTATAATGTACATACCTGTCCAGATCCAGGTTGAAAGATAAGTGTTCCAGATTCTGGGGTAAAATCTTTTCCATCAAGAGCTGGAAAAATCTGAATACCAGCTTCTACTACTTGAGAATTTTGAAACTGTTTTGTCTCATAATCAACCGATACCAAATAATCTTGACCTTTAGTTCTTTCAACATATAATTCAACTGATTTATCCGTCTCTGATACAATAACTACACTGTGTAGAAAAAAAAACATACAATTATTCATATTAAATCAACTACCGTACATGGCATATACATTACTCATTTTTATTCAAACTTAACTCAGCATTGTAACACATGAGCTGATCAGAATATTCTCCCCCACTTTTAGCAATATGCACTCACAACAACCTTGGCTCCAACTCCTAATCAGAAATACTGTTAGGCTTCAGTTCTAGCGTAAAATAAAGAAATGTAAAATAAAGAAATGCGTTACAGTAACAGCCATCTTTATTCAAATAAAGTTAACATGACCCTTAATGGGGTCATGCATTGCCACCACCTCAGTACACCTCACAACATTACCATCTTTTAAATTGAACCAATTCAATAAATATGACATAAACATAATTATAATAAGGTCTTTTAGATGATCATAATAATACAAAGTTACACACAAGCTTAATCTTATATAGAATATTTGGTGAAACAAACTGAACATCTAACTTTCAACAATAGTAGCATAACTACTATTTAAACACACAATCACTAATAACATTATGCATAAATTCACTTTACAGCAATCAATTTATATATCAGAGTTCTATTTTAAATCATTGTGAATATATCAGTGACTTATTTTAAATTATTGTGAATATATCAGAGTCTTTTTAAATCATTGTGAATATATCAGTGATTTATTTTAAATTATTGTGAATATATCAGAGTCTTTTTAAATCATGTTGAATCTGCATCTTTCTTCTTCAACTGTCTCTATTTCAATATTCACATTTGTAATATGATGGGGAGTGGTTCCAGAACGTCACCCATTTTGTCAGTCCTCAGCATCAACCCTTTCACTCCTTGAACCGAACTCGAGTGTTCACTTGCCTACCATAACGTGTTGTTTTCACATTGACAGCAGTTAGTGTTATCGGTGTTGTGGGAACTCGGACGGTTGCTGGTATATGGACAGACTCACGTGAGTGTTGGGGATTGAGCTCATCCTGTCAGGGTTTACACTGGGACTCGCTAGCGCCACCTGGGTGGTTTCCAAACAGGGTAACACTAGGATCTGTGGCACATTTGTCACAACGGCTGGTTATGGGGCTGAGCTGTCACGAATATGGGTTCTGTTCCTGCGGTACTGTCGGCCACTGATTCCACAATGTAGCACAAGTAATAACTTGGCCAGCTAGCCAATCACTTTGTGGTTTCTGCAGTTGGGCTTTCACTCTAACTGACTGGCCAATCACAAGTTAAGATAGATTTTTTACTTTACCAGACGCATCATAATGTTTCTTGCACTTCTGTCTCTTTCCCTCAACCTTCTCTTGCACTTCTGGATGAAACTTGCTTGGTTCGTCTAGATAACAGTGTTTGTGTCAGTGAAGTGTTCATATTCAGAGTGGTGGTGTTTCTCCATTCTAACAATGCTGCCCAATGATTTTCATTGTTGCGCATTGCTCTTTTAAATATATTCTTTACAGCTGAGGGTGGATATGTGACAAGGAGTAGGGTCACCTGTCCAACCTTGTGGGGCTTCTCCGGGTCCTCCGGTTTTCTCCCACTGCTAAAGACTCCTACACACAAGGGAATTAATGAAATAAAATTGAACCATATGTTAGTCCTGAAATGATCTAGTTTGTGTCGAGTGGACGTTAAACCCCATTTCTCTCTCCCTTTACAGCTGACTCAGCCTTTCCATTTGACTTGTGGTGGTGAGGACTGAAAGTTATGTGCTGAATACTCCAGTGATGGGCAAATTGTTTGAAATCTTGTGTGGCATAATTAGGTCCATTATCCGAAAGTAGCATGACTGTCTCTCTATGGATAGCAACAACTTGTTTCATGCAAGTGATGACCGCGACTAAAAACAAACAAAAAAACGGTGAATCAGCGATTCTACCTCACACCTGTCGATGAAAACGAAGGTAGATAATATAAATGGACCTTAAAATACAGGTCCATGATAAAACATAAATGATCAACACACATTGAACACAATGGAAAGAAAATTTAAGAACATGATAACAGCGTTATCACGAACACACGAATGTGCACGGTCTAGATCAAAAGAGAAAAAGACAATACTGAAAGTGTTGTGATCGTTTATATAGAGCGTGGTCACGTGTTTATACACACTGATTCGGCGAGCTAGTTTTAGCCTTTAAAGTTTGAGCGAGTGTGCATGGTTAAGAAGAATAATGAGAAATATGCAATATAAATCCGAGATGCCCGAAGGGCATATATGGAATATAACTTGTTTCATGCAGTTGATCGGGTCTGTCTGGTCTTCAAGATGGGCTACTTTAATGTAGTCAGAATATGTGTCTAAAATGACAGCACAATGTTGTACTTTCACAACAAACACACCACTAGCCACAATTTGTCATGGGAATTGTGGCAAGGGATAAGTCATAAGAGGTTCCTTTGTTTGGTTGTTTTCATTCTATTGGCAAGTATTGCACTGATTCACAGCCTCTGTGAGCTCCTGGTACATCTTGGGCCAGTACATGATTTCTCTTGAGGTATTTATGGTGTACTGCTCACCAATGTGTGTGGCATGTGCTCTTTTGATCATCTCTTTCCTCATTGAGACTGGAATGATGATCCTTGTAACTGTCTGTATGCCACACCATCTTGGACTGCAATTTCATCTCTGTAAGGCCAGAAGCCCAAAATGCACAATGGAACATCTTTCTTGTCACTTGGCCATCCCTGGGATGTTGTCTGGGCTTCTGTATGACCACCATGTTGCTTATCCTTCTCTAGTACACCTTGTTCTGTCAAATCTTTCAGTTTGCTTCTAGGGCCTTCATTACCAGCCCTGGGTTTCTTTAGTTTTTATCAAGCAACGATAAAATACAAATAAAAACAATTCTTAGTTAACGATGGCCAATCACAGACATGCCACTGATAAAAATTAGAGAAGACAAGTCGAAATGTATCTCAGAAATAAGACAGTAACGGTATTCCATTGAATTGTGAGCTGTGTAGTTCCAGTTCAATTACTAAATGCCATTCATACAATTCATATTAGCCTACTAATCAAAACAGAAAATTTTGTGATATCATTCGTAAGACTTTGGTTGTCTAATCAAGGACAAAGTTCGCATGTCTGTAGATGTTAATGGAGTGACTTACAGAATAAACAGAGCAAAAGTAACATCTTGTTTTAATTCCTGATCAAAAAATATGTTGATTATAACAGATGGTTAAGACTTGTTATTTTTACCTTGAACTCATAGCAAACCGTATCAAACCACGAACATTATCACTAGAACCAACATTAATAGTTGATATTGAACTTTGGTTATCCAGTTTAGCATCTTGTCCAACTTCTGTTAAAACTACTAGAAATGTAAAGGCTTCTTCTGGTTCCTAAAAAAAACAACCACAAATACTTGATGTTCATTCTGATTATGTTAGATATTTTCTAACAAGTAAGATGGGAGACACAAACTATTGAACATTTCTTTTTAGAATTTCTATGGTGAAAATGAAAATTGAATAATATTTTTATAATCTCAGTAAATTGTTTGATGGTAAGATGTACCGACAAATAATTATCAAAATCAACATAATTATAAGATTCCAGGCAGATTTCTACGTGCTAATAAAATTGTCTTTTCATTTCTCTGGCTGAAAGTTCATCAAGATTTTCCGGCATGGTTTCCCCTTGTCAGGATGGACGGCCTGACAAAGACATCTGTCTAGTCATTCGGATGGGATGAAAAACCAAGGATCCGTGTATAATTGGCATGCACGTAAAAGATCCCTTGGCAGTTGGAATTTGAGTAGACCATAGTGCCGCTGCCTGGGCAAAATTTCCCACATAGCACACTGTATTGGGCATGCCTGTCTTCATTAGCCCAGTTGGGGCCGAACAGTAGGACATTAAACCCCCCTTTTTTTTTTTTTTATTTCAATTCATTTCTACATATATCTTCTGTAATACAAAATTTATCAAATGAAAACTAGAACAGTATACTTACCAAGTCATTAATCAATGGAACAATAAATGTACAAGAATCTAGTCTAGGAGGACAAACAACGGTACCAGCTCTCTTATATAACTGTGATAATAAATATTCAGAATCTTCTGTTTCACTACTATCCCTGGTCTTCTTGGCCTGCCATGATACCTGTTTATAATATTATATTAAATAGCAATTGAAACAGCATTGCTTGGGAATACAGATTAAGTCTGTGTGAAATCAATTTGTTATGTAAACTGAAGATGATTGAAATAGATGTGTATTGAAATTGATGTCATTTGCCATATGCTACTCTTTTCTTAGATGCCTGTATTGCGGCTTCTTGTAAGTTCATCTAAGAAGTAAGATTCCAATAATGATCAAATATGTATTTAATCAATTAATTACCATTAAAAACTATAATGTTTTGAAATAAGATAGGTTGCCAGGCAACGAAACAAACGCCAACAGCAGCTAAATCGTCCGGACAGTCAACTTTTCTCGGTAATGAAACATTTATAATACATTAAAATCTGATTAAGAGTAACAATTCATGAAGTAATTAACCGAAAACCATTAAAATTTGTTTGGTTTTTATAAAGTTCTGCCCCATGCTAACGTTTAGTATATGAAACTTGTAACATCATGGATTTAGCTGTTCACGTCATAAAGATTCATTGAAAATCAATATACTTGTTCGTTTCAAGACCTTAAACTCTGCGTATCAATCTGAAGGCAATCGGATGATAACTTTAGCCCCTAGAGCGTCACAAGATTTTTCAGAGTGATCAAGGGCCATAACTTTGGCAGTAATTATCAAAAATTGTTGAAAATCAATATGATTCTTCGTCTCGTGACCTCAAACACTGTGTATAAATTTTAACTTTGGCCTCTAGAGCGTCCACAAGCAATTGTGTATGCCGAACTGACGGAGGGGGCGACGACAATATACGACCACATTTCAATGTGGGTGTATAAAAACTAACCTGTACTTCACCAAATATAGCCCTTGAACGGCTTAATTCTAATGTAATATTTGGACTGTTATCTTCATCAGCAGAAATTACTTTAGAATTCTCGGCAAATCCAATAATACCATTAGATAAATCACTTGCTTCTATAGTTACAATAGAATAGCCCTATATATAAAATACAGTACACAATAAATTTTTTGGTACAGAAAATATAAGATCTCAATAATTCATATATTGTTTTAACACTTTTGTGGCTGAACTTATATACAGACGGTCATTATTAGAAAAAATACTGAGATTTGATCTGAATCACTGTGCCAGATACTTTCTTAATTAAATTATCCAATTCTGAGCCATCACTGGCAAATATTTCCCTCAAAACAACGCCTGTCGATCAGTATATCAGTGAATAATTGTTTTCATGGGGAGTGGCAATTTGATATCAAATGTAAACAGGTTATCATATCGGGTTCTTTCTAGTGAGCATTGTATCTCACCAATTATGCCATAAACATTCGTTTGTTGCAACCATGTGACAAACTAGAAAATTTCCATATTAGAAACATGAGATCATGACATAAAAACGTAGATCTAGATCTATAGCTTAGAAAGTGCTAAGAATGTCTAGGCAAGTGCACTTTGGATACTCTTAACATACCTTGCGACCACCATCTTGAGACCCTGTAGCTATGGTAGCTCCACCTTTTGGTTTTGTTAGATAAACGAGAACTGTTTCTCCAGGTTCTGATGTTTTATCATCTAATATTGTCAAATTAATTTCCTTTTCTTTTTCATTTTCCTAAATATATGTGAAATTAAACCATATTATTGATTCAATTAACTGTTATCATTTCAAAATAATTGATCAACACTCTAACATAATTCCTTATTCTTTCATATACTAATGATAAACACATGTAACATCAACAAAAATTTCAGATTCAATCAAGTTATTATTTCATAGCGTAATACAATTTGAAAGTACACTACCAGTTATGGTACACTAATAAAATTGAGAGAAAACAAATCAACAGAAAGACATCTGTAGCATGTCCATGCACAGTCTTTCGGACCAGGACACCATTGAACAAATTGCACATTTGGCTTATGCACATTTCACAACTTTTTTGAAAGTGAATAAAATTAGATGTTCATTCAGGTAACATCCGACATATTTTGTATATAGGGCTGTGTATTGTGGTTAATTATGTAATGGCATAATATGTGGGAATCATTCTGATTAGTTTAAAGGGTTATTACCATTTGGAATACAATTGTCTGATATAAATGTTACTTTAGTATTGAGTAATCTAACTGATTATCTATGCTTAGTCTAAGCTTCAAATATTCTCGATCAAACTCAGGTTTTGAAGTACATGGTAGTGAAATTATACACTAAGTTTCATCACTCTCCATCAGTTAGAATCAAAAGTATCTTGTCCCAAAGCATCGACCAAAGAAATGGCTTAGCTTTAGCGGGAAATATTAACCATTGACCTCAGTCAAGAAACTCACCTAATGAACATCTATACCTCAATTAAAAAGAGAGTTGTTATGTTCTAGAGTTATGTTTATTAAACTCAATCAAGACATTCGCCTAATGTTCCAAAGTCTTGACCAATCAAGTTAGCCTAAGCAGGGTTGTTATGATCCAAAGTCTTGATCAATCAAGCAGAAAATTCTCATCATCGAACTTAGTCAATGTATTGATATAATGAATCAATACGCAGAGTTTCATCGCCCTCACCCAATTAGAACCAAAGTTAGCGTGTTCCAAAGTCTCAACCAATCAAATTGCTATCTCTGCTTAGCCTTAGTGGAAAATGCACATGATCGAACTCTGTCAAGGCATTCACTGAATAGACACCTACACCAATTTTGAACATTCTACCTCAATTAGAAGGAGAGTTACTGTGTTACAAAGTCAGATTAAAATCTCTACTTTGCCTAAGCAGAAAATGCTCAGCATCAAACTTTGTTAAGGTATTGATGTAATGAAACTATACACAAAGTTTCACCACTATCACTCAATTAGAATCAAAGTTGTCGATCTCCAAAGTCTCGACCAATCAAATTGCTTAAATTGCTCTGATAACCTTGAGCCGAAAATGTTTGATCACTTTCGCTTTATTAGAACTTAAGTCATTGTGTCCCAAAGCATCAAATTGCTTTTAACTGCTTTATCCTAAGCCGAAAATGCTCTTTTTGAACTCCAGCAAGGCATTCACCTAATAAACACCAACCACAAGTTTGAACATTGTAGCTCCATTAGAAAAAAAGGTATTATGTCCCAAAAAGTGTGATGGACAGACGGACGGACCCATTTTAATAGTACCCTGCTTTCTTTGAAAGGCGGGGGACAAAAATTGTAATATAATTCTCATTCTCATTGATAGAGGTATGGAGACCCTAGACATAAAACTGAGTAAGACTATACTACCGTGAATGTCAATTCTTGATTTAAAACTTGGTAATCTTGACCATTGGTTGCCCTGGTTCCAGAATATCTATTAGCCAATACATTAGATATTGTGTTATTTTGTGATGCTGGCGTAGGTGTTATTTCGTCTGTCCATGGTTCTTCACCACCAACTGTCCGTACTGTAACACTGATAGTACCATATAATCCACCTAAAAACATCCATTTTATTCATCATACCACATTTTATAAGCTACACTCTAACTAATATCAATAATTTTTCATATATGCAGTGGTTTTTGATAAAAAGTTAAAGTGTCTGATTTCTTTGAGTTGGTTAAAAGTTAAATTTGCAAATTCGTATTTTATGTTTTGATTTGTTTCGAAGAATGACAATCATTTGAAGCTTGACCCATTAGTAATCAAAATAGTTCATAACATCAACCCAATCCAACTTGTTTTGAAGATCCAGTAACATCTGGGATTTCTCAATTTTGCAGGAATCCATTTAATTTTCAACAATATATGGGTTTTTTTCTATATTCAATTACTACATGTATCTTACACAGATAACAACTGTCATTCAAAGATTCTTTTACTAGAACAACAATACTTACCTAGCGATTTTGAATTATATGTCAGAATTTTCTTGAATGAATTTAATTATAGATTTATTTTTAACTAACCTGAACGTACAACACTCAATGTCAGATTTGTGTAAATTTCTGAATGAGATATTGAAGAAGGTTGTATGGATAATTTTCCATATGGATCATTGCTTTGTTTTATAGTCACCATAGAAACAGAAAACAGGCTACTTAATCTTGGAGAGATACCTGTAATTGAGATGAATGTTATAGTGGTTTTCATGGAATTTAGCGTTTTTGCAAAATGCTTTGTTTTCTTTAGGCCAGTGCTTGGATTTTTTGATAATTAAGGTGTCCAGGGTTGGAAAGTTAGAATATGATATCAATTATTTCATTGCTGATAGTTATAATTCTTCTCTAAGTAGCATATAAATAAATAAATAGTTACATAAATTTGTGCATGAAAAACTATTTGAAACAAGCGAACAGTGAGGTTGATGTTGCCCGCCGAAACAGAGGACACATTAATTAATCGCACATTTATCTTTTTCAAAACTATTGAGTAATCAAACTGGTTATCTATACTTAGTCTAAGCATAAAATGTTCACTATCAAACTCAGTCAGGTTTTGAGGTAGGTCTACCTGGTAGTGAAACTATACACTAAGTTTCATCACTCTCCATCAGTTAGAATCAAAGTTATCGTGTTCCAAAGTCTCAACCAATCAAATTGCTTATCTCTGCTTAACCTTAGTGGAAAATGCACATGATCGAACTCTGTCAAGGCATTCACCAAATAGATACATACACCAATTTTGAACATTCTACCTCAATAAGAAGGAGAGTTACTGTGTTACAAAGTCTCGACCAATCAGATTGAAGTATCTACATCAAACTTTGTTAAGGTATTTATGTAATGAAACTATACACAAAGTTTCACCACTATCACTCAATTAGAATCAAAGTTGTTGAGCTCCAAAGTCTCGAACAATCAAATTGCTTATCACTCTGCTTACCTGAGCTGAAAATGCTCATTATCAAACGTGGTCAAGGTATTGATGTGATGAAACTACACCAAGTTTTATCACTCTCACTTAATTAGAATCAAGGTTATCGTGCCCCAAAGCATATCAACCAATCAAATTGCCTACCTCTGCTTACCCCAAGCAGAAAATGCTCATCTTCGAACTCCATCAAGGCATTCACTTAATGAACGCCTACACCAAGTTTGAACATTCTACCTCAATTTAAAGGAGAGTTATTGTGTTCCAAAGTCTTGACCAATCAAAATGCTTATCACTCTACTTACCCAGAGCAGAAAATGCCAATTAGTCAAGGTATTGATTTAATGAAACTATACAATAGGTTTCATCATTCTCACGAAATTAAGAACTAAAGTTATTGTGCCCCAAAGCTTCAACCAATCAAATTGCTTATCTCTGCTTACCCGAAGCAGAAAATGCTCATCTTCGAACTCCATCATGGCATTCACCTAATGAACACCTACACCAAGTTTGAACATTCTAGCTCACTTAGATGGAAAATTATTGTGTCCCAAATAGTGTGAGGGACAGACAGACAGAAAGACGGACAGACCCATTTTAATAGTCCCCTGCAGGGGGACAAAAGAAGAAAAGGATACCATTATATATAAATTAAAATATAAACATTTTGAAAAAGTCCAAATAAATATTTGAAAGGGTCTAATAATTTTATCTACAAATATAAAAGTTGCTGAAAGTAAAATAACAACGTAGTTCCCATGCAAGAGATGGACAGAGAACAGCCTCAAAAAAGAAGTTATTTTTCGGGGCCTTAATGGAGGAAGTTATGGTCGAGTACATGGCAATTTCAAAAGGAACCAAGCTTGTTAGGAGATTGACCTATATTTCAAGTTTCGTCAAAATCGGATAAGAATTGTGACCTGTAGATGAGTGTCCACAAACAAATTGTGGACGGACAGACGGACGGACCTATGTCTAGGCAAACAAGGGCGATGACAATATACGTCCACATGAAAATGTGGGCATATAGAAAGAAAAACATCTTACGTTTATCAACTGTTGTAGGGAAATGTATAACTTGTGTTATATTTACATAAAACATTTCTTCTCGTTCTGGCTGATAATCTTGTGTTATCTAGAATGTAACAGAACACAATTCAAAGAAAAATTACAATAATACAGACAACCTTACTTCAAAACGCATTTTCCTCAACATTCAAGATCCTAAACAAATACTCACCACTGACACCCATGTCAACCCCCACATTTTAGAGTAGTATACCCTGAAGCAGAGATGTTCTTCAATGAAGGTATATGGACCATTGAAGATTTGTGCAGTCATTGGTCTAAGGGGTTTTGTATTTAAGTGCAATTACTTAAATCAACATGCATATATCAACATCTGTTGATAATACAAATCAAATTTCATCTTCTTTTAGGGTGTTGTGATTATTAAAACCTGATCAAATCATTGTACATACTCCACAACAATCTATCCATTAATCGATTTGTGTTAATTTCAGGTAAAATGGTATATATTTCGTACTGAATGTTGTTAATTAATTAAGTTAGGTTCCCTTTAAGGTAATTAGATGGGTATCTCTGGTTGGTCAGCATTAACCATGCAAGTATTGATGTGTACATATATATACTGTTCAAGTGATAATATAGCACACACAGATTGGTCACCTTGTCCACAAGTGTTTGGCAGTAATAAATATTATATTGCAGAAAGCATGGTATTTCCATAGTAACTACATTTTATACATCACCTAATATAGATGAAACTACCAAAAACAAATTGCAAAAGAATTTCTTTCACTGGAATCAAAATTGTCCGCTGAAACCCTGTAGTATTTTCATAATTAGCATAAATTCAAGATGGCTGCCAATTCGACTTTCTGGCCTCCATATCTTGGAAATGGCTTGTTTATAGAGAAATAAATGTATTATTATTAGATACAAAGTGATACCAACGAATCAGTAAAAAAAAAAATATCAAAACGCCAGCAGGTCATGGTGTGACGTCAAGACGTCACAATGGCATCATGATGCCACACTGCCGTTATTTTGACGTCAAAACACTGCTTTGATACCGAATAAGCGGGTTTGACGTGAGTTCTGATGTCTCTAGTTTGGTTTTGTTTCACTGACTGATTGGACTGGAATCCAATCTGTGTAATATTACACTGCTTTACTTTAAGACTTTTGTTATAAATGGAGTAAGGATTAAAGCTGTATATGACTTACATCAATATCAAATACAGCTGATATTTGACCAGAATCCATTATAACCATGCCAACATCTGTATGTTTAAAATCATTATCTTTAGTAGCTGTATGTTCTACAGTTTCATAATTTATTTGTAACTTTCCCTCGGATCCATACAATCTCTCAATCATTAGAGTTAACTGTAATATAAACCACATAAATCATTTGTAAAATATTTATTTCATTCTCAATCTTCTATCATATGTTCAATGAGATCATACGCACATAGTTTGTTGGTGGGAGCAGGGGGAACCCCATTTTTCTGAACAGTTAATTTCCATTTTGCGGTCACCTTCAATAATTGTGATACCATTCAACAAAGTTTTGGTGCATTATCAAAAATGACTGACAGTCAAAAGTGTTTGAAGTGGTTGTAATGCAACGGTGTACAATTATATTTCTTAAAGTATAATCATAATGCAAACATATTTTATAACAATTCTCATGTTCTGTTTGGTATAAACTTTCAAAATACTCCCAGAATCTTGAAAATTGATCAATTATAACTGTGTTACAATAAAGTCAATGCTAACATACCTTTCCTTCAAGTTCTGTTATTGCTGGCCTTGTAGAATTTGCAGAAAACTGGATAACCCCTGATGGCTCAATTTTAGCTTCTGTCTTACCAGCCATAAGTTGTCCACCTCCATTGACAGACACTTTAGGAGGATTGGGTAATCTGACCACAAATATCTCTTTCAGGCCAGTTTTGGCATTTACCTTAAATGATAACAAGTCAACAGTGAGGCTGATGTCCCACACCGAAATCCCAAAATAAATAGATGACACATATTAATTAATTGCACATTTATCTTTTTCAAAAGTATCAAACAATCAAACTGATTATCAACTGTACACTGAGTTTCATCACTCTCTATCAGACAGAATCAAAGTTATCTTGTTCTAAAGCATCGACCAATGAAAGTGCTTAGCTCTGCTTAGCTTTAGCAGGAAATGTTAATCATTGAACTCAGTCAAGACATTCACCTAATGAACATCTACATCAAGTTATAACATTCTACCTCAATTAAAAGCAGAGTTATGTTTCAAAGTCTTGACGTACCAAATCGCTTATGGCTCTTTAGCTTAAGCAGAAAATTCTCATCATCGAACTTAGTCAAGGTAATCTATACTCAAGAGTTTTAAAAGTCCCCTGCTTTCTTCAAAAGGCGGGGGAATAAAATATTGCTCGACATTTACGCATATGTTCAAAATCAATAGAAACCATCTTTACTTCCATGTCCTCCAATAAGAACAGGACAGTAACTGTAGAGTATGGTAATTTATGTTATCAACAAACACATATGTCAAGGGCAATAACTCAGGAAATACTTTGGCATTAACCCTCAAATATTTTGGGAGAATATCTTTAATCAAAATCATTATGGTAATGTACATTTAGGCTACACAAAATAAATGTCTTGTTTCTCGGGCAACTGACAGCTGAAACTGTAGGGGGGGAGGGCGTTTTCTTTTTTTTTTTACCCCATTGCTGGTTAGAGGATGGTGCAAAATAAAATTTGGCTATTGTTGAAAATTGTTGGGGCGGGAGGGCGGCCTTGTATTTTTTTTTTTTTAATGAGAAAGTCATTACTTGTCTACGGTTTTGCTTTCAGTTATATATTGTACATACTTAGAACATAAACCCAAAAATCAAGTCTACTCAAACACTGAACACTGACTGAAAGGAAAATAATTTTCCATATTTAATTCACGTAATGTAGCTTACTAATGGTAATGGTGACAAACATAATTGAAATTGGTTTAAAATAAAATTCCGTATGACTATTAATAGCCGTCCATAATAACGACAATATTTTAAAGAGTAAGCCTCTGTCAGCATGTGTATCAAAAATAATCATCACGGTAAACGACACTTAGAACTAAATCTAGTATCGCTGGTGTATAATTATTGACCTAATTCCAACCAATGCATGTCACGTGTCATCGGGATTCAGGAAATGACTGTTTCTCAGGATATTCGGTGTGTTTCTCATGATGTTCGGTGTTCTATCTGGGGTTTATATCGAATGACTATTTAAATTTAACTAACAACTGGTCAGTAAATGTGTAATCCAATTATTATCTTCCGGATTATCAAAACTACCGTTAAATGTGCTAATGACCCAAATTCTGACTGAGATATGGTGACTATCATCGTGTCGTATTCGTAGCCACAAGTAATAATTAACCTGTTCTACGATTCATTGTTTTATCAGTAGGATTTTTCAAACATGGACCGACTGAAGCCGGCAATAATGAGCCGATTAATATCGAATGATTGAAATATATTGCATTGTTGTCAATGACTTTTGGTGTTGAACACGAATCAAATTCTAGTTCACCAGGGGAGGTAATTAAAATCATGTGATACAAAAATGGAGGTTCTTTCGATATCAATAAAAAAAGACCCGTAAATGAGCATTTACATCTGGATCAGTTTAATACATTTGAATGGATATACACGTATGACGCATGTAGGTACATGCGGCATATTCTTTTCATGACTTGCTTATCGATGTTCGGGCGGGCGTTACATATTTTTTATTTTTCATCAAGACTAATAAATAGGCCGCACGCGCAACCAATTTTGCGTGCGGGCGGTGCCCGAGAAACAACTTATTTTATTTGTGTTGCCTTATCAACAATCCTATCTGCTCAAACCCATCTCTGCATTCACTTGATTTGACAGTGTTTTTATGGCTTACAATGTCTATAATTTTTGTTTGTTCACATATTTGTCGTCTGGGTTTCTTGTTAACTGTTTTGCTGCCTTGACAGCTAACCAATCGTTAGTGAGGTCATAGTGTAAATTATTATAGATATTGTTAAATCACAAACCTGCACAGTAAATGATTTATGTTCTGTACCGTGAGGTAAAGATATAGTGCCTCGAGAAGGGGTTATTTCACCATTACTAACACCAGATTCTAGATTGTTCTCAGTATAACCAGCAACCCAATCTATATCCAAGTTTCCGTAAGTTCCCTCCCTTGTTAAATTTAGTACTACTAGGTTTGAAACTGAAACATTTAAAATACGCATTAAATAATATTACTTTTTATATAATACATTTATTTATACGCATTAAATAATATTACTTTTTATATAATACATTTATTTATATCTAATAATAATACAATTATATGGAAAACAATTTACAAAGATAGTTATTTCTGACGATATTTCGAAAATGTTTCTCTGGTCTTTATCAAGCAAAGAATGATAACGAGAGAACTGTGAAGATATGTATACACAGTACTAACAATTAAAAGAGTAATTAGAAACCATCAAAGATTTTGAGAATTCATAAGGGATGAAAAGCGATTAAATAAACCAACCTTCATCAACAGAAACAATAGTATTAAGAAATCCTATCTTTGAGTTAGCAGCTAACTTAGGAACAGCTATTTTAGCTTCTGTTTGTCCAGCCTTTAAAGTTGGGGGATCAGTTTCTGAAAATGTTCAGGAAAATAAAATAAACAAGCCAACAGTGAGGCTGATGTCCCCCGCCGAAATCCCAAAAAAAATAGATGACACATATTTATATTTTTCAAAAGTATCGGCAATCAAACTGATTATCAACTATACACTAAGTTTCATCACTTTCTATCAGATAGAATCAAAGTTATCTTGTCCCAGAGCATCGACCAATGAATATTCTACTTCAATTAGAAGGAGAGTTATTGTGTTCCAAAGTCTTGACCAATCAAATTGCTTATCGCTCTGCTTACCCCGAGCAGAAAATGCTCATTATCGCACTTATTCAAGGTTCCTATGAGATAAAAATATACACCAAGTGTCCTCACCCTCACTTAATTAGAACTAAAGTTATCGTGTCCCAAAACATCAACCAATAAAATTGCTTATTGCTTTGCTTACCCTGAGCAGGAAATGCTTATTATCAAACTTAGTCAAGGTACTGATGTAATGAAACTATACACCAAGTTTCATCACTCTCACTTAATTAGAACTGAAGTTATTGTGTCCCAAAGCATCAACCAATCAAATTGCTTATCTTTGCTTACCCTAAGCAGAAAATGCTCATTTTCGAACTCCATCAAGGCATTGACCTAATAAACACCTACACCAAGTTTGAACATTCTAGTTCAATTAGAAGGAGAGTTATTGTGTCCCAAAAAGTGTGACGGACGGACAGAGAGACAGACGAACCCATTTTAATAGTCCCCTGCTTTCTTCTAAAGGCGGGAGACAAAAAAAAACCTCCATTAAAAAATCCATATCTATCTATTGCTAAAAAAACCCATTAACATGTTTAGCATTACCAAAATGTAAGCATTAATTACTTGCTCTATAGTCATTTACTAATCAATACTTCATCTGTAAATAATCTAAGGTATAGACACCATATTATTCAATAGATACAAATAATAAAGCATAACATTTTACCTCCTGATCCAATATAGCGAACTTCTTGCAAAGACAATGTAAAAGTTGAACCCAGATCCAAGAAGCCATCTCCCAGAATTCTGACAAGCTTTCTGGCAGAGGCATCTCCATTATTGAAGGTAACGGTTCCAGTATTTTCTTGTAATGTGGCTCCTGATTGCTGTTTATCATAATGTAATGTAAACGTCAGGCTCACGCTTCCAAATGTACCAGCATGACGAGTAAAATTCAATGAAATTTGCCTCGATTTGTCGGCTGCATCAACTAAGACAGCTTGATTCTCGGACAAAACACCAAATATTCCATGGGGATTATCATTATATCTAAGATATACGATAAAAGAAGATATACAGAGAAAATAATTAAATGTAGAAGAACAGAATTTTTTTCATCAATAGAAAATTACAAAGGATTATCTAACCAGTCTTAACCACTTAAACACCAAGCTTCTAAATGGTAGATGTTTCAGTCCTCCACCTATTATACAAGGTACAACATACCCTTGTCTAAAGATGGAATAACACTGTTAGATGGATAATAATTAATAGATCTGAATGGGGATTAATGTTTGACAGTTATAAAGTCATTTTTAGATTTTACTATGGTTACCTGCACAATGTGATGGAAGATAAGTTTTCCCTAACAGCAGTGTCTTGAAAAGCTCTTTTTCTTATGTGCACAGGTGAATATCTAATTTCTGTGCAATTAGATAAAACAGGCAGGTCCAATGGATACAAATATTTTAGTAATTTTATTTCTCAACAATCCAATTGGCCAATGTTTATATGACTGATATTCTTTTACTAACAAGGCGAATGTGACATACAACTATTTTTCAACTGTAGGCCTACCTTATTTTAAAATGTGAAGAATAAAAAACAGTATCAAGTTCTGCACCACCCTCAACACTTGTTAACTTTAGAGTGAATGATTCTGTTAATTCTGGTATGTCGTCTGGTAATATATCAAGAACTATACTTCCTGATCTCTGTTCTGATGCCAGGTAAACTGATCCATTGGAAGGTTGTACATCTGCTCCTACATCCGCAGAACCTTCTACAATCCAATTTATCTGTTAAAAAAACCCCAGTATGTTCTCAAAGAAAATCATATAGAAAATTAACGTCCTACATAGATTGCACAAGGGAAGATGAACATATCAGCATAAACTTGGATGGAAAATTTGCCTGGACAGCAGCACTACATCCTACTCTTTTCTAAAATTCCAACTTTCAAGGCTTCTCTTGTGTGCATGCTAATGTGTACACAGGCCCTCAGTTTTTTGTACCATCCAAATGACTAGACACTGTTCCTTGCCAGGCCCTCTGTCCTGCACAAATGACATGGGGTAAGCACACTGGAAAATCCTGAGGAACTTTCTTGACCAACACCAAGAGTGAACCTGAGAACTTCTGGTTAGCGAGAAAATCATATAGAAACTTGATGAATGTCAAGTTAAATTCAACATAAGATAAATACAATATATTTTTGAGTTGAATTATTTTCCCTCAGTTGGACAATTTTCTTTATTTGGATCACATGGGTTCTGCAGGTACACCGGCAATAAGCATTAGGTAACACATGTGTAAAGTATTATACCTTTATAGCACCTATCATTCCTGTACCAATTCTTCTTGTAACAGGAAAACTGAGTTTCAATGTATTTCCATTTGTAGGTTCTTGTACTTCGCTTTCTATTTGAGCTTGTGTATCAAACCTTATTATACCATTAGGATCACCATACTTTTCAATCTGTTATAACAGTAACAATAAATATAAATTCTACAATTGATTCAATATTTCAATATTCAATATTTATAAAATTACCTAAACATTCCTTGGAGGAAAAGTTTGGTATTATTATAGCCAATTACTTAAAATCCTCATTCAGTCCTTGCTATTAAATTTAGGTAAAATTGTTCCTAAGAAAAATTAGATAGGCCCTAATACTTATAAGCACAGTGTAATCATTCAGAAATAACATACTGGTCAAAATGGTCTATTGCTGTTATTACTGATTACCAACTGCTTCTGATGGCATAAATCTACATGTCACTAGTGAAAATCTTTATAAAGTGAGTAGGGTTTATTTGCAGCAAAGATTTTATATGGAGAAGGGATATCAACACACAGGTTTCCAATATAAGTAATAAATAATTTAACACTTCCATCAATTATTTTCACAACACTTGATTGATACACCTCATGCCAAGTAGATACTATAAGATAAATTTTATTGCATAAAACCTCCCACAGGGAGCAGCATACAAATACATACTTCAAACGCCTAATTTTACTATTAGTCTTTTACCTTTGGTTTAGATATTGACCTGAATTAAGCCCCATCTAATTTCCAAGTGTACTGAGTTAGAACTTACCGTTAGTGTAACATTACCAGTATCAGGACTTATTTCACCTGAACCAACAATTCTATAAATCTGTATAATAAATCTTTTCTCTATTTCCCATGTACTATATGCTTTAATATTCAATTTAAACTCTTTTTCACCGGATTCTCCATCTTTCCATATTAATTGTCCTTGTGTTGATTCTACACTATTTATGTCAAAACTGATATCGTTGGTATCTTGTAAAACCATGTTTGGGTTATTAGGACCAAGAATTTGCCAATATACCTTTAAAGAATTTGCAAATGAACATAACTTATAGTAAATAATTGTACAATATAGGGCATCATATAAGACAATACTTGTAACAGAACATGAGTGACAAAATGTATAAGACTGCTCTCACAAGTAACTTGTTTAAATCAAGCACGGAGTGAGAGCACATAAGGGCACTATGAACTATGGACAGCTGCAATAGGCAAACACATAGCTGGAAGGGTGCAACTACCTCTAGACAATAAGGATATCAGCCTGTGCTAGAATATGGAATTTCCCTTTCATTATAAAACTGAAGTCCAACATAGAAGTAGAAGATGTAAACTACAGACGGGAATATAGATTATGATGTTGTAGGTCTATTTCAATTTGGAAAAATTAGGAACGTGAATTGTTCTCTTCATGAATGGTTTGATAAATTATAAAACATTTCATAATTATATTTAATGACCAACCAAAGTTAAAACTAAGCCCCACTATGCTTTGTGATTGAAGCCTTATAACTTTATCAAGGATTTACTCACATTTTGTTGGCCCAATAACCCACCAGTTCTTCTTATACCCAATACCTGTTGTTCTGATTGCACTGGATTAGCCAATTTAATATCAACTTGTCCAACAAAACCAAATTTACCATTAGGATAATCAGATTTAGCTATAGTTACTGTTGATTCTATATTACTACCAAGTAAAGCACCACCTACAAATTAAAATTTAAAAAAAAATCAACAAAAAAGGAAGCTTTATTCATGAAACCTTAAAACAGAAATGTTTTAAGAAAGCAGCATTTTTATTGGCTAAGAGCTACCATTTGGACTAGGATTTTAACCCTCAACTATTGAAAAGAGTGCATACTTAAAACAGGTTTCATGAACAAGCCTCAAAACCTTCTAATGCAATTCATAAAGGCAATCTGATGTGACTCTATTGCTGCTACATCTATTATACGTTCATATTACAGTTTCGAGCTTCATTCGGAGATAAATGGGGTTCACCATCAACTTGACACAAATTAGGTCATTTCAGGACTAACATATGGTTTAATTTTTGTATTTCTATAATTTTTGCTTGCTCTTAAAACAAACCACACCACTCAATGACAGACCTTAATGATCTAAATTGCAAGTGTTAGACAGAATCGGCCACCCAACCCACAGAGAAAAACTGATCCAATACAGGAAGTTAAATACTCGAAGATTAAGAGTAAAATAATTACATACCATCTGTGCCAGTTAGAATAACTTTAAACTGTTCTTCAAATTCCATTTCTGTATCATCTCTAATGGTAATGTTAATGGTGTTGTTTCTGATGCCGTCTCCAAAGTAAACCTCGCCCGATGATGCAATGTAGTCTAATCCTATTTGAGCAGTCAGATTCTGTGTTCTATACATAACTTTAACTCTACCATAATTTCCACCCGTTCTAACAACAGGTATACGTGCCATACCAGACTCTTCTTTAACTAAAAACATCAAACATCTTCATTTTTGTTGTCTTAGGTAAATTTCACAGTCAACTATTTCCATTGTCAACTGGACACAGACTGGCAAAAATAGGCCAAGCAAGTGCCCTGATCACAACATTAGACAATGTAAGTTATTCTTTACATTAGTGCTTGAAATACTACTTCCATAATCTTTTAACAATGGATACAAGCCTGTAACTAGCTCACTGACTTTTCCTATCTAACCACATTTCTGAATGTGTCAATACTAATCTCATACATTCAGAGAAGGTAAATAGACCATTACCATACATTTTGAATCCACCTTTAATGAATTCTCAACATTCATTCTTTAGATAGGATTAAAGTTCCAATGAAATTTCTTTAAAACATAATTATATATATCCTGTAAGAAAATTACAATAAAATACTGTAAGAAAATTATAATAATATACTGTAAGAAAATTAGAATGAAATTGTAATAATATTTTACCTATAAAAGAAGAAGCAGAGGTGTCAAACTGCAGGGTTCCTTCTGCATTATCATTTTTCTCAATTACTATAGATTTAATATTCCTTTGTCCAGCAACTGGTTTCATATCTAGTTGTAAACCATCTCTTATACTATAATCATTTGAACTGTAAAAACAATCAATCACATATACATTTTATAATTTGTAAAGATAAAAAAATCAAATAAATGTCCAATGAGCTTTCTAAACAGATTGTATTACATACACCTAAATGTAACGGCTTGTCAATTTTAACTAGGTGATTTTGTACTATTTGACTTTGAGTGAAATAATGGAGAATGATGGGTGTGACTTCTACGGATTCCTTTTCTTTCTCTATCGCTGCACCCACTCTCCGGAATGATCTGCCACTTAGAATCCATGTAATAGACACTTCAGCATCTTTTAAAAGTTCCCTAAAAACTTTACTTTTTAAAGAATACGATTCCTCAAATTTTTAACCTTGAAGTATTTTTATAGCTATTTAGTTTTTTATTTTGTTCTATATTTTGTGTTTATTCTGTAAAGTCTGTTGATATGTACATGTGACTGACTGTAACCAATAAATTATTATTTATTATTATTTTTATATGACACTACAAACGTAGAAGGAAAAATGATCATTAAATTTGTTTACCTTGGTTGTAAAAGTACAACGGACGTAATATTAACGTAAAACATCTCGGGTCCTTCAGGGTCTGTATCAGGTATAATATTAACATTGATTGATTGTCTGTTTACACCATTTTCAAACAAGAGAGTACCAGAAGTAGGGAAGAAATCAGTTCCTTCAAGGGCTGTACCTGGTACAGTGGTGTATGACACTTGTACTTGTCCATTTAATCCATTGTTTCTCAAAACTGGTATGGTTACCTAAAAACAAAGGTATTTGGTCAATTTAATTTTGTAAATTATGAAAAAAAAAGTTTGATTTAATAACTCTGTGAAACAAATTTGAAAATTGTGAAACATTAATAATTCTTCAGACAAATTTTTTCTGTCCCTTATCTTTTTATAAGCTGTTGAAAAGGAAATAAACTGGGGTTTAACATCCTTGTTTTCTCCACACCATGCTATTGAAGACAGTTATACACAATGCTGTGTGATACAAGGGAAATTTTGCAGGATGACTACTCTTCGTCGTCTTTCAATTGTCAAGGCCTCTTTTATGTGTGCACATGACCTCGGTGTTTGGTCTCATTGCTGTTAATTGCCAGACTATCAAGGGTTTGTTTACTTATGCACATGACCTTGGTGATTGGTTCCATTGCTGTTAATTACCAGACTGTCATGGGTTCTTTTGTGTGCACAAGACCTTGGTGTTTGGTCCCATTGGTGTTTATTGCCAGACTGTCATGGGTTCTTTTGTACATGACCTTGGTGTTTTGTCCCATTGCTGTTAATTGCCAGACTTTTGCATGTATACAAATTATCAGTATCAGTAATTGTATCAGCCATTAGTGATACAAAAAATTATTGTAATGAAGCTGATAGAAATATAAACAGTTTATTTGCTTACTGACAGAAATATAAACAGTTTATTTGCTTACTGATAGAAATATAAATAGTTTATTTGCTTGCTGATAGAAATATAAACAGTTTATTTGCTTACTGAATTATTGCAAGAGTTGCAGAATCCCCATTGTATTGTATGAAAAAAGAATTTATTTGATAATATAACAACATGAAAACTTACTGTGGATGAATCCTCTTCAACATTGGTTATCTCTGGTAGAGCAAATTCAAATACACCATGTGGATAATCACTTGCTACATAAATAATATTAGATGTGGAAGCAGATGCATCAGTTGATATGGTGGCACCATCAGAAGCAGATGTAATTTGTAGCGTATAAGTTCTTCTTGTTTCTGGCAGGCTGTCATCTTTTGACTAAAATAACAGAAAAAATAATACATGTAAAGTTTTAAATATGAAATGAGTACACATAAGTGGTATGTACTTGAAGTCATTATGATTATATACTTTACACCAATCTGATTAATAATTATTCAATATATGACAGTCAATGTGTTTGATGCTCTAAAACTTCAACTTGATGTCATTTCAATTTTACTTCAATAATTCGCTTGCACGTAGGGGTCTTTAGTAGTGGGATGAAACCGATGGACCCAGAGAAAACCCACGAGGTTGGACAGGCAACCCTACTCCTTGTCACGTACAACCAGGGAATCGAAACCACGCCAGTTGTTTCAATGACAGACCTTATGATGCAGTGCGCACGTGCTAACCATTTGGCCTTCCAACCCCCCTGTGTGTGATAGAGGATTGTGGAGCTTCCCATAAACTGTATAATATACAGTAGATTTGAGTACATTTTGTGTGCTCTTTACGATAATCTTTATGCAATTGTGAACAATCTATAAAAAATTGCAACTTGAAATACCTGCAAAATTATGGATGCCTGTTGTTGTAAATAAACAAATCTAACACTGCCTTCTTGCTGTAAGAAAGCCTGGCCATCTCGTGGTGTTATAGACCATGTTATTTGAACTTCTCCGTAGATACCATCTCCTCTTGTTATCTTGATCTCTGTTCGGCCATCATACCCTGGACTAGACTCTCCCGCTTCACCTATATACACAGTTCTATAATCAGATAGTATTGATATGGTACCACTGGCACCCACATCAGGTAATATCACAACAGTTGCATCACCTTGAGTTGAAGATATATCACCATTATTATCTGCTGATGTTAAAGATACTATGAACTCTTCACGTCCTTCTAATATGGTATCAGGTCGAGACTGCAGAATTATGACTTTCTTATCCTCTCCCTATAGAAAAATAATCATATCAACAGAAATTTTAATTAGTTATTTACTAATTATTAATCATTATTCCAATACAATAACTACAGGTATTATTCATCGTTCACTACTAAAATTGTGACAACTGTGACAATGCAGAGTATGCTTATTCTTCCAAAAACACTTAATTAGTTTCATAGTTTGTCATTACTATTTACTTAATATGATTCAAGAACTTACACCTTAAAAATACATTATGTTAGAGCTAAATCAGCCTATTGTAGGTCTTTTTTTGTTTTCAAATGTGATATAAATTATTATTCAAACACTTATTAACATGTCAAGCCCACAATCAGCTCTCTACCTCATCGAATGGCCGAGATATTAAATAGATTAGAACACATGTATCATTAAAAAATGGATAATCAAGACATTGTTTATTATCATAGCAATGGTACTTGACAATCAAGACTATTTAGTTTAAATTTTATAAAACCTTCAAGTATTCATAACTTTACTCAGGATGTGTCATTTAAAAATTTAACGTTAAAATGGATAATCAAGACTTTGTTCATTACCATAGCAATGGTACTTAACATCAAGACTATTTAGTTTAAATCTTATAAAAACTTCAAGCATTCAATAACTTTACGCTGAATAAACTAATTTGACTGGAATTTTCAATATAATCATTTGTCATTATCTATTTTTAAACTACTATAGAAAGTTCATCCATCTCTTTATCTAAATCTTGCACAGTGCATCTTTAATAATTTACGTAATTGCATTAAAACAACTTAAATTTGCTAATTTTTGTTTTTAAGAATATATGAAAATTTGGATGAAATAAACATTGTATTACATCTGAGAAAGGAATTCTTCCACCATGTGGTTCCAGAAAGTCACCAGCGGCTTCCACATTTAATCTCCATTGCACTTGAACCAAACCTTCAAATCCTTGAATTCTCTTCACTGTCAAGTTAGCTTGACCTTTTGGATCTGTATTACTGATTGATTCCTTAATTTCCACCTTAATTTCAAAAATGGAGTAATGGAAATATTTAAAACATAAACAAGATACTTAAAAAAAAACATTAGTGTTATTCTGTTTTCTTATGTGAGTGAGTGAGGGCACACTGTAGCTTAGAATTATCTCATCATTAAAATTTGATTTTATGACCTCCACTGCCCTCTCATCACAGACAAATGTAATTGCAGGGTTAGGGATTCCATTATCCACCCAGTCTCCAAATTACCTGGAGGGCTTTTTACACACACCACAAAAAACAAGACCACACCCCAGCACACCTTACAAGTTGAAACTAGGCTGGAAAATTATGAGAAACTTTCTCAAGTCTACACAGGAATCAAAATAGGGTTAAAAAAAAGAAATAGTCACCTGTGTGGTTTCAAACATGAACAGTCCTTGTGGTGAGTCATTCTTCAATATGGCTATCCTCACTGTTTGCATTGGTTCTAATTCAGCACCACGTGCACTAATCAATTTCACATTAAAATCCTGAAGATTAAAATTTATCTATTTTATAACAAATGTTGGAATCAAATAAAATATGTAGCTTTGATGAAAGTGTTCATCATTAGTATTTGATAAATAAGGAATGTCAACTTTTTTGGCATAATGAACTGGTACAGAAAATATACTATTAAATCAATCTGTCACTTTTTTAATTTGAATGTCTTTTAGGATCAAATGTACAAAATGTTCTAATGCATCTCATATAGCTTAATAATTTTCCCCAAGGCTTTCAACAGACATTATAAATGAAGCCAAAACACAAGTATAACTTGATAAGCTTTGGTAAATGAGGAAGGTAACTTTAACTTGGCCTGATAAATAATATGTATATCCATGGTTTTATACAAATGATCATCTAGTCCTTTGCTCTAAAATTGTTAGCGTTTCCAATTAGCAACTTAACATAAGCTTAAATACCTCCATTGTTTCTTGTAAGGTATCATCCAAGATAAGTATTTCAATATCTGCACTTGTTTGTCCATCGGCAAAACTTATTGTACCACTTAATGGGTAAAAGTCTTTTCCAAATGTTGCCTTAATTTGTTCAGCTTGCCATATTACAGTTATAGCACCAAAAGAGCCCTTTGTTCTCATCACATTTAAGATAACGGTGTTGTTTTTCCTATATTCTTCATATACATCAATCCTTCCTTCAGGATTCTGAAAAAAAAACCCCAAAAACAAACATTAAACTTTATTTTTCAAATCAAAAATCATAATATATACATTGCACCCACTCTAATAGCATACACTAGAATTATATCTATTATAAGGTATTAATTAATTCTGTCACATATACTGATTTCATAATGTTTTTTCATATATTCTAGATGACAAGAAACAGTGTCTAATTGTTTGCATGGTACAAAAAATGCACAAAAATATCTCTTGACAGTTGTAATTTAAAATAAGAGCAGAAAAGTAGGATGTCAAAACCCATTTCATTTCATTGAAGATGAGATCGGTGGAAACAAGTTTCATATTAATACCAGAACTTACCCTTGTAACATTGAATGCAATCAATCCTCCAGCATTATCATTTTCAGGGATAACAATTCTCATTACATTTCCAGGAATCTTCACACTAGGTCTAGAATCACCATTAATATTACTGCCTGTTAATTCAGCATTGGTAATATTTATCAGGAATGTTTCATCATCTTCTGGTAAATCATCCTACCAAGAAAACACAAATATTTCTAGAGTAACATGGCAATAAAATATATGGTTTAATTTTCCAAAGCAAAATCATCTCTTTATTCCCAGCCCAAAGCATTTATCAATATTTTTATCAAATTACCTGTTTTATTGTGATTTCCACAGATGCCTTAATTTGACCTTCCATCATAACTACCTGACCCTGGCTTGAAACAAAGTCTGCACCAGATGTTGCCCGATTACGTTCTGGTAAAGAAAATGCAGCTGATGTTCTGAAATTACAACCGATCAAATAATGTGAAAACTTTGGCACTTCACCAAAGGAGACTCAATGAAATTCAGATTTTTAGTGGACAACAGATTTAGAATAATCATAAGGAATTTTTGCAGGGGATTGAGGTGGGGGTCCATTTGAACGAAGGAAAAAAATCAAACCGAAATGATACAAACCAAAACTAAATAAAAACAACGTAACAAGAAATGAAAGAAAATAAAATGAACATGAAATGAACATGAATTGAACATGAAATGAAAATGAACATGAAATGAAAATGAAATGAAAATGAAATGAAAATGAACATGAAATGAACATGAAATGAACATATTTGGGAGACATTTTGCACTGACTGCCGCGCTACGACCTATTCTTATATTAAATTACAACTATCAAGGAATCTTTTACAAGCACGGAAACCCTGACGGAAAATCCCAATGAACTTTCTCTGGCAACACAGGGATTAAACACGGGACCCCGAGGTTAGTGAGCCAACTTTGTACTCGGCCACCATCAGGGCTGGGGCCATTGCATTACCAATGTAATTAATTATACTACTATTACCATTACTTTTTAAATGTAATCATTACAATTACTTTCTCATTTTTAGCAAGGTAATTAATTACCATTACAAAAACTTACACATAGGTAACCCTTATTTCAGAAGTGGTGCCTTGTTCTCTGATAATAGTTAATATCTCGGTACGATCAGTGCCATTAGGTTCTGTGATCCTAAAATCTGTTGCATAATTTTCCCAAGATAATACACCATGAGGTGAGTCATTAGCCATTACAATTAATGTAGCCTTATTCGCTAAACCTGTGAAAAAGGGAAGCAGTAAATGAACAATAGTTTTATAATTTAGGATATATTTAAGAAAAGAACATGTTTAGGGTTCAACCACTGAAGAAATAGATTGAAGACTGTATAAAATATCTTCCTTGGACAATATATAAGTTTTAGAATCAATTTGTCATTTTTAGTTATTGATATTTGGAACTTGCTTGGTGGGCCTGTGTAGGACAACATTGTTCACAATTTTGTATGGATACTTACCAATCTCAGCACCCCTTGATGGCAGATTTGTTCCTGTTTCGATTACCTCTTCTAGTTTAACATACGTTGTTTCATCAAACTCTGGTAAACTATCATCATTTATATTAATACTTATAGTGGCAGCAGACTGACCATTAGCAAACTCAACCTAAAATAGTTGAGCCAGAAAATTAAATGTTTTAGGAACTACACAGGAATTTGATTTAAACGTAAAACCATATTATTTTAATATTGGAAGGTTGAGGTCATTGAGCGATATGGCATTAATATAATGAATTCTAACTCTACATCTATTTAATTATGTAAAAAAAGGTACATGTGGATAAACAGAATCTATATGTGGATAAAACCAACTACGTACTCTACCAGATACAGGAGCTATATCACTGGGAGCATGATCTCCTGTTGTAGACCATCTAACAACAACACGACCAAAATATCCTTGACGTCGAACAACACTTAGCTGAGCTTGACTGTTTTCAGTAACCCTAACAAACAACGATTCCTGAAACATTAAATCAATAGTTATATATTCCAACAAAACTATAACATGGATATTAATGTCCAGGACATTTCACTTGCTTTTCATATGATTCTATATGAATACACATTAGCTATATAGTTTAAAATTAATAAAGGACAATAAAAAAGCAACTTACATTTGAAAATTCAATAATTCCATGCGCGTTATCATTTGATAAAATACTAATATCTACTGAAGAATTTGCTCCGATTTCTGCCCCTCCAACTGGATTAGTCAATTTAACAGAAAATGTTTCTGTATCTTCTGGAATATCATCTTGCAGTACAACAGCAGTTGTTGTTAATAGTGTTTCATTTTCTTCAAATATCAAAGTAACGGTTCTGAAAAAATAATTTCTTATTCTTTTACACGTAGTGCAGATGTTTAATAATCATAAAAAAGACATAATTTTTTACTTATGAAACATATATCACTATAACACAGTTGTTGTGGTTTACTTGCTGAAAAGAAATGAAATGGGGTTTAACATCCTACTGTTCTGCTCCGACTGGGCTAATAAAGATGGGCATACACAATACAGTGTGATATGGGGGAAATCTTGCCTGGGCAGCAAATGTTCAAGACTATTGTCTTTAAATAGTCTATGTCAGTAGTATCATCTGCTATATTTTCTAACATTTTTTCATTTTAGAAACAAATCACTGTTTCAAATCTTCCTATATAAAGTTCTTTTTGGAATATTTATTTTATCCTACCTTGGCATGAAGTCACTTTGTTTACTGATTCTAGCCACTTGGTATACTTTTGTTGTTTTTTGTTCGTTGACAGGTGCACTAGCCAATAAGATTAATGGGGAGGAGTTCTGATTTATCATGACTGGATATAAATCTTTTGAAGTTTCACCAGTCCAAACACTTGTAAATTTTGACTGGGTTGCATTCCATAACAAAATCTCTGAATTTCCAATACCATTGGCAAATGCAAGAAATACTGAAACACACAATAAAATATGAATTCCATATTAAATTTATAAAATAGATACATAAAATATTTCTTAATTCTTTTAAATATAATATTACACAAATGATTTACTAAAGCTTTTCTTAAACTTAGCTTGCTTAGGTTCCACAATATGTTAATCCCTTTATTCATATTTCTTTGTGCAGTGTGCAAAACAAGAAATCTATAACCAAAAATATATATCCCTGTAATTATGTTAAAAAAATGGTCTACCTGTTCCATCTGTGGCTGTAAATGAAGAAACTTTTTGTACACGCCTGGTCTCTATTTCTTGGTGTATGAGAAATCGTGTTGTTGATCTATCCCATTTATATACTACAGATTTCTGTGGGCTGCTGATTGTTTGTTGGCGATTATTGGCAATAACTAAGAGATCTGTTTCACTAATAGTTATAAATGTAGCATCCACAGCACCATGCGTCGATATACGCTGATGTTCGGCAAATACCATTGATGATGACATTTTCATTATAACAGAACTAGAACATAATACATTTGATTTTTCATAAAATCACTTCATTTCAACAGAACATTTTCTTGTGAAGTATTTTACACTATTTTAAACACACAAATACATCATCCATAATGATGTGACACACATGTAATTTGGTTTGAATATAGTACATAGATGCTTGATAAGGTTGAAATGATCACATCCACATGCATCCACCTGCAAAAACACTTGCTATACTATAAAGGTCTAGTAACCTTAATCGTTCAACTGGTAGAGAGACTGTTGGGAAACCATTGTAGTAGTAGTTGGTGGTTTAACATTGCTACCATAGTATTGATATCAAGACGATAACTAATGACCAAAAATTGATGCATTTTATTTGTAGATGCATTGAAAGTTTTATTTTTTCATGTGCCATTTCATGTTCTTAGCAGAATATTTATCACCAGTAATGATTGCTAACAATCTACTAAGTACATGTCAGACGAAGCAAATCTGGTTCTATGGGAATCTGTGTTTATTAATTGTGTCTAGTAGTAACACAGACATCTGGTTCATTCACTGACCATATTAAACACAACATTAGAACAACTTGCATACACTTTTATCAGTGAACACATCTTCAACAGGTATTTAAATTACATTCTAACTAAAAACTTAGCTTACCTTGTTTCATATGAATTCAGTGTGCTGTCGTAGAAATTTGCAATAAATAAAAATAAATTTCCATCAATTTCTTTTACTACGCCAGCTTTGGCATACATGGTTGCTATAGACTGAACAGCGATGGAATTAAATTTAAGATTAGTGTTATCCCAAATGTAAATATCTGTAGTCAGTGCAGACTGGCTACCATTATCTAATGAATTGCTAAAGACCAGATATTTCTGGTTGCTGTAAGTGAAATATTCTACATCTGAAGCACCTTTAGTAGAGAATCTTTGTATCTGTAAATGTTAAAAAAATATTATTTATTTCAATACTTAATCAAATTAACACCTCTGTTCTCACCTGAATGACTACCGGTACTAAGACTCTTAACAAAAAAAGTAACGAAACTATGTTCCCAAAGCTAGTGATTACCAGATATTGTTCCAGGATTACCTGATGACTATTCAACCTTGATTATTTTATTATTTTGCAGGTTGTTAGTTTACTGTTATTTTAAAATTGTGAAATGCGAAATATTAATTTTTGTTTTCTGTAAATACATAATTATATTTATATCAAATTATTTGTCCCACAGAAGTTGACAACAGATGTGGATTTAATCAGCCTCAATAACTTACCCTTTGTAGTTTACCATCATCAGATACTTTGTATAAATCTGACATAATTTCACGTGCTTTCTCTTTACCACTATTAGCAATAGCTACATATGTTACTCCATTATTTACAAATGACGTAGCAGCTTTAGCATCATTAGTTTCAAGACTCTGTAATAATATAATTTGAAATTCTTCCATTTGTTTACATATAATATATCATCTTCAAGGTAATGTTCTGTAGTATTCTTTAATGAACACAAAATATAATTTTTGGATAGGAATATCAAGTGAAATGTTCAGACATGAGAGCAGTTAATCAATAAAACAAGACAGGAAAGTTCAAACTTCCAATTTTCTAAATATTAGCAAATATTACCTGAAAATATTTAAATTGTCCTTGCCAACGCCATAAGATAGACTGTCCAGGTTCGAATGTGTTTGGCTCAGGAATAAGCGATCGTAAATCTTGATTTGTATTCAATGATGTCATCATTAGTATATAAGTTGTACCAGATATTTGATAACTGTACCAGTTTGTAACATTAACTCCCATTATAGACTGAAAGTGGCCTAGAGTAACATCCCTTGGACTAGATGTTATCAGTGCTGTCTGCTGCTCTGTTGTCACATCCACTGAAACTCGACCTTTCATACCCCGAGTTCTTCTAACATCAAAACTAATAAAGCCTTGGGTATTTTCCTCAACAGATATAGATGAAGACCTGCCATAATAATAATCAAGTCTCCTACAATATCGTACTTTTATATCACAATAATTACTTCAATATTGACATTCAAATATCGGTTTTTATTTGTTTTTAGGGTGTAGATAGTAGCCATGCTAGAGGACTGGTTGTTTTTCCAACAAGTTTTTGTTTTTTTCCACGGACTCAATTTAAGAAAGATACAAATTCAGAAACCAGAACCTATACAGGTCGCTGCAGGGTCCACTAGAATAGTGGGATGAAATGTGCAAGGAAAAACGCCTAAATACATGAAAAGGCAGTTTACAAAAGAGATGATTTTCAAAGGAGTGAATAGAATGAATGACAAAAATAACGATGGAATTTGAAACTTGAATTCGAGTTGAAAAAAGAAATTGAGAGAAGGAAAATAAATAGACAAATAACAATGGCATTAATTTCAATGTCAGCAGGGGTAGTAGCTAAGCAGGCTCTTGACAAAATTCCAAGAAAGAATAAGAGTTTAATAAATTTACGGCATTTATATTCTGCAGAAATGGTAGCTGTACTGTAAAAGAAAGTACGGTGAAGTAGCTTAAACTTTAAGGAATCAGACAGAAGATTATTCAAATACGATCTTTGAACTTCAGTGGCACGTCTAGTATTGGGGTAGTTAGCAATGTTACACTTTCCTTTTTGTACAAATTACGGAAAATATTCCAGATTGAGTGAAATTTTTGCATTCTTTCAAAATCAAATTAAATTCAAATCAAAACGAGTAGATATCTGATTCATATTACCTTGTACTTGATACAAAGATTTCAAATAGACCTTGAGGTGAATCATTAGCTTGTATAATTAATGTCACTTGTTTACTGGTTCCAAGTGTAGCACCATTATCAGGTTGTAATAATTCTACAATAAATCTTTCTTCTGATTCGGGTGTGTCATCATCCAAAACTGATATTTCTAAAGTGGCTGTTGTCTGTAAAGAATAAAGACAATGATCTTTAAATTTCTTAAAAAGATCAGCAATATAACCCACAACTGGTCAAACTGAGATTTCACGTTTTTTACATCATAGCGATATCTTGACAAGATATTGTTTAGTGATTTTCACATTCAGTTGAAGCAGCTCAACCAACACCTTTTTAAAATTGTTTCTTGGCAACAATAAATATTTCAACAACTATTGTACGGATGAGTGACTAAATACTGAAATACACTCATTTCAGATTCAACCCAAGACGTTTGTAAAGCTACTAATTAATTTCAGTTTATTTTTCTTTTTAGGAATGACACAACAAAAATATAATGCTAATCGCAAGTAGGAAAGAAAACAAGAAATCTAATATATTCTGATCAAATTATGTAAGATTGTCATTTACCTGTTTATCTTGAAATGTGACGACACCATTGCTTGGTGAAAGATCAGTGACAGTTCCACCTCCAACAGCAGTTACCTTGTAAGGTACATGGACAACACCATATATTCCTGGACCACGTAACAATCGTAATGAAGTCTTACTGGTTACTGCGTTATTTCCTGTTGGTTCACTCAAAAAGATGTCGTTTGTTGCTGCTAATGTTATTGAACCACTGGGTTCATCATTTGCCAAAATTGTAATAGTCGCTGAAAATAAAAGGGAAAGGACTTGAAATTCATTGTTATTTCATTAGTGCTATCCTTTTCTAAATCTTATCAACATTTATCAAAACTGGGTGTATAGTCAAATGAGCATGAATTTCATGCACAAGACTGCAGTAAAATGAGCTAGGTGGTGTTAAATGTGGCACTGTGTCTGCCTATCAGAGGATTGTTTTATCATGTATGTCCTGTCTTGATTTTTCAGGGCAAATATATTTACTAATGACTCTATCAGTAAAGTTTCCCTTTAACTTAGATGTTTTACTGACAAATTCCACACTATGAAACAAAAAAAAGAATTGAAGACGAAATGAAGGAAGAAGCAGTGGTGACATGTAAATTCTATTAAGTATATAAAAGACTACAAGACTAACCTTTATTTTCTGCCCCAATCTCTACATGATTTTGAGGATTTGATAAAATAACCTCAAACTGTTCGTTAGGTTCAGGCTGATCATCATTCAATATTTCTACTAAAATGTTATGACTGATTTGATTGGCTTGAAATCTAAGTTCCTGTGAAATAAAACAGTTGACTATAAGTAGATGTAGTTTCCGTATATATATGGTGGGATAACATTGGCACTCTACCACCTTCTAGTGAAACCCTCAAGTTCATAAAGGTGTGTTTATATTAAGTTTACTTGAAGGAAATAGTTTCGGATCAAGATTTGTGTTCACATTGACAGAATAAGAATTTGTTTGCAGATGAAATGATTTGGTGGAAGACTTTGCACAAGACTAAAGACAATATTAAAATATTGTGTCATTGGTATCTCACAAGAAGAAGCCCACTCTTTAAAGTGAACTGGGTTGCAACCTGAAGCTTTGGTTTGAGATACTACTATTTACGCAAAGCACATTATCCGAGTATCTGTGTTCACATACACCAAGAGGATTGGCTTTCTCAGCAATGTGATAAAGTTGTTATATACATGTAGATCTCGCCAGCAATATTGGAGTTCATTTTGTTATGAGTTAATTCCCTTTATTAAATAAATGATCTTTGACCTTTTGGTGAGAGGTGAAACTAAGATGGAGTCGTATTTGCTCTGGCTTAAGGAATAGTAAAGGAATCCATGAGCATCTGGATGATACAACATTAACCGATCCCAACAAGACAGTAAATATTGTATACTAATCCCAATGAGAACTGAGTCTAAGGGTCAAAAAATTTAACTTGTAAATGCAAACCTGTGGAGAAACTTTAAAATCCACTCCTAAAGTAGACCCCTCTTGAAAACTCTGTGCAAAATAAAACACTGATACTTCACCAAACTTTCCTCTTTGTCTTACAACAGATAAAGATATGTTGAAACTTCCTTCATTAACTTCAACTCTACAATATATAAATGATATGGCTAATATAAGGAAGGAGCAGTGACAAGTGGTTGCCATGCAAGATACACCCACAAGAGATAGATAGAGAACATGCTAAAAAAGTAATTTTTTGTATTATCAGGAGCCATAATCCAGGATGTAAAGGTCCGAAATGCATCAATATCAAAAGGCACCAAGATCTTTGGGACATAAATAAATCTTTTAAGCTTCATCAAAATTGTGACTTCTAAAAACATGATTTTTTGTACAATCAAGGATTATAATCCAGGAAGACATGTGCCAATATCAACTGGAATAAAAGTTGTGACCTCTAGGGTATCCACAAGCCAAGGGCCATAATCAATGAAGTTAAGTTTTATACATGCCAATATCGAAAGGAACTGAGATCTTTAGGATATAAACCTATATTTCAAGTTTCGTTTAAATCAGATAAAAACTGTGACCTCAAGAGGGTCCACAAACAAAATGTGAATGGATGGACGGACAGGGGTGACGACATTATACGTCCGCAAAAAAATGGAGGCATATGAAAATCAAGAGAAATAATGTGAGTTCACTTATTACTGCAAGTCATTGCAACAGTTCTTGCAATATCGAAACTTGTTAGCTATATGTCAACATATTGAGTATGTGTTTGCAGCAATGTTGTACTGAAATCTAAATACTTCAATTTGACTAAAATGATATGATTTTTTACGATAACAAAAATATTGATATATATAATATAATATTCTTACATCCTAGAATCTGGTGCAAACACTATTACACCTTTAGATCCATCATTGGCATTAATAATGATTTCTGATACAGTTCCATTCGTAGCTAACCGAGGTGGGTTAGAATTACTGGCTGATCCATTGAGAGTGACAGCTGTCAATCGCACTATAAAAACTTCATCAATTTCAGGAATAGTATCATTCACTATATTTACAGAAATGGTGCCAGTTGAACTTCCACTTTGAAGATCAATGAAGCTGCTTAATCCCTGAAAATCATCTGTAACTGTGGCTAACTTTAATGTATCACTTGTTGGAGTGATTGAACCAGCTAATACTTGATAGTTTACTCTAATTTGACCTGGGGAAAAAATATAATGATATTTTGAATTAACTACAAGATGGAAAGTGAAAATTACTCAACAACTGAAAGAGACAACAAAACATTAACCAACAAAAACTTTTAAATATCAAAACATCTTATGACATACAGTACATGCCTCATATGATTCATCATGACATTATATATTTTCTCCTGAAAACTTTTGCTTAATCAGGAACAGATCAATATATAGGCCTCAAGTTAAGCACACAATCTCACAAAACCATATCTAGTAATGAAGATTCATGCTGATAACCAAGACATTCTTTTTTTTATAATTGGTGGAAATCATTGAAGTATGATTTACCTCTTTGAAGGATTTGAGATATCAAACATAAAAGGTTAATAACTGTATCAAGAATTTGCTTTTATATTAATTTAGGTTTCTGTAATTATATGATTTATATATTACCTATAGCTCCAAATTTCCTGTTAACAGTAAGAGATACTGTTTGTTCATCTTCTTCTATGCTAACTTTAAGTGAAGTTAGAGAAAACTGCACAACTCCATGTGGATCATTACTACCTTGTATAGTTATTAACAAGGTTTTAAATCTAGGATCAGCAGATGCAGCACCAGTTTGACCAACACCTGAAATTGGTCATAACAACAGTGTTACAACAAGTAGATGGAGAGAGAAATTTAAATGGGATTTATCGTCCACTCAACACAAACTATGTCATTTTGGGACTGCTATATATGGTACAATTTTATTTATATAATTTGCTTGCTTGTAGGAGTCTTTAGCAGTGTGAGGAATCCAAAGGCTCCAGAAAAACTAATGAGGTTGGGTGGGCGACGACTACTTATTGTCACATACAAGCCTGGAATCCAAAGTATGCCACTTAACTCAAAGATAGACATTGTGATCTAGAGAGCACACGTTAGACAACTCAACCACCCAACACTAGTTTAAATCATTCCATGATCTTAATATCATATTATGTAAAACTATTTATATTACCTGTTGTTGTTAAATTAACAAGATGTAACTCATATTCTTCATTCACTTCTGGTGTTGTATCAACTCGTGCAGATAGCTTAATACTCTTAGACACTTCTCCCTGTTTAAAATGAAAGTAAACAAATGACAGTTCACTGTTAAGTGCAAGGCAACCCCATTATCACTGAGGGAATGATGTGCATTTACGAAAAATCAAGATTAGTGGAATTGACAACTTGATATATGTACAGTCCAGTACAACTTCCATCATTACAACTCTGCCGTTGATATTCTAGTAATTAATTTTGACTTGAGCACTATATTTACCAGAGGTACTTATGCTAGTGATGTAAACTTAGACAGGAACAGTGTGCAAAACAAACATTTTCCAAGCACAGGCCCACAGGAAAGGAAGTAGCCTACATATAAAGCGGCTGCGCATGTGTAAGAAATATATGCAGAAAAAAAAGACACAATCAAATTTGCGTTTGATTTCAATTTAATGGAAACAATTCTATTCATAGCTACATAATTTAGGGTTTTTATTATTAAACTTCGTAAACTTTAAACAAGTACAAAATAGCCGTGTTGTGTGGCGATAACGTTGCCGAATGACGCAATGGTGTTGGCATAAACTTGCTTGGCCAGCCCTAAATTGTTAGCACAATAGCCTATGTCCAGTAACAAATCAGAGGCTGGTTACGAGAGTCAATGTTTGCCAAAACAACAGCTTTCGTTATGTCGATGAAAAGTAAACAATAACTGTCAACACTCATAGAAACTATCGGAGACTCAGAGGTTGCGTTTCTATGACAGTTCTACCATTTCTAGAATTATTGTATGTTGACACTAACTATGCGAGATAACAAATCAGTAACAAATCAGAGGCTGGTTACGAGAGTCAATGTTTGCAAAAACAACAGCTTTCGTTATGTCGATGAAAAGTAAACAATAACTGTCAACCCTCGTAGAAACTATCGGAGACTAAGAGGTTGCGTTTCTATGACAGTTCTACCATTTCTAGAATTATTGTATGTTGACACTAACTATGCGAGATAACAAGGCAAAGGCCTGGCAGACTCAAGTGAAATAGGCAAGCAGGAGTCCTCCGATAAATCAGTTGGCCTCGGGCCTATGGACAGAAGTTTGTGTTGAACACTGGATAGGAACAAAGGAAAGATATATTTTAACTGGATTTATGTATACAAACTTACAGGCTGAAATGTAAGAGAACCAGATGATGTTTGGAATCCTGTATCAGGCTGTAATCCAGCTCTACCTCGTATTTGCCAATCAACCGAAACTGTACCATGTGCTGGTTCTGTACGTTTTACAAGAACAGTTAAATCATCACCTTCAAATAGATTTTTAAAGTAGACTGTTATTAGTAATTATGTAAATAAATAAAATGTTTAGTAATAAATGCATACACAATTATGTTTATTTTCATTTAGTTTATTTTCTAAATAGAATGAAATCAACTTTTATTTATTATTAAAACAATAAATTAAAACAAGGGTTTACCTTCTTGTGCTAGTAAAGATGTTGTCTCAAAACCAATAAGACCTGCCACATAATCATTCTCTAGTATAACAACAGAGATATTAGTCTCTAAACCTAATGTAGCACCTCCGCTAGGATTTGTCAGTTGTATCGTAAATATTTCTCTATCTTCTGGTTCAGGATCATCCAAGATGGTAACAGTTATAACTAAAACATAAAAATAATATCTTGAAATTTTTTAACTTTATTATAACTATTCTTTTTTTAACTAAAATAAATTTGGCAAATTTCCCATAATATTTTAGAACAAAAAGGTGGGAAAACTATTGTTTGGACTCTGGAATGAACTTGAGATCCACTTACTTCCTGATCACAATGTCTGCTAAAATATTCTCAAAAATATCTGCCATCCAGATATCTAATTATTTCAGAACAAATTATTATGAATATTTGTATGCATTAAAAAAATCTCACCTCTTCTGGTTTGACCAGATTTAAAAGTAAGAATGGCTCCATCAGCAATAAAATCTTTACCATAAGTAGAATTATTGGCTTCTACAGTCCACTGCACACTAACATCTCCAATACTACCACCTATAAAAATATGGTGTACAATACTTTTTATACTCAAAAGAATGACAAATCTTGTAAATTATTGAAAAAAAACTCCCCGAAAAACTAATTTCACTGTTACCAACTTTAAAGATAGGTTGCAAGGCAACGAAATATATGCCCACAGCAGCTAAGTCGTCTGGGCAGTCAACAAGTGTTGTCGCATATTTTTTCTTTTGTCAGTAATGAGAACATTTACAATTATAACACATAAATATCTGATTACGAGTAATAACCCACGAAGGAATTATTAGAAAACATTAGAATTAGTTTTGATTGTTTCATGACCTTAAACAATTTATATTAACTTTTATAGCCTCTAGAGTGAATGAATGAATGAAATGGAGTTTTAGCCTCTAGAACGTCCACAGGATTTTTCAAAGTGATCTACTCTGGCAGTAATTATTGAAAATCGGTGAAAATCAACAGGATTCTTTGTCTCATGACCTTAAACACTGTGTATAAATTTTACGTCAATCGGATATTAATTTTAGCCTCTAGAGCATCCACAAGATTTTTCCAAGTGATCAAGGGCCATAATTCTGGCAATGATTATCAGAAATCGCTGCAAATCAATAGGCTTCTACATCTCATGACATTAAACACTGTGTATAAATTTAATGTCAATCAGATATTAACTTTAGCCTCTAGAGCGTCCACAACCAATTGTGGACGCCGGACCCCTGGACCGACTGGGGCACAACAATATACGACCACATTTCAGTGTGGGCATATAATAATGTAAGTGGTCAGTTTTGAATTGCTTTAACATATATATGAGATTGAGAAATTTCAGAATAAGTTGGCAGGCGGCAGTACACAGATATGGTAAACTACCACAGTCAGTAGAAACAATTTATTAATATTTCATTCCAATCAAAACAACTACTACATAAAGCAAGACATTAATGTGTTAAATCTGACCTTACTGCCAGCCGATTTTTGTACGTAGCATAACAAAATTTTATCAGAACCCCTTGTAGCATTAAATAATCAACAATCATTTATTGGTTGATAGGCTAATCAACACCATTGATATACTGATATAATCATCTGATCTGAGGATTAAACTACAGTATTACTAATATTTCTTTGTTCAATTTAAAAAAAGAAGGCACCCAAACATAATTTAAGAAAAAAAGATGCAGCAGGTCCCATCAATTTGTGTCAAGTTCTATAATTTAAAAACACATTAATGTTTTGTTGTTTTAAAGGATGTGAACCAACCTTGTCTCTCTACTATCAAATCTACAGCTAATTTATCGGTTTCTTCAACTCTTATTTCACGTCCCACAGAAGATGAACTACCATATATATTAAATACACCATTAGCATTGTCATTTGCTAATATAGTTATTGTAGCAGAGGTAATCATGCCAAAAACAGGAGCTTCTTTAGTGGTAAATTTATTGTCCGCCACCTCTATTCTTGTCAATTTTATAATAAACTTTTCATCTAATTCTGGTTGTGTATCATCAATGAGTTTGAGAACAATTACACCAGATGTTTCACCATCTTGAATAATGATAAATTCTTCTGTTACAGGTTGAAAATCTTCTCCAGTCTTAGCCTGCATGTCTTGTAAAGTTTGGAACTGTAAATTAAAAAAGAAATTATAATTCATCAAAATAAGGCATTTTGGGAACTAACTACAACTTAACAGTATAAATTATCATGTGAGAGAGTTCAAAACTTAACAAGACCTGAGCCAGCATAATCGCCTATCAATGATTTAACTATATTTATACATTATTCATTTCACCAACATGATAAAATCCTCATGTGAAGTAAGAAAAAATTGGTCCATTTCTTAAACACATTTGAACACATGGTAGCACAAAATCAGTGCCTAAAACATTTCTTGAAAAACAGTTGCACTGACAATGTGCCCATGATCTTACACTGTTCACCTTCTTTCACATAGATCAATTCCGAGGGTTAAGGCTTAATATTCTTAAAATTTTGTTCATTTAGTGGACCCATTAATAGGCCTACATATAAAAATTACTTTTTCTCAGTCACATTTTTAATTGGCCCTGTTTTACACAAGCGAGTTCTAACAACAACAAAAATCATAAAAAAGGACAAATTTCTGTAATAGTTTAAGAGCAGATGTTTAAACAAATCAAAAAGGATATCAGACTAAACTTTGAAATTTTTGTATCAAGTGGACCTTAACTGAATACATAAATATTCAAAGAAAATTAATCTAAAGCATTTTAAAAAACACACTATGATATGAAAAAGTAGTGTAGAAGTCAATTTCTTTTTTAAAAAAGAGAATGTCATGATGATGTAGAAACCAAATTTATACAGACTGAGAACATGCAGTAGTTTGTTAAAGGTAAGTAAAGTTTGAACTTTTCTAGAAGTTGAACATATTCCATTCAAATTATTTAGTTGAAATATTTAAAGTAAGTGTCACATAAAAATATGCAACAATTTTAAGAAAAGAATACAAATTTAAAAAAAACAAAAAAACACTGACAGGAGTTCCCTATACACCCACCAACAACTAAGATATAAAAATATGCTAAATCACAGATGATGGACGAAGTTGATGACAATATATATCCACATTAAATTTGGGTATAATGTTAACCAACACTAGAGGGATGACAGAAGGTACATTATGATATTAGCCCAATGCCTTAATAACCTACTTTTTCACTATTCTTATCATAGATCATGTATGTTGGCTCAGCTAGTATTATATTTGTTGGCGTTGTAAACCACTGACACATTGAAGAGTTATCTCCACTTGAAAGCTGGAAGCTCACACAAGCCTCTAAACCAAGACATAAAGAGGCACAAGCCTGGAACATAAATAAAAACAAAACTTTTAATAGCAAAAAAATTATTTAAATACAGGTTATTACATATAGTGAACTTGGGAGAGTTAATTTCAAGTAAACTTGGGAAGAGTTAATTTCAATGGTACTGGTAATGTTCATGAAAATACACAATGTTCACATCATTACCAAAAACAAAATACCAAATATATTTCATGTGCATAGTTTCATTCATAATGCTTGGAACAATATACAAATATTGCAGTCTTTGATTTAGATCAAACATGTCAAAGGCACTGTTTTATTTAAAACGACATGGATGATAATTACCTGCATTGGATTTTGTGAAGTCGGAAAATTGACAATGTTTCCTGTGTCACTTCTCATTCCAGTGGTACCATTTCCATAGTAACTCATTACTGATTCACCTTGTTTTGTTATCTCAGTAACCAAATCAATTTGAGAAACAGTATAAAAAACTTTAAGACTACCATAACTTCCACCACTGAAAACAAAGTAGAGAATCCATCAATCTCAATTTGGAAGGTAAAACATTTGAATTTTGGTCAAAATTTCGGCTAATTGAACTACTCATGTTCATTTCTACTGTTCTGCTTGAATTTTTTTAACAAATATTATACAAAGGTGTTTGTATTTGTGGCTGTAGACTATATGCAAGTTTATCAAATGGTTAATAAAATGATCAATAATCATACCTTCTTTGCAGACGAATAGTTTCTCCAATTTTCTCTTGAACATTATATTCAATATTATAAAGTTGTACAAATCCATGAGGATTATCATTCGGGGCTATAGAAAGTGTGAAGTTATTTTTATCGCCTATTCTTCCATCTGTTGATTGTATTCTTAAACTGAACTCAACATCCTGTACATACAGAAAATAAACAACCAATGAAACAGCATTATACAAAATGAATAAAAAAACTCCTTGTCTTATTTGAATATGAATAAACTACCCACTTTTTCATCAGAATCAAAATTATCTGACAAAAAATAGCTATTCTGAATTGCTTATTTAAAGTGGAAACCAACCTCTTGTCCTTCCGGAATATCATCTGGCAAAATGCTAACAGAAATACGTCTACTTCCTTCGTTACTTATAAACCTTAAAGATCCTGATGATGGTGTGATGTCATCACTAGCAAGTCCACCTAAAATAAGTTAATCATCAATAAAGACAAACACAAATAATGAAGTGTTTCATCATTTGAGACATATATAACTTATATTTACAAACTTATTGTAAAGACATGGATAGAAAGGAAGAGTTAAGTTTATGTTCATTGTTATTCAAAAGAAACTAGAGTTTATATTACAACTTACCACTGAGCTTGGCTTGCCATTCTAAAGTAACAATTCCTATAGATCCTCCTAATCTTTCTACAGTAATGTTTACTTGATAAGGGAGACCATTCTCAGGTTCTTCAACACTCATACTACTGGCAGCAAATCCTACAATACATATCTATTTCATTTGAAATATCTTCATTACATTTATTTTCTGTGTTCACCAAATTATTATACTATTAGTCTTACAATCTATTCAAAAATAAATTACATTTATAATTTTAAAGAGTTTGTCAACCCGAGCAACTTCATGTGAAGAGTACAATTCTTCTTGGATCTAAATATAAGATGAATACAAGTCCCAGAAATTTAAACTTACCAAATGCTCCATGTGGATCATCAGATGGTTCTATATTGACAATGGCTGCTCTGTTGGTGCCTAAAACAGCACCTCCTGATTTAATCCTCACTAGTTCCACAGTAAACGATTCTTTTAATTCTGGTATTCTATCATCTATTATTTCTATTGGAAGTCTCTTGCTGGTTTCACCAGAGCTGAGTATGACTTCATTTCGAAGCACTTCATAATCGACCTTAGATTTAGCAGTACCTTCAGTAGCTCTGAATTCCACAGTAACCTTATAAGTACATTAGAAGAAAAAAATGTTAATACTGAAAAATATATCTAATTCTGCCCCCAATCAACAAACATACCTACCAAGTGTGGTTGATGAAGATGTTGAAAATGCTTAAATCAAGGTACACTACACTGCCTTTTTTTATGAAAATCTGAATAAGCAATAACAGGCCAGACAACAGTCTCTATTAATACAAAAAATATATGTATGACTTACCTCACCAAACAGGCCACCACTTCTTGTTACGTTGATTTTTGGTTGGGAGCCTTCAGTTACAGACACATTGAGGGGAGACAACTGTATTACTCCATTTGCATTGTCATTGCTAGAAATGATTATCTGGGCATAGGTTGAGACGTTTGAACCAAGGGTTGGTGAATTATTAACTGTAGTAAAAATGATTTAAAATGTCAGGACTAATACTTAATAAAACTACTGATAAGACAGTTTCCTTTCACAAAAAGAGACATATAACCCAAAAATCTTTAAATTGTTTTAACAAAGAGTTATGATTTTGAAAAAAACAGTGAATTAATATTTAGTTATCTGACCGAGATAAAACTACTTACTTGTATCTACTTGTGCAACTTGGCTGACAGCTACTGATGTCAGACGTACGAACAATGATTCATCCTCTTCTGGCACACTGTCATCAAATATAGTTACCTGAAACGTGCCATATTCTTGATTGGGCAAGAATTGTAGTGAACCATCAGTAGGTCTAAAATCAGTTACATCAGCACGTTGTAAAGGTCCAGGTAGAAAAGAATAGGTTTTTGTTGGAGCTACAGTTGCATAATTGACAGTGACCGCACCAAATTTACCCTTTAACCTTCTTACACTGATAGTTACATCTGAAAGAATACAGAATATAGATTAGGATATATTCAAATTTATATTTTGTTAGTAATTTTCAATGCAAACATGGCATAATTTTACCATACATTAGGTTTCTCTTATTAACTTGTATTTTGTATAGGGGGTTGGATGGCTGAATGATTAGCGTGCGCGTGCTGTATCATAAATTCTGTCATTGAGTCAACTGGCGTGGTTTCGATTCCCTGGTTGTACGTGACAAGGAGTAGAGTTGCCTGTCCAACCTCGTGGGTTTTCTCTGGGTCCTCCGGTTTCCTCCCACTGCTAAAGACCCCTATGCACAAGCAAATTATTGAAATAAAATTAAACCATGTTAGTCCCGAAATGACCTAGTTTGTGTCGAGTGGACGTTAAGCCCCATTTCTCTCTCTCTCTCTCTCTCTCTCTCTCTCTCTCTCTCTGTATTTTGTATGCAAAGTTTGTGGTCTATTGATTCATCTAAGCATGAAGTCCCTGATGATCAAGGAATGGTCATTTTATATGCTTAAAGTAATCGTTTTGAGATCATCAGCTCACTTGCTATGGTAACATGGTTCTTTTGATTAGTTATCTTCTCTCTGGTCCAGTAGTCCAGTGGTAGGCTAATCACAAAAAAAACAGGCTATAGGAACCGAGCGCATGTCTCCTGTATATGTAGTTATCATGTTGGTTTGCAAATTTTATTAGTATTGAACTGAACTATACATTTCCGCAACCGATTTCAGTTATGATCAACAGTTATTGGTTTATTAGATAAGTATGAAATAAAAGCACTGAAAACTAATGAAAACAATCACCCATAATTGCTATCAAGTTTGGCAATAGTTAGTGAGCTGATAATTCTCACTGCCATTGTGTCAGGAACATGTACTGGCACCTCTATTTTCTAATGATAATGACATAACTCTGTCACTTTAAGTTTTCAAGTGTTAGTAAATTATCAAACATTTGGACACTGAACAAGAAAATGCTAAGTTAATATTACATAAAATTGGTGAGGCGTATCATATCATAGATAATTAAATTTTAATACCATTGTTTCTCTCCTCTACTGTGATTGGACGATATGTACTAGTTATAACAAATTGTCCATAGGGATCATCATTTCCTTCAATTGTCAGCACAGATGTTAACTTGACCTCATTTCCTAATTCACCCTGAAAAATCAAAATCAATTAACAGTTCAATCTTTGATACAGCTATATGAAATTTAGCTTTTTATATAATGTAGGTGTGTAGTTTTAGTGAAACCTTCCATAGCATTATTAGTGTTAAAGTGGCGATCACTTCTATTTACTTTTTGGTTTATTTCACACAGTCAATATGGCAACTTTATTCCCCACACTCTCTGTCCATTTAAGATACCATGTTTTGAAAGTACAACATTACTGTGGTTATTGTATTTTAGGGTTTTATTGGCTAGCACACCAGCAAATCGGCAGTCATACTAGTTCCATAAATGTAAGGGTTCAATCTACCAATGCATTTGGGAGATGATGTATTAACATACTGTACAATATACCTCTGATGTTCCTGTAAGTTTAATTTGAAAGACTTCTTGTAGCTCTGGTTCTGTATCCCCACTAATCTTCACTTCTAACATAGCTGATGACTGGCCTGATTTAAAGTCAACAGTTCCCGATTTTTCCATTAAATCATTATTATCATCACCTACTGCAACCCAGGTAATGCTGGCATTACCAATTGTTCCTCCTTCCCGAATTACCTTAAATCATAAAACACAACAAAGTTAGAAGTAGGGTAAAGTGTAAAGGGCAGATAAAAATTTGTTTTAGAATTCAATTTTGAAAAGTAATTATACATCCCCTTTTTAATTAAGAGGGGCAGGTTATTGGCATATATTTTGAGATCATCAAGATCCCAGGATGTGTTAGCACCGTATTCTAAATTTGTTACATGGTATGCTATAATTTGATGCTTTTTGAAATGTGAAAATTTGAAGCGGAATATTTGGGGAACTATCAATGGCAAAAAATCATGTTGCCCATAAAAGATTCCTAGGTTTATTAGCATTGCATGGGTTTTAATCGAAATATAATCAAAGTTTATAATAGATTACCTCTAAATAAACAGAATTAAATCCAAGATCACCTTCTTCTTGAACTTTTTTTACCAGTGAATTATCAGCAAATCTATAAATACCAAAAGCTCCATCTGATGAATCTATCACTACTGTTAGCATGGCACCTAATCCTACAGCTGCCCCACCTTGTGGATTAACAAGATGAACGTTAAACATTTTCTCATCTTCTGGTATATTGTTGTCATTTATGGTTATGTTTACATAACCCCATGTTTCACCATCTTCAAAAACCACCACATCTGCATCACCCTGTCATGATCAAGAAGCAATATTATTAAAATATGTGATCTTCAAGAACCTATGTATTTTTTTCATTTCGAAGTTTAAAATTCATTCAATGTCAATATTTGTTTTTTTAAAAAATAATTATCACTGACATGCATACAGAATACAATGTAATGTCTGGTGTTTAGTACCAACAATATCATACACAAATTTAACACAAAGATGAAAAGAAAAACAACATAATTAATATCTGAAAATCAGAAACTTTATTTTTGTCATGTAAAGTTGTTTGAAAAATATATTGTAAAAGAACCGCTGAATAGCTGAACCATCTGATGAATCCATAAAGAATGGGGATAGTAGCGATTAGTTTTTGTTAAACCACTCACGCTAGCCATGTTATTTATGAAACTTGTCATGCTCTTTAAAATCTTTTGGCCTTCATATTCATATTGCATAGTGTTATATGAAAGTTGTAATATTAAAAAATTGTCTATTGACATATCTCAACGTATATGGTAACAATCAATTTAAACCAATCTAGTTAAACATGTCATTGATATCTCATTGAAATCTTTAGAGAAATTGAACATCCACCACTCAAATGCACCAGAAAATAATTTGGGTATTGGTATAGAGAGTAATGATCTGGATAATGCCCAAGGGTAATTGTTAAGTAATTGATCTGTAAAATGCTAAAAGATTGAAAAAAAACCCAACCTAACAGAAGGAACCAACAGATACTATAATGAAATAAAAGGATTAAAATAAAAACTGATGAAAAGGTTTACCCATCGCTTTAAATTTAGTAATATTACTTACATTTTTCTATAAGAGATAAAAACAAAACACACAATAATATTAATTTTGGTACAGATTCTTAGAAAAGGCTAAAATATTAAAATGTTAACACTGTTAATTGATTATGGGTATTTTTCTATGTAAGCAATTAAAGTTATGGTGGTTGGCACCCATCAATTGCATAAAAACAGCAGTCTATAGTTATTCAGAAGGCACAATAAATGCAGGATAAGCCGCTGTGGCTGTAATTTTCTTAACCCCAATTTGTAATTATAATTCTGGCACAAAAAATCAAGTTGTATAAGCATACAACCATCTACCTAAAGCTTTGTATTTTTTCCTACAACAACTTACAATACACATACTATAAAATAGATCTATGTTAAAACCTACATTGTTTAAAATTCTAGTAAACAGATCATCAAGTTCTTTTCCCAGTCACTTGAACAACGAGAGCTATTGATATTTATTGTTGATTTGAATGAGTGTGTGAATTAAATGAGAATTTATTGAATACTAACAAAGATCTATATATTGCAAACAGTAGAGTAATTCATTCTTTATACGTAGAGTAGCTAGACATGACTATACTTTTATTGGCGGATTTCTGGCCAATTCTTCATTGAGTATGTCTTGCTATATACAGAACATAAAGTGAAAATAAGATGTAAACCTCTTCAAGTTTGATTAACTGATATAAAAATTTGTCTTGCTTAAATTGGAAACATTGATTTTTATTATTTAACCGTTATCCATATACAGACATTTGTTACATGAACAGTCTGGAATACCAATAAGCAACAAATTATTGTACATTGTCTGCTAACATCTTGAAGACTACAGTATTCAACTGAAGAAAAATGATCGGTTCCAAATAATGTCGTGTATTATTTTTAAAAGCATCCCAATTATAAACAATGCACTGTTAATGTAAGAAATTTATAACTCCTTGAAATTAACCATGAGTGGCATGATGTGACGGATGGTATTATATTTTGAATGACACACACCGATAGGATATGAGACCTAACAATATTAAAGATAGGTTGCCGGGCAATGAAACATACGCCAACAGCAGCTAAGTCATCCGAGTAGTCAACAAGAGTTGTTGCATATTTTTTTCTATTGTCGGTAATGAAACATTTATAATAAACTAAAATCTGATTAAGAGTAACAATTCATTAAGTAATTATCAGAAAATGATTAGAAATTGTTTGGCTTTTAGTTCTGCCCCATGCTAACGTTTAGTATACGAAACATTTAATATCATGAATTTAGCTGTTCAAGTTATAAAAATTCATTGAAAATCAATATACTTGTTCGTCACAAGACCTTAAACTCTGTTTATCAATCTAAAGTCAATCAGATGATAACTTTAGTCTCTAAAACATCCCCAAAATTTTTCAAAGTGATCAAGGGCCATAACTCTAGTAGTAATTGTCGGAAATCATTGAAAATAACTGGGCTTCTTCGTCTCACGACCTTAAACACTATCAATCAGATATTAACTTTAGCCTCTAGCTAGAGTGTCCACAAGATATTTCATAGTGATTAAGTGCCATAGCCCTAGCAGTAATTATCGTAAATCGTTGAAAATCAATAGGATTCTTCTTCTCATGACCTTAAACACTGTGTATAAATCTAAAGTCAATCGGATATTAACTTTAGCCTCTAGAGCATCCACAAGATTTTTCAAAATGATCAAGGGTCATAACTCTGGCAGTAATTATCTGGAATCGCTGACAATCAATAGGCTTCTTCATCTCGTGACCTTAAACCCTGTGTATAAATTTAAAGTCAATCGGATATTAACTTGAGCCTCTAGAGCGTCCACAAGCAATTGTGGACCTCGGACCGACGGACGGGGGCGATAACAATATACGACCGCATTTCAATGTGGGTGTATAAAAATGAGATATAACCTACAGTTAAAATTTGCATCAATTCAATAACAAATAATCATCAGATAGATGATCAATTTGTAGTTCTGACATGTTCCTGATGCAACGACTACAAGTTTTACAACATCTAGCCATTGCTAGATTAGTCAGAAATTCCCGAACTTATAGGTATGTTATCTCCCTCTGCCATATAGACATGTGAACAATAGTGTTGTCCAATCAGAGGCTGTGACACAAACACACGCAAATCAAATATCGCAACCTCCACGGAAACCTTGACATTGAACGAACATAGAACTTAGCAACTTGATTATCACAGGTAGACATTGTAGCTGGAAAGCGCATGACTTGGTATTCTCGAAGATATTTTCTATCAAGGAATCTGAGAGGTCCTCAGCTCGGTCAGTAGCCAATTGAAATTAGTGATGAAATATGCAGGGTATTACGTGAAGGACTTGATGCGATGTATGGAGTTAATGCAAGATCAAGCCTTTTATTGAAGATGTAGTTCTGATGGAGTTTATTTCTTTAGAAAGACAACTCAATAATTGATATAGTTTAAAACACAATATTCCAGAAAAATCTCTTCCACCATGCCAAGAAGGAAAATACCCTTTCATGTCACATAATTAGTAGATATTAACCAAAATTAAACTAAACCTTATTTAACATTCGTTAAAATGGGTATATCTGTAAACAAATATAAAATATTTTTCCGAATAAAACACATTTTTTTTCCAGATAACAAAGGCCATATTCCTAAATATTTATGTGATTAATATGTCAATATGCAACAATACAGGATATATTAATATATCACATCAAAAAGCAGCTGTCACATCATGTTTCTTCATCATCCAATATCACAGTCTGTCAAGCAGGCGGATGGATAACAGTTTTCCTGTAATGCGTCTGCCAGAGTAACATCTGTTTATGTGGTATTAAATGCTAAAATCGTTAGAATCATTTTTATGTTTATGGATTTTATGTTCTTGAGTAATGTTTAAGGAATGTTTAAATATAATAACCACTACTGGGCTTGAATAAATTATAGTAACATGTATGTGCTACTTTAACACAGTTACCGAATTATTCTTCTTGAAGAAACTATTAAATGGTTTACATCATTTTTTAAACCCCCAATTTCAAGATAAACACCATACCTAAAAGTCAATATCCAATGATTTCATTAGAGAACATATATCTACCCTAACAAAACGGTGGATGAAATCAAGATTATGTAGAATCAACAACCCATTTGTTGGATTATTGTATGATAAATGTTTTATATTGGCTGAACAAGTACAAGTGATTTCATTATAAAATGGCACTTACATAAAGATACACAACAACTGTATTCTTAAGGCAAAGGTGAGTTTTATACAATTATTCTATCTTATTATGTTTTGCCGTTTAATAATCATTAATTTAATTGTCAATGGAATCATCCTATTTACAAAATATAAAAAATAATAACAATTTGGTAGTCTTTTCTTCTGTTAATATCGTTTTAAAAATTTGTAAAACTAACTATAATTACTGCAGTTGGTAAAACTATTTCTAGATGTTTGGGAATTACATTGATCTAGTACTTCATGAAACTCTTACTAAAAATTCATTTGATTAATTTCAATTGGTGAATGGAAAATAATAAAGGTTTGCCACTTTAAAGTGATTATTCTTTTGTAAACCACCAAGAAAATAACATCTAATCGCAATAGACTCAACATTAACAGTGCATACTGTTGGACAATAAACATGTCTAGTACATGTATTTAATATCAATAAAAGGAAAATAGAATTCATTGTGTACAATAAGATGTTTTTGTTCTTTAAGTATCTGTTGTGATGTAATTATTCGCAGTTTGAGGGTTAAACCATTCATCACGATATAACTATTGGTTTGATGACCAAGCACCATAATTACAGCCAGTATAAAACCACAGAGTGAAGGATATATAGTCTAGTCAGTTATTCTTACGTCTCTTAACCAAGTAGCCATTCCAAACAAAAAAATCATTCGAAATGTCCAAGCTGTTATTGCAAAATGATTTGATGCGGATACATTCATTTGTCAGTGCTAATTCCTGAAATCTTTTCTCTTCAGATATATTTAAAGAGTCCATCTAACAATGGCACAATTTTGGAATGGACACCACACAAATGTAAGTGTTTTTATGTTGCTGTTATTATTGTGTTTAAATTTACCAATTGACTCGAGCAGTAATTCCTGCAGTGTGGATTTACATGGTTGTGATTATTCAGTTAGTGTAACGCCAAAATCAAAGTGTAAACCAACTGACTTCCACGATATAGTAGATGTGAAAAGGTATCGTATAAAAAGGTCAGAGACCAGTGAAGATGACAATGCACCAATCACGAAAGCAGAATTCAAAAAACTTTCCAAAAAGGTATCAAAAACAGTAGACAAACTTTCCGTCAGAGTTTTAAGATGGTGGCGAAAATTGGCTCGAAAAATGGATGAACTCCATAACAAGGGCCCTAAAGAACGATCTCTAGCAGATACAAACCATAATTGTCCAGAACGTTTTATTGGTATTAAGGATTGGACATCATGTTATTTATTATCTAATTTCAACACATCATGGTATGATGCTAAAGACTATTGTGGAGCATTTGAAGGTGATTTAGTTTCTATGGGAACCGTGAAAGAACATTTTCTGCTCACCTTCCTCATTAAAAATGATCCTGGTAAGTGCCAGTTTCTATTTTGAAATAATGAATGAATGAATGAAATGGGGTTTAATGTCCTACTTTTCTGTTCCAACTGGGCTAATGTAGACAGGCAATTGTGGTATGATGGAAATTTTGTCTGGACAGCAACTGAATTCCAACTGTAAAGGGTTCTTTTTTGTGCATGTCAAGGTGTACACTACACTATACATTAGACCTTGGGTTTTTTCCCCATCCAAACAACTAAACACTGTTCCTTGTCAGGCCCTTATCCTGTACTGACAAGGGGAAACCATGCTCGAAATCATGAGGAACTGTCTAGGCCAATACCTTATTTGTTGAGCCACCATGGCTCCTGTTTTGAAATAAGACTATATGACATAAACAATCATCTTTGAATCTGGCTATAACTATTGACGTAATTAACGGAATTTGGTGAAATTCAATAGGCTTCTTCGTTTCACGAACTTAAGTGATGCATATAAATTACATACAGATTGGATGATAAATTTTGTCATTAGAGCATTCACAAGGTGCAACAAAGTAAAACAAGGGCCATAACTCCAAAAGAAATAAACAGAATTATTTAAATTAAATAGGCTTCTTCATCTTACTAACTGAAACAACATATATCAATTTCAAAACAATCACATGATAAATGTAGTCTGTAGAGTGTTCACAAGAAATTGTGGACAATGGACCGATGGACCGTCAGACGGACGAATGGGGGCGACGGCAATATATGACCACATTTCCATGTGGGCGTATAAAAAGCAAATCAGGTCATTTATTCTACTATTTTGTGATTTCAGACTTAAGAAAAGCAAATGGCTGGTGGACAAGTGGTAGTTATTTTAGCAATAGAAAACAATGGATTTGGACTAGTAACAATTACAATAAACAATTCACTTTCATAAAGTGGGGAGAGGGGGAACCTAATGAGGAAGCATCTCAGTGTATGTTATTGAAAAAAGACGATGACCACAAGTGGCATGATGAAATATGTACAAAAAGATATAATTTTATTTGTGAGGTTCAAACAACAAATCATGTTTCGAATTTAATGACAACTTAAAAAAAAAAGATTTTAATTATTTGCTATTTTAATTTCTATTTCCATGGATGTACTTTTTTATGTGTAGAAAGAAATAAAATGATTCCACGTCTTGGATAAATGAATGTTGTGCAAGAACAAGCTTATTAAATGGCCACACGGTCAATAGAACAGATCATTATTATACAATCATACAATAATGATCAATTCACAGTGGCGTAAGCATGGTTTTAGAAAGATGGGGGAGCGGGGTGTCAGATCTTTAACTTAATTAAATTGATAGTAAAGAGGGGTGGGAGCCTCAGGTAGAGGTGCAACCCATTACAAACTGATTGATTAAGTCCAATTAACGGAGGAGAAATTGATGGCCCAATGGTTGGGGGAATGTCTCTCTATACTAATGGATAAACCATAGTTGATTCATCATATTATGAATAAGTACAGTACATGTAGCAGGCTTACTTTCTGGTTTTATATTATTCATATCTTTTAAACACTTAATTGTCAAATATTTGAATGTTAACTTTGCTAAATGTTTCTTAGCAATAAATTGTTTTTGTGTTAATATATTTATAGACACTCATAATTAATTTATTAAATTTGGTTTAAAACTAAAAACACACCAAATGTTTAGTTCTTTAAATATATCAAGGGACTTTCTTGATATTTAAAGTATAAATACAAATCGATATTAACAAGTCTCATATTTAGCAGTTGATTAGTAGAGAATTGATATATAATTTAATATCGAAATATCAAATGAAGAATGTATTATTGTTGCTGGCCTTGGAGTGGCTGATGCTCTATCACAACAACCAAAGAAGATTGCTACCGATGCTTTCTGCTCCCACCTATGTATTATTGACAGTATCATCAACAAAGTTGCGCGATTTTACTGAAATTTTACGATTGCCACATAGCATGACAATAGAATGATATCAGAGCATACTAATCCAGGTGACTGTTATTGACCAAGCAACATTGATGAAAAATGAGATTGCAACTGTTTATGGTATTGGAGAACATGTATCATACATGATATATGTATTGAAATATCATTCTTGTAGAAAAAAACTAAAATTTTCTTAAAATCATCTTAAACTAAAATTTCATTCTAACTTAAAATAGGTGAGTTTCACAAATTGGTTTTAAGTATTTTAGATAAAATTCACTAAAATAATATTTTAAGTTAAAATTTTATCATAACTTAAAATAGTTGTGTTTCACAAAATTATTTTAGGGACAATTTCAACTAAAATCAATATTAATTTAGGACAGCTGTCTCCCTCTCCTTAAATCAGGACATAAACAACACTGATTAGGGCTTAGTTGTTAGATCTATTGCGACAGATATATATATTTGGAATAATGATAATACTCTGTCTAATGGCAACTGGGTCACATAATTCTAGCACACCAATCATACCATATTCACAAAAACAATTCTCACTGAATTTCTTTTTGTGGCAGCTATAGTCCATCTGTTTTTTTGGGGGGTTTTCAAAGTAAGCAATTAGATGACGCCCCAAATCCAACCCTAAGAAAAAAAAACACTCAGAACCCCAGTAAACAAGAACCTTTGTTAATGTTTTATATATTACCATATGATTCAAGTATAAATTATTCTATTTTTAAATAATTTCAAATCTAGACATCGGACCATGGCTATTTGGTGGAATAGTTTCAAAGTTGTTAAATACTTTTAAAATTACACAACAATTTACAGCTTAGATTAGTTCGTAAAATGTCACAATTGCCGTTGTTTTGTTCAGACGTAAACGCTATGCTCCATTCTCAATACTTTCTGTTATCCAAAATACCATCAAACCAAGAAATTCAAGCTATTTAGTTCATTGATATGCATTATTTCCATTGAAACCCGCTAGTAATTCAAATGCCAAGGTCATGAAAGCAGCAAGTTCAAGGCCAACCCACCGATACATTTCCAAACGAATAAAACGCAATAAACTCATCCCAATAATTTATTTCATCTCTCTACCACTGTCTGATCTTGTGCAAACATTGCTACAATTATGAAAATATCCCCATTGAACTGTTAGTTCAACCTGTCAATTCAGTTCCGAAGCGTATTTGTTTAAATCCATATGCCAGTTGATGAAAAACAGAACTGCACAGGTGAAAACATTAGCCTACAATCAATCTTCGCGAAACACATAAAATGTAAAATTTCATTTTGAATTTAGTTAAAATCTAATTTAAGATTCTAGCTTAACTTTTTGTGAAACAATGCCTTGATTTCCATGTCAAACTACCGTATTTATCGGTGTATTAGGCGCACATTTTTTACCAAATATCTTATTTTCTAGAAGGGGTGCATCTAGTACACCACGTTCAGCAAATCCAAGCTTTTGTCGACATCGAAATCGGAAGTTCCAGAAATAACTGCCCTAGAATCAACACATGGCACCTGGATGACATTACCTCAAAACTTATGATATATTATCACTCAAATTAAATACAATACTGTTCCCTTTAAAAAAACATCGATATTTGTCAATAACCTGTTAGATACGGTTAAAATATGTCAGTAATTATGGCTCATATTTCTGTTATTTTGAGCATAAAAAAGATGTCGACATTTTCTGCAATTCCATGTACGGTATACTGTTTGTCATAACTGGCAATGCAAACATCATCGGTGGATAGCCGTTCAACGTTAACAGTGGTTAAAAAAAATATCATTCGTATCGTTAATATTTCTTGCTATTTCTACATCATATATTTCTGCTTTTCCGTATACTCCTGGGCATTACCGGCAGTCCTAAGATGTCCCTGTTTAAGGTCAGTGGTGTATCAGTCAAGTTGAGGAATAGGGTGGGGTATGCAATCATACAAGCATTTTCATCGGTATTGTCTTTACCGTGACAGCGCTAAAGGGTGGGATTACAGATAAACTGACATATATTGAATTTTATTGATAATATTTAATATTCATACATACCATGTAGTCAGTAGGAGTTTTCCCCTCACTTTTAGCTGTTCCATCTTCTGTTCTCCATTCAGCAGTAACTCTACCTAAAGTACCTTGTGCTCTTTCAACAATAAGACTTACCATTCCACTTTCTTCTTTTACCTTAACCTATGCAGAATAAATAGCATAATCTGTATGCAATGTTAATATCAAATATGATAACAAAAGTAGCATATTTTTGCTGTCCAATTAACAAGCTTAAATGTAAAATAAACCAATATACAACACTTTTCCATCAGAAATTATCATATAATCAATCATCTATATTTTCAGATGTTTTAAAACATGCCTGCTGATGCCCATATATAAAAAAAACCCCATAAAATAAATGGATCTGATTAGGCCATAAAAATAAATTGTTTTCTTCCTCAGACATAAAAATTTTACAGCATTTTACGAAATAAGGTATTGCCAGTTAAAACGTCATTCTTAACGATTTTAATTTACATCACCATTCGTTGAGAACTGAGTATATTTATTCTTTATACCAATGTTGGATTCGATTGTTTCATGCCTAAAAAAAAGTCTCCCTTGGTTTTTGTGGCACAGCCAATATGTTCTTGTCAATTTTTTTGTGTGTGTGGAAAAATTATTAATAATGCTGTGATAAAATCATTGTCACTTTCTTATTTATTTATATATTTTATTTTTACTTCATTGATAACTGACTCGCAAGGAAAAGCTATATAGAGATCTAATGTGTTTAATTACATTTTTCTATAAGAAGACTTTGGGTAATGTATTGAGATACAATTTTGTTTTGAATATCATCCCCAGACCTAAAAAAAAAACCTCCCATCAGGTGAAATTTGTGTAACGTCACATTTTAGTTTTATTTTAAAATGGTGGAAAATTAGAATTTAACAAAAAAAGTATACCTCCCACAGCCCCGTTTTCTTACACCTTAATTCCTCAAGAAACAAAACATTTCTTTGATGGCCTTACATCGTACCTTTTTAAAAAAGAAAACAAATACTTACCACAGGTTGAACTGTGGAAGGTAGAATCATGGTGGTCATGCTGACTGGAGGTGTTAAACTTGTAGAAAACTGTAATAATCCATAAGGATAATCTGTTTCTTCTATTACTATTGGTGATGTGTTACCTGTAGGGTTGATACTGGCACCACTAGTATTAGTTGTACCAACTACACCATCATCAGTTACTACTTTATACAACAGCACATTAAACCTTTCTTCTAACTCAGGTATATTTTCTTCTTTAACATTAAATTGTATTGTCTGGAAAAAAGGATAAATTTTAACCATCATAGGTTTCCTTTCAACAATATTTCTTATTTATTCAAAGAGGACTGGAGAACAGGCATAGTCTATGTGATAAAATTTTGCCCAAAATGATCCAAATAATGAGCCAATTCTTTATAACGCACAATCATTAAACATAACATTTTCTAAGTGGTTTTAATGCTATTTATATTAAAATCAGAGAGCATCAATAATATAAATGAAGCATAAAAACTTTACTACGATTCCCACATTTATTGTTATCTATAACATTTCAAGAATTATCCCCCCTTAAAACTTTCAAAGATCCTGAAGTCATGGTAATATTTCAGTAAATGCTATGTCACGCTGGGGCGTACATAAAGATTTTGTTTGGGGGCATGTTTAACAAAAATGCGACTGACTGATGCACATGCCCCTAATACGAGTGACGCAGTCAGTAGCCGAGCACCACAGGTGTGAGTTTTCGTGGGGCCAGAAGCGGATCTAGAAGCTGGGAATAGGGGGTGGGGAGGTTCGACTTCTAGGGCACCATCCACAATCCCACCCCACAATGAATGTCAACAAAAATGAAATGAAATGAAATGAAATGGGGTTTAACATCCTACTGTTCTGCTCCTATACTGGGCTAATGAAGACGGGCATACGCCATACAGTGTGCTATGAGGGAAATTTTGCCCGGGCAGCAGCACTATCGCCTACTCTTATATCGAATTCCAACTGCCAGGGGATCTTTTATGTGCATTCCAATGTATACACGGTACCTCGGTTTTTGTCTCATCCAAAGGATTAGACAGCTGTCCATGTCAGGCCCTCCGTTCTGCACCACTGACAAGGGGAAACCATGTCGGAAAATCCCGATGAACTCCCGACCTCCAGGCTAGCGAGCCAGCGTCTTAACCACCTAGCCACCGTGGCTCCCGAATGTCAACAAAATACTAGCTATTAACACCGAGTGTCCCAGTAGAACAAAGATCGTATCGCCTATATAGTTGTTCGCCAATCGTTATCTCGTGCCGGAAAGCAGTTTTATTTAAGTTGTCATAAAGTATATGTCATATAATATGATGATTGTTATTGATTTTGTTATTAAATTTATGTGACCTTAGAGGCAGTGGCTATAACACTTATTTTGAGATCAACTATTTTTCTCCTGGGGGGGGATTTCTTTTCTTAAACCAACATACTCACAACAGAATAAAGGTAAAAAACATTTTTTCAAACATGATAAGTTGACAAGGTTAATTTATACTAAACTGTTGCGTGAGTAGCGTTACATATGCAATTTAGGTGCACAGATTCACGCAAACACATTTTACCTTCTACTTTGGCATTGTTTGTTTAACTCATTAATTCAGTGAGCACTTATTTTGAGATCGATTGCACTTATTTTGCGACTGACTGCATTTATTTTGCGACCAACTATTCCCCCCCCCCCCAACACACACACACCACATGATTTCAAGCAAATTATTCTCAACATAATTTCTAAACAGACTGAACTCTGTAGTCAAAAGAGAAAATACAAACCTGAAATGTTATACCCGGCGGAAATGTAATATTCCCTGTGTAGTTGACAAAATCATCTACAGCATCTACAACAATTCCTGTTGATAAAACCTGTTTAACTAGCCATGTTAATACAACTGTACCATCATCACCTCTTGTTCTTCTTACAGAACATACAATTGATACATTCTCATCTTTAGTTGAAGTAGGTAAACACAGATCTTGATACTCAAATAATCCATTAGCATTATCACTCTTTAAAACTGTTAAATTAAACAAAAAAGAGATTAGATTAAAGTTACAATAAAAGCTGTGCTACTATGAGCTATGGTGGTATATCATTTCTTATTGCTATGAAATTTGGGAGAATATTACTGAACATGAATAATGATATGCATAGGAAGTAAACACTTGGGCATCTGTTCGAGATATGTACCATAATAGCCTATCCGTAGTTTGCATCTGAAGACAATTTGAATCCCATTTACAAGAGGGACATGTTACCTGTTAATGTAGCAGCAGAATCTGAATTAGAAAGAGAGGCTCCTCCATTAGCTGCTATCAGATCAACAGTAAAAACTTTATTGCCTTCTGCTTCTATATCTTGCAATGATTGTATCTGGAATGTGTTTTGCTTTACATTTTCTTCAAATGTGAGAATACCAGATACAGGTGTGATTTCTTTCCGCGCGGGAAACTCAAAGATTTCTTTCACTTCACTGAAAATACAATGAATCAAAAAACGTGAATATCAAAAATAACGTATACAATTATTTGAGAATATATGGAATACGTCTTATCTGCTCATTTTCTTGATCTAACTCTATTTTTACTTCAAACAATTTACTTCAAAATATTGCCAGTGCAACATTTATTCAGGTTTTTGTAAACTTCTGATTTACTAGGCATGTTTCTCAAAAATATAAAATCTCAGCATTCTTTCCATGGAAACCAATAATGAATTCAATCTAAATATGAGACTTACTTGACTTCCAGTCTTCGTTTAAACAGACGCACATCTTGCATGTATCCCACAAACCGCTCTTCACCTGGAGATCTTGCACCAACTAATAGTGGCCCAGGTTTGTCGACAAGATTTTCACCAACAACATTACTGAAGTAACAATTTATACAGCTAGTAAATACTAAATGTTGACAATAATCTTGTAACACATTTGAAAACACTAAAAGCTCAAACTTCTTAAGCATGAATGAATGAATATCTACTGATCTTATTGTATTCTCCAACATTATTTATCAATTCATTTTTATAAACAGCAAAATCAAATGAAACTCACCCATTTCCTATAACTTTTCCATCCAAGTAAAAAACAACAGAAATATTTGAAACAGACACCAATATATGATGCCATTGACCATCTTGTATGTTGATATCCTGCTGGGCATTTAAAATTTGATTTGGCTGAGAAAATAAAGATCATGATTTATGTAATAACAACTCTATTCTAAAGTAATTGTGTTCTATATCTTCTATATGGAAGTGAAACACAATTTAAGATACAAAACAAATAATTACTTTGAATAAACAACAAACATTTCCTATAATCTTCAGTGATATCAATCATCAAGACATACATTTATCAAATGTTAATTGAAAATAAAAGGATGCAAGTTCTTTAAGATATACTTACACTAGTAGATGTGGAAATTGTTAAATCAAAGTTGGTTGAAGTAGCTGTAGAGGCTAATTTTAAACTGTAATAATGCTGTGATCCATCTGTCGATGTCTTGGCTATAATATAGCCATTAGTATTTGGAAATGGTTGCACCCACGCACTAAGAGTAAAACCATTTTCAAATGAAGATATATTTGGCTTGTGACGATCATCTACAGTCACAAAATTTTCTAAGGCTTGTGAAAACATGAGAACAAGGGTTCCTGTCTGGTTTCGTTGCTTGGATGGTACTGGTGACATGGTTGCAGGCTTGCTACCAAGGAACATCAGATCTATGACATCTGGGAAATTACCTCCGACGGAATCCGAGTAAATCTCCCATACAACCTGATATAACACAAGACATAAAATTATTCACTGCTGTTCATTTATTTATTAAACCACAGATTTATATGTATGGACATTAAGTAATAGGACATTACAAATTTTAATATAATACTTGCATTGTGTTCCAAATTTTTAATTTGGCTAGACATGTATCATGAGTAGAAATTCTCAGCAAGGAAACAAATTGGAAGTTCTCATGTGACTTGAGATTTATATCGTGAATCTTATTTGTACACCATAATATTTACCTCAATTTTTCCCAACATGCCTTGTCTTCTCTCCACAGTAAACGTAGTTCTTGTTGTCGATTCCTGACCAGGTAAATAATCTTCTGCTATCTGTAATTCTCGTGATGCAGCAGGGAAAGCAAATCGTCCATTAGGATCATCACTAGCAACCACATTCAAGATTACGGAAGTATTTGCATCTGCTAATTTTGCTAATCCTTCTACGTTTCTTCCAAAAACAACTAGTAAAAAATAAAAACTCCAATAAAAATACTGCAAATTCATTTTGATTTAACTAACCAACACAATTCACCATACATTCAGTATAATCTATTATTTTGTGTTGCATTTTATTCAATTTCTAATAATCTAATATAATTTTCCTTTTCACTGAGCAGTGTTATCAGGAAAGATCAGGAAGAGATATATCACTTTAAACACAGTTGACTGCATTATTATGTCATAAAATATCAGCATAGACAAACAAATCAACTTAATCAAGAAGAAGACTTTATTTAGACACATATTATACATGTATACAGTAGTGGTGGTGCCAATTTTTATCCAATGAATAATACAAACTGCATAGCTTCTTATCAAATGGAATTTAATGTAATTTAGAAAGTAATAATAAAAAGATTCACCAACCTTGTGTTTTGTATAATTCCACTTTGTATGCTAAATTTGTCTCTGGAACATTATCAACAGTGGGAGTTATAGATAATGGCTGTTTACCCTCCTGTGCTTGAAATATAATGGAACCGCTTGATTTGTCAAACTGCTCCTTCTCTCCTAGAATTTGACCAGATAGAACTGATCTGATTCTCCAGAAAACTTCAATAGTTCCAGCAGTGCCCTTTTCTCTCAGAATGCTATAAAATATCGAATATAAGTAAAAAAACTAATATTTTCAGTTTGTTATTTAAGAGAACTTGGACAATCAATGATACTCGATCCAAAAATAAATAGATATATATTAATCAATTACACATTTAACTTAATTTAGTTAGAACCAAAGTTATTGTTCCCCAATTAAATTTTCTTCGAAAGGAAAGGGGCGATTAGCAATAATTACATTATAGTTCACCTTCTTTTATATGGTTCATAATTTATTGGAACAATAAAACTTACTCCATATAAACAATGCTACCCTCTTCTGTATTTCTCTCTAATGGTGAATCAAATCTAAATACACCATAAGCTTCATCATTGTCCATTATAACAATGGTTGCTGTTGATTTAGTTGTTTGTAACAAATCACCTGATTGGTAAAAATATGAACAATTTGTAATTTGGGTAAATGCTCATGTAACCAAGATCCAACAATTTAAACCATCGGTTGCCATGCAAGATACGCCCAAATTTTGCAAGATGGACAGAGAACAAGCTAAGAAAAAAGATAGGTTGCCATATGCCCACAGCAGCTGAATCGTCCAGGCAGTCAACATGTGTTGTCGCACATCTTTACTTTTGTTGGTAATGGAACATTTTTATTACACTAAAATCTGATTAAGATTAACAACTCATTAAGTAATTATCAGAAAATCATTAGAATTTGTCTGGCCCATGCAAACTTTTAGTATACAAAACATTTAGTATCATGGATTTAGCCGTTCAAGTTACCAAAAATCATTGAAAATCAATATACTTGTTCATCTCAAGACCTTAAACTCTGTGTATCAACCTAAAGTCAATCAAAACGATTATATACAGGCGTAAACATGGTGTATAATATAAAATCAATCAGATGATAACTATGGTTTCTAAAGCATCCACAAGATTTTTCAAAGTGAGCAAGGGCCATAACTCTGGCAGTAATTATCAGAAATCATTGAAAATCAATAGGTTACTTCGTCTGATGACCTTAAACACTGTGTATAAATTTAAGGTCAATCGGATATTAACTTTAGCCTCTAGAGAATCCACAAGATATTTCAAAGAGATCAAGGGCCATAACTCTGGCAGTAATTATCAGAAATCATTGAAAATCAATTGGCTTCTTTGTCTCATGACCTTGAGCACTGTGTATAAATTTACAGTCAATCAGATATTAACTTTAGTCTCTAGAGCGTCCACAAGATTTTTCAAAGTGATCAAGGGCCATAACTCTTGCAGTAATTATCGGAAATTGGCGAAAATCAATAGGCTTCTTCGTCTTATGGCCTTTAACACTGTGTATAAATTTACAGTCAATCAGATATTAACTTTAGCCTCTAGAGCGTCCACAACCAATTGTGGGCGCCGGACGGGTGGATGGATGGAGGCGACGACAATAAAGGACCACATTTCAATGTGGGCGTATAAAAAACGTGATTTTTCGTACAAACAGGGACCATAATCTGAACATATATGCGCGAATATCAAAAAGTACTAAGATCTTTATGATATAAACATTTATTTCAATTTCCTTCAAAATCAGACAAAAATTGTTACCCCTAGAGGCTCCACAACCTTGGTATTTCATACTTTTACACTATCTGCATAACAGGGATTCATTTTAAAATTGAATACAAATTGTGACTTCTAGAGGATCCACAAGCTAGTGGGACCACAAGCTAAAAACATGATTTTTAGAACAATCAGGGGCAATAATCCAGGAAGTTACAGTCCGATATGAGCGAATATTGAAAGGAACCAAGATCTTTGGGTTGTAAACATACATTTCAAGTTTCATCAAAATTGGATAAAAATATTCTTATTAATGAAGGTTATTATTGATGATTCCCATCGAAATACCAGCATTATATCGAAACAGGTACGTCTCAGTACAGACAGTTAAACTATGTTTATTAAACTGTTAAATTGTGCTTAATTCTGTTGGAAATACCTCTCACATATCTGGAAGGATAACATTTCTCCAAAATTCCAAATCAAACAAATATGCATCTTTAAAGGAGAGAGAGAAATGGGGTTTAACGTCCACTCGACACAAACTAGGTCATTTCGGGACTAACACATGGTTCAATTTTTTTATTTCAATAATTCGCTTGTGCGTAGGGGTCTTTAGCAGTGGGAGGAAACCGGAGGACAAGGAGAAAAACCATGGGGTTGGACAGGCGACCCTACTCCTTGTCACATACAATTGGGGAATGAAAACCTCGCCAGTTGACTCAATGACAGACCGTACGATACAGCGCTCACATGCTAACCATTCGGCCATCCAACCCCCCACATTTTTAGAAGTAGTAAGAAAAAATTAAATTAAAGCTACCTCCTAAATCATATAACTGCAATGTAAAAGTTTCATTGCCTTCTGGAACTTCATCATCTAAAACAGTGACAGAAAAATTAAATGTGTTCTGGCCTGCATTAAACACTATCTCTTTATCGATCGAAACATAATCCATTAATAGAGAAGATGCAAATCCATCTAAAGTTCTGTAGCGTACAGTAGCTGGTAGCTCTACATTGCCCCTTCGTATCACAGTGAATGGCAATGTAGCTGGTTCATCACAGTAAACCTGACTTTCTGAAATAAAGAATTAAAATCATTGAACAGATGTCAGTGTTGGCAGCTGCCAAGTACAAAATCCACCCAAAAAAGATTTGACGACCATTTTAAAGTTTCCTGGTTTACTAATTTACTTCATGAACCTCACTCAGTTGCAATGCAATACAGGAAAGGTCCATGCCATCACGCTCCAGATGAGCTAATAGAGTGATTGATCAACTTCAGCCAAGGAGACCGGTTACTTGATGACATCCAGTCAAGTGACTCTCGCTTTCATTTTCAAAAAGGATTTGCCGATTTTGTCCTTAACAATTGTCTTTCTTTCATTATGTAAAGGCTGCTTCTTACATTTCATTAAAGAACATTTTAAGAAAAAGTATAAACTAGAAGTGTTTTCTTATTTAACACTGATTTTTATATATTGGGGAGATTAATATCCTACCTGTAAATTCTACAGGATTATCATTTTGTCTGATAACTACAGTTCCTCTAGTTGGATTCCCCAAAACAGCACCACCTGTTGCTGCTGATAATTCAACTCGGATAATCTCATCACTTTCCGAAATCTGTGAAAATTAAAATACAGAAATATCCCTTATAAATTACAGTATCTAAATTTCATTTTTTTGTCTATATGAACTAATCTTTATTATCATAAACGCAATATCAGTAATACAGCAACATTTGGAAAGGAAAAGATGATAACTTACATCATCATCAATAGACTGGAGTTCTATGTCAACTTCTGTTACACCAGGTAGAAATGTGATGGTACCAAATGTTGGTTTTAGGTCATCGCCTATTGCTGGTGATAACGACCAAGAAATACTGACAGTACCAAAACTTCCTCTAGCTCTCTGTACAGTCAAAGATGCATTCTGAATATCCGCTCCTCGACTCTCCTCTACAAACATTAATTGAACATGTTTTAAATAATGCAGAAAATTTGGGTAACATACTGGAGAATTTTTCTATGTAGCTTTTGGAACCAAGAATAAATTGTATTCTTGTTGATTACTGAAGGCTGTAATAATAATGTGCACATCGTCTTGCTCAAGTTTGAAAACTTTTACCATCAGAAATACTCACTTATGTAAACTGTCATTGGATCATTTTTAAATTGTAGAACACCATAAGGCATATCATTTTCTTTTATTGTCAGTAGAATGGTGTTTTTAGAGCCAATGGTGGCCACACTACTACCATAACTTAATAGTCGCATAGTGTAGGTTTCATTCAACTGTAAAAATAAGAATTCAAAATATTATTACAGTCAAAAATATCTTAGAAAAAAGACAGAGATAAATTGACTGTTTACACATCTTTTGTCACCTACAAGAAACAATTAAATACTTAAATCCAATGGAACTGAATAGTGGTTAATTATGTTGTCTGAATGGATTGAATGTCCTTTTGGCTGATCATCTTAGAACTGAAACTATTCATTACCATAATTAGAAAAGAGTAACATTATATTACCTCTGGTATGCCATCACTTTTAGCCAATATAGTGGCTGTTCTTCGAGTTTCTCCAGGGTGGAATCGTAGAACATTTATACCTCCATAGAATTCTTTGGCTTGATCTGGTTCAATAACATACTGTACTTCTTTTAACATAAGACTTCCTCCTGTTCTTTCTACTATTACTTCCACAGCCTTTTCATCTTCCTAAATGATTTTAAAACAAATATTACTAATCAAATTTTTGAGAAGTTCAAACTTTGTATAATCTTATCCAGTTTCTCCAATACTTTTATAAATGGAATGACACATCATATATGTAGCAATCATCTTTGATTCACACTTTATCCCTGTATACCACAATCTACCCACTTGCAACTGGGTATCAGTGGGAAATTGCAAGGTAATATTTGTGTAGCAATAAAATTCTGCATCAAATATCTAACAGTCATGAAAGGAAGACCTCTCAAGAGAGTAAGGACATCACAACATTTTCTATGTCCTCAGTTACAGCTAACTTTTATAGTACTCACCCCAACTACATAATTGTTGGCCATTTCTGGAGAGAACTGAAATACACCACCAGGATTGTCGTTTTCCAGTACAGTAATATTTATAGATTTGGTAGCTGCATGCAGACGCTGTGTTCCTATTGGTTCTACAGATTCTAATGTTACTGCCATAATTTCATCATTTTCTGGTACATCATCAGGCTTAATAGTAATAGTTAGTTCAGCAAAATACGATCCTATTACAAAAAGTAACAAAATAATGGAATTTGATATATTACATTACTAGATTTACCATACTCTTAATTTCATACACAAGATCCAAACATTAATTCTACAATTTGAAATGGTGCTTCATTTTGACAGGATAATGCTGTATTTGTGACTGGGCTCCAATCTCTCTTAACCAGCAGTTGCCAGGCAAGATACGCCAACATTTTGCAATCAGGAGCCATAATCCAGAAAGATATAGTCTGAAATGCGCAAATATCGAAATGGATTGATGAGATCTTTGGGACATAAACATATATTTTATAAGTTTCATCAAAATTAAATAAAAATTGTGACTTCTAGAGTGTCCACAACCTTGGTATTGCATACTTTTACACTATTTACGTACAAGGAGCAGCCATTTTGTCCAGCAGTTTAGGTAAGATTTTTACAAAATTCGAACTCAACCTTCAATGATGTGTAACGGTTTTTAAAATTGAATACAAATTGTGACTTCTTGCGGGTCCACAAGCTAAAAATGTGATTTTTCGAACAATCAGGGGCCATAATCCAGGAAGTTACGTTTGGATATGCACAATTATCGAACGGAGCCAAGATATTTGTGATATAAACATCAATTTAAAGTTTCATCAAAATCGAATAAAAATTGTAGCCTCGAGAGGATCCACAACCTTGATATACCATATTTTTACACTATTTGCGTATGAGGGGCGGCCATTTTGTCCAATAATTTTGGTCTGATTTTCACGAAATTCGAACTCAACCATCGTCAAGGTGTAAGGGTGATATATTCACACGTTTTTTTAAATTGGGCCATAATTCAGGAAGTTACGATCCGATATGTGTGAATATCGAAAGGAACCAGGATCTTTGGGTTATAAACATGTACTTTAAGTTTCATCAAAATCTGATGAAAATTGTGACTTCTAGAGTGTCTACAAGCTTAAAACGTGATTTTTTGTACAAACAAATTGTGGACAGACAGACAGACGGAATGACGGACAGACAGATGGAATGACAGACGAATTGATGGATGAACGGACAGGGGCGGCGACAATATACGTCCACATGAAAATGTGGGCATATAAAAATAGGGACTGTTTTGCAAGGTATAAAATAAGAAAAGATGATGCACAATTTGTGAATCCTATCTAATCATGCCAGATTACCATTTGTCTATTACTGATGGGAAGTATAAAAGTAAATAAACAGGGTGGGGACCCTTCAGGACTAAATCTTATCATTATGCCAACAATTGCAAAAGTTCTTAAACTGTGAATCCATTTTAATTCAAATACTTTCCAAGTGACATATATCATTTTGGTCACCATCGGCATCAACCTTGAAAAGCTTAATTATTTTTATTGTAACATTTCTACTTGTGTGTCCTTCGAGATTAAAACATATTTCAAAACATTTTTGTGCGTTATATTTAATAACCGTAAAGTGTTCTTTAAATCGCTTTGAAAAGGCATGTTTACTCCCTATCACATAGGTAGACTATATTTCTAGCCTGGCAATTTAAAACATTATGACATACGTATTTTGGTTAAATTTGCTGCAGATATCAAAGTCTCATTTGAATCATTGTTGGAAGATACAGTATATCAAAAATACCACAGAAAACCAAGAATGGTGAAATAGATTTTGTATGATTTTAGTGACCTATGAGACGAGTACATTCAATGTTAACTCTCTTCCTTGTTATTAGATATCACAGTTTTAGATCTTATCTGACAAATGTTGAAGATTTATCAGAGTAATGGGTATCTTTTTCTGAATTTGCTATCTTTGATCATGGCCATGTTTAAATACCTGAACGAATGGTTATTGTTCCTGATAGCTCTTTTACATCTTCTGCTGTGACAAATGCTGCAGAGTCACCTACACCTTTAACTGTCCATCTTATTAAAGCATCTCCACTCATTCCTTCACGACTTATCGGTAGAGATATCTACACAATAAAAAAATCATAATAATATTCAAATACAACAGACAAAATATATATACAGAAAAAAAAGAATGATTGGAGGAGATGCAGTGTTTTGTATATAAATTCTTTGTTTTTTGGAAATGAGAGACTAAACTTAATATTTACATCAGTAATTGATATTTCCAACAATTCTTGGGTATAATTTGCTTAACTTTTTTAAACTCATGATTATACAATTTCTCTGAATATTACCTCCATATTTTCTCCAGTAGGTTCTAAAACTTCTATATTAGAAACATTGAAAAATCCTATTTTACCATTGGCATCCTGATTGGTAATAGTTAACATGACTTGTTTACGACTACCTAAAGTAGGACTGTTATAAGCACCATACACTGGTTCTGTAATTTCAAAATCAATATTAATATATTTGGCAAGAATCATAAAATATGGTTGAATATGTCTTTCTTTTCATTGCACAAGAGCCTTTTAATGCTTTTTAATTCACGATATTCACATCAGCGAGCAGCATAGATTGATGAAATTGTGATTTATCATAACTTTGTAAATAGTTTGCAAGGGATTCCTATAACACTAAATGACACATCAAGTCTTTAATATATAATCTAACCAAAATTGGTAAAGTTCTTGTATTCTGATGATCTGCCCATTAACATTGGAAGAGCTGTTTAAGAAAACTGTCACCTTTGCCGATTATGTCTTTCATTTTCATTAGATCTATTAGTCACATAGTGAGTATTTTTTGACAGTCTTTAATAAAAGGATTTCAAAAGACTTCATGTAATTTTCAGCATCATGGTTTATCAATTCTAGATCTATCCACCTACACTTTTCAAGCTCTAATGAATAAACAACTCAAAAATAAAACAAAATAAAATGATTTTTAAAATACACTGCAAATGTATAATAAACTAAAAGTAATATTCCCCAAGCAACAAACTTAACAAGACTGTATAGCAGAAGTTAATTAGTTTTAATCCAGGAGTCATTTCCGGGGGGGGGGGGGGGGGGAGGGGGGGGGAGAGGTGCTTGGCCTTTATCAACTGCGATTCTTCCACCCATCCGCAGAACTTTCAGTAAGGAGTTAATTCGTCATAGTCTTGGATTTTATGTGTAATAAACAGTAACCTACTTGTTTCCAAACTAATGTCTGAAATGGTGGCCTGGAATTTTCCTCCTCTCTGTAAAAATGCTGTAGGAAGTAGAGGTAAATCTACATTTATTGGATCAACACCAGCAGCCATTAGAACTTCAACACTAGTATTCACTAACATATCATCTGAAATATAAAACAAAATGTGTGAAATATACAAATCATTGTTTTCAACAAGAGGCCAAAAGGCCTTAATCCCTCTTTGGTTAAAAGTATATATACATTGATGATTTCATACAGTTCCTTATCATACCGGGGTTTTTATTCTTTAATTTCTGAAGCCTAATAATTTTACCGTGTGCGATAACTTGAAAGTATGTCATAAAGTTTTACCTGCCATTATAAGACCTTCAGCATCGCTAAATGTAACTGAAACATTAGCTACAAGATTATCTACACGCCCACCACTTCTTGTTAACTGCAGACGTAAAGTTCTACGGTCAGAATCCTATTATATAGATAATAAAAACTGATTAAATCCAATTTAATTAAAACATATTAATAAATGATCCATTTAAAAATGTAAAGCAATATCCATACAACCAATATTACCTAAACACATTTTGAAACACATTTAGTAACTGTTTGACAAAAATATTTTGTACATCTACATGAATATATCTCCTATATCACCCTGAACTTGTGCATTAATTTCACGTATTTTAATATGAAAAAGAAGAAATAACTATGTAAAAAACTTACGGTTATTATCTTATGAATATTTGTATCATCAGGTCCAAATTCTACAGTTCCATACACATTATCACTATCTTCAATAATTAGCTCTGCTTCAATAATTCCTTGAACCTTAGCGTTTCCCACAACACTGTCAGGCTTCAGTTGCACTAAAAATTTCTCAGCAGTTTCTGGACTACTGTCCTGAACAATTGTAAGTTTCATTTCTGCAGATTTCTGACCAGCAGCAAAAGCTATTGTCCCACTTTTTGGTCCAACATCGGAGATCACAAGCTCATTAGATCCGTCATGCCGCACTATTTCCCACTGAACAGATACAGCACCAAAAGTACCTCCGTTTCGTGCAATAGAAAATGTTGCAACAGTGAAAGTATCTTCATTTACACGCACCACTGAATTAGCAGAACCATTTATTGATTCAAAACTAATAACCCCATTTGGATTATCATTAGCCCCAATACTTATTAAAGTTTCAATGGGTTCTCCCCAGACAGCATCCCCATAGAGATTGCTGATCTGAATTTTGAAGGTCTCTTCAACCTCTGGATCTAAGTCATCCAATATTTCAAATGTGAAATTTGTTTTTATCGTTCCTGGTGCAAATGTTAGCTTTGAACTTGTACCACTGAAATCTCTACCAAAGATGGCAGTTCCTGTAACTAAAATAATATCCGCAGAAACTTCAGTGTCAATAGGTCCTAATGGTGTTACTCCATCTTTATCTAATCCTCGAAAAATATTTACACTAGTCACCTTTGAACCTGGTCCTTCATCATATCTATAATTAGCCTACAATATAAAAATATTTTCTCACTATGAAATTTCTGAGAAATTTAAAAATACACAGTGTACAAAAATAAATCTTAAGATCACATGTTAAAAAAAAAATCTTTTATATATCCTACCTGTTCAAACTGTATAGGAGCATCGTTAGCCATCACAATAACTTCTATTTCTCCTCTACTAATAGATGCACCATCCGTAGCACTTGTTAAACGTACAATAAATCTTTCTGAATTTTCGGGTATCTGAAATACGTGAAGCAGTACCAGTAGGTTAAACAGCTTTTTAATAAACTTTTTTCCAAAAGATAACATTTGTTTTAAAGCCAACTTTTCAAGATGTTAATCAATGACTTGCTAAATAAGTGCACTCTAGATATGTTCTTACCACTTTGTGTCCTACTCATGGCATACTTTTGTTAAAGCCAACTTTACAAGATGTTAATCAATGACTTGCTAAATAAGTGCACTCTAGATATGTTCTTTTCACTTTGTGTCCTACTCATCGCATACGTTCCCTAATGTGCTTAGATTTATAGTCTTATTCATGGTGCATATAAACCTAACAGAAGTTCAATAAATTCTTTACGAAGCTATCAAAATCTGTTCATTATCTGAACTGTCAAAACGAAACAGAAAGTTGTTACCAAAATAGGTACACTCCTACATTATTAGTTTCAAGGCATGTTTTAGTTTATATTTAATACTTACATTGTCTGCACTAACTTGGAGCTGTAAAACATTTTCTCTTTCACCTTCAGAGAATGTAATCTGACCGGTTGTTGGTGCAACGTCTTGTCCAGCAACAGCTGATTTAGATGTTCCGCTTACCTATATATATATATTCAAACATGTATAATTGTAATTTATATATTTTAGCCAATCAAGTCTTAGATAATCTGGTTAATATCAAGAGAAAAAGTGTGAAAACAGAAGATCCTTGTTTTTATTAATTGTTCTTGACCATATAGTTTTGAAATTGTGCCATTTCATATATCTTTTAGAGATTTATAGAATTGATAAAAATAGCAATATATTTTTACACCAGGCTTATATAAAAAGACCTGTCTTCATAAGCCAAGTTTGGGGCAGAACAGTAGGACGTTAAACTCCATTTCATTTTATTTCATTTACATAAAAAGAATTAAATGTATTCTAATAATAATGACAGACCATGTGTACATAGGACATCCAATTTTGGACATCATCAAATTGTCATACTGCTGGGTGAAAGACACCATTTATTTTTAATGGCTTTTTTTCCTTGTTGTTTAAAAGTGTGGTCAATAGAGATGCTTCCCTTTACTCTGCCTTAAAAGAGGAATATTGATGATCATAGAAAAGAGAGGCGACAGATATCAATCTTCTAATTTGACTCTACTTTCGACAGTTTTCCTTGCTGCGGTTGGTTGCCTTCTACCAGAATACTCTTCAAAATGTTCTTGAATCGCTTATTATTTTTAAATTTATGAATACCTATGGTACAATACTATCTGGCATGTTAAGTTAACCTTAACAGCCAAACATTGAGATACTTGCACCCATTTGCACTCAAAAGTACAATAAAAGTCCAATATATGAATATTTATTACCTCATATGTAAGAGATATTCTACCAAATGTTCCTTTATCTCTACCAACTTTAATATCAAATACAGTTGATATCACACTTTCTATTACAATTACTGGTGATGACTGCAAGTATAACAATATATTTATATAACACACTGCTAACACTTTTACAGTACTATTTACCGTACTATAACAATATTGTGACCTTATTGTCCCTCCATATATTCAAGAAATTCACATGTGTCAATGTGCTTATGAACGAGTTGTATTTTTTTTGTTAAACAAACATACATATACATGTTTAAATATTTTATGATGACAGGTACTACAATCTGTATCCATCTTTTTTAAAATATAAATCAAATACTTACATCCAGGAAACTGAAAATACCAAAAGCATCATCACTAGGTTGGATAGTAACTTGTGACCTAAAAGGAGCAACTACTTGAGCTTTATTACCAACGACTGTTAAATGGAAAAAAAATGTCTCCAAATTTTCGGCTAAATCATCATCTCTAACGGTGAAAGTAACAGATACCAAATCTGTATCCGGTGTGAAAGTGCCAACTTGTGTATCTCCTACAAAATCCTGAGATACATCACCATCAATCTATAAGGAAATAAAAAAAAATAGGTGATTTTTAAATTCGACAGTCACTGACAGCTATACAAGTCTCAACTGCACAAAAATTTGTTATTTAAATTATTAATATCTTGCTGGAACTGTCAAGCTAAACAGTATGAAATATTCTCTGTTTGTACACATTAACTGGTGTGTGATGGGTTGTAAGGAAAATACCTTGCACACGAAATTAAAACAATTTTACCTGATAAAATAGACTTTGATGACATAATTTTAAGAATATCAAATAAAATCACCACTGGTATTAGGATTCAATAATAAAGGCTTACAACCTCTCATCAGAGTCTATTTTGCTAAAATAAAAATAAAAGAACTTACTGAAACAACAACAACTAAATCTTCTGTTATGGCACCAGTTTTAGAAATTCTTATGGTGAATTGTTCACCTTCTTGGACGGAATGTGTTGTATCTAATAATTGGACAGTAACTTGAGCTAATGTGGACGGAATCAATAACAACAACATCAAATACTTTATGTACAAATCCATTCTGAAAAATAATTCCTTCATTAAGTACATGAAACCTTGAATCTGATTAGATTTAATTTTTGTGGTTCCTTTTTCTGCAGTATTATAACTAAACTGCTATTTTTGGTGGTGCTGTTTGTTGTGGTGGTTTGTTGGGCCATCTACTATTCATAAACTACATAAAATTCTCAACAAAAAACTAAGGAAATGTCACATTAAAGTTCACACTTGGATTTGGAAGAAGGAGCTATACAGTTCCACCAATTAAATGTTTTATGAATATTAAATGTCTGTTATTGGGAAATACACTAGCTGTAGTTCACGCAGTAGAAGGATGTGTCTGTATCTGGTTCTTTATTAATTAAGTCGGTCTGTAGAAAACGTTAAAAGTAATGTTAACAGGCGGCAGACTGGCAGTATGACACAAGTTGTTGAGGGTGTTGTCCCAATGGACTAAATATATGTTCTAAATTAGAACTTCTAATACATTATGCAAAAATCCAAAAATTGTTGATCATCTTCATTGTTTAGTCATTTTATTCTGAAACTTTTGAGCATAATTAAAGTACCAGTTTTATGTCATCTCAACTTGGGCATGGGAGTAAACAGGTTGTGCCAGATGTGTTATATAATGCTCACTGAAGTCCTTATAATTCTACAGTATATAGTTACATATTGATTATATATAGTCGTTTTACCATGACGCTTCATTTATTATTTACTTATCAATAAGGGTGGTGTCTGATTAAATCACAAATAACTAGAGATTTTTACGCAAGATATACGCAAGTAAAAACTTTTTTACTGTTTCATATTACAGCAAAACATGAATGTGGGCTGTCATTTTAACAGACAAAATATGACCAATACCATAACTTTTAAATTTGACAAGGTTCTTCCCTGTTCCCCAATGTATAATCTCACTGACCCACTGAATTTAACAAGCAGTTGCCATGCAAGATACGCCCACATTTTGTAAGAGATGGACAGAGAACAAGCTACAAACATGATTTTTCCTACATTGGGGGGAATAATCCAGGAAGTTTGGGTCCGATATGCATCATTAACAAAAGTAACTGAAATCGTTGGGCTATAATCATACATTTTAAGTTTAATCAAAATCGAATAAAAAATTGTGACCTGTCAGTGTCCACAAGCTAAAGACACAATATTTCGTACAGTCAGGGGCCATAATCCATGAAGGTATGGTCTGATACATGCCAATATCGAAAAGAACCGAGAAATTTGGGATATAAACATATATTTTAAGTTTCATCAAAATCGTACAAGAATTGTGAACCCTAGAGGGTTCAAAACCTTGGTAATACATACTTTTACACTATTTGCATACAAGGGGCGGCCATTTTGTCAGGCAGTTTTGGTCCGATTTTCACTAAATTCGGCCTAGGGTGTAACAGTGATCTTTGGGTTATAAACATATATTTAAAGTTTCATTATAAACATATATTTAAAGTTTCATTAAAGTTTCATTATAAACATATATTTAAAGTTTCATTATAAAAATATTTTTAAAGTTTCATCAAAATCGTATAAAAATTGTGACCTCTAGATGATCCACAACCTTGGTATTATATACTTTTACACTATGTGGAGTGGCCATTTTGTTGGACAGTTTCAGTCAGATTTTCAAGAAATTCGAACACAACCGTCTTTATGGTGTAACGGTGCTATAATGAAACGATTTCTTAAATCAGATAAAAATTGTGACCTCTACAGGTTCTACAAGCTAAAATCATGATTTTTTTCGCACAGCCAGGGGCCATAATCCAGGAGGTTACGAACCGATATGCACGATTATCGAAAGGAACCGAGATCCTTGGGACATAAACATACATTTTAAGTTTTATCAAAATAGGATAAAAATTGTGACCTCAACCTTTGTATTACATACTTTAACATTCTTTACGAACGGGGAGCGGCCATTTTGTCCGCAGGTTTTGGTCCGAATTTCACAAAATTTGAACTCAACCATCATTATGGTGTAATGGTGATATATGCAATTTTTTTTTTTTTTTTAAATCAGATAAAAATTGTGACCCCTAGAGGGTTCACAAGATAAATACACGATTTTTCGTACAATCAGGGGCCATGATCCAGGAAGTTATGGTCTGGTTGGCACCAATATCAAAAGGAACCAAGATCTTTCAGTTATAAACAAAAAATTCAAGTTTCATCAAAACTGGATAAAAATTGTGACCACAAGCTAAAAACAAGATTTTTCGTACAATCAGGGGCCATCCCATAATCCATGCAGTTACAGTCCGATACATGCCAATATCGAAAGAAACCAAGATCTTTGCGATATAAACCTATATTTCAAGTTTCGTCAAAATCAGATAAAAATTGTGACCTGAGGGTGTCCACAAACAAAATATGAACAGAGTGTATAAAAAAAAATTTCGAATCTTTATAATGTACAAGAAATTATATTTGATAACAACACTGATTTACAACACTTTATTTTATGTCAGAGAACAAAAAAGCATATGGGCATTTAAAAACTTGTCCCAATTAAAACATATTTTTTTCTTGCTTTCTTGATTATGTGCACTAGATCTACCTAATATTAAAAACAATAATGCATCCAACTCAAATGCCTGGGTTAGAAATAATGATATTTAGATAATATATTGGTAATAAATAAAGATCTAACAAACAATAAATTTAACTTACATGATTAATTATTTACAAGGAAACAGACTGAAATTTAAATTATGATATCCTATTTATTGTCTATATATATAAAAGAGGAAGATTTATTATTATATTACATGTATATAGCTATCTCTAGTATCAAAGACAAAAAAAGAATGTTTTAATTATATTATTATAACAATTTTCAAAAATGTTGTTCAATAATCTTGTGTACTAATCCTGACTTCCTCCAAGTGGAGCAGTGTTTTGGATACTCCATTTTATATGCTTACTAAAATCAAGTATTGTAAAATATATTTCTGGACAAAATGATTGTTTATTTCTTTATTCAAAATCTGTTATCTTTACTTTTACTGTGCTCCAACTTGAAATCAAATCTAACAAAATAAATATCAAGCAAACAAGAAGCAAAAAAACACCCACTTACTTCAACTTTTGTAAATATTATGACTTTGACAGCTCTTGGAGTTAATCCTTTAAACATAAATATTATTCTTCCATGCTACTGTTTTTATAAAACTTTTAAGTTTCACTGGTCGATCTGATTATATCTGTTTTAACTTCTTCAAATCTGCCAATAATAAGTTAACAGGGTTAATTGGGAAACAATATGGCCATCTTCAATTTATGGAAAGGGACATGCTTTGTCCAGTCATTGGCTTAATAATAATTGGTTCAAGCAGCCAGCTATTCTTACAGTGCTTATCAACCCATCTGTCACTGATTGCTACCTAATTAAAAGTCAGGCAACATTGTTTTAATTATTGATAGTGTTGCTGTTGCATTGGTGGGTTCCAAGAAATTACCTGTCTTAGTAAATTAATAATTCAAAGATTTTTTGATCCATCCTTTTGATTGATCATTTCATTAAATTGGTTTGTTATTTACTATTGTTGTAAGGTTCTATAAGATATGTTTTGTAGGCAGGGCCTATCTTAAAGTTTTTTTGACGAAGTACAGTTTCTGGAGATGGAGGTTTTTGTAATAGGTATTTCCCCCCGCCCTTTATGTTGCATTTTTGGTGGGTTCATAACCGCATTTAATTAAACAGACCAGAATCAGGTTTTCATGCTGGGTAGGGTGTGTTATGACATAGGTTATAGAACTATCCACAATTATAGAAATGCTACATGAGGTTATGTTCCTTAACAGCCGAAACTACTACATCAAAGAACGTCTCTAATCGCATGACTCATGTGAATAGATAGTAGTTCATGGTGATGTCGCAGCTATTCAAATGACTCAGGCAATATGGGGAGGTGTAAAGAGCATTCGTTTTGGGCAGTCCAACTGATAACAGGTTGATGAGGTGGTTGTGTACATGTATTACAAAACCGTAATATTTATGATTCTAAATGCCTCTCTTGAATTTGCCATGCCATCTACATGTAAGTCAAATTCATACACTACACAACATGGACTTAACTTTTACCATATTTGCAAAAAAATAAATACTGTATAATTAATGTTCTCTTTACATATTTAATTTCGAATGAAATGTGGACTAGGCCTGGTAGGCCAACATGTCATTTCATTTTGTGAAACTACACATATAAAATCATAAGAAGCCAAATCAAATCCTGCAATAATACCAATTTGTGAAAATAAATGCCTTGGAAGTTTGTAATAAAATCAAAGTGACTCGGTCTTCCATTATTTAATATACTCATAAATACAACATGTGAAACACAAAACTTCTCTATATAATTTACACTTGAGTTGTAGGTGCAACAGGTGTGAAGTTTTCTATATATTAGTAAGTTACTAGAGTTAAACTTGTAAAAATCAATATATAAATTGACTTGAATATATCAGTAGTAGTACATGTCAACACAATTTCAATATCATTTTAATTTATATCAATCCATCGTTCTTTATCAGATTGGAAAATGATGAATTTTGTGATGAAATCATCAATTATTGTAATTCGTTATTTTCTATTACATCTACAATAAAGCAAGTCATTAACATTTTATACATGTATATCTACATATATAAATTTATAAGCCTGCATTAATGGCTTTCAAATATATTTAATCATATTTATTTTATTATCCTTAGCCAATCTAAAGATAGGTTCCCAGAAAAGTATTTATCGGGTGGTTATTTCCAATAAAAGTATGGCAATTTTGGTATAATATATGGAAAGTAGAGATATGCAATCTTACTAAAGAAAATACTGGATCCCCTGAAAAACACTCATGGAGAGTACACAGGACAAAAATGTATGGGTTCCCCTAATCGACAGCCCGACGATTAGGAATACCTGCACTTTCTGAGATAAAAATCACGGAAAAAGACACGGCTAGTGGATAATCCGA